GACCCGAACAAAAACCCACGAGGTTGGAGAGGCACCCTACTCCTTGTCACGTACAGCTGGGGAATCTAAACCACGCCAGTTGACTCAATCTATAGATATGAGTGTAAGGTTAACCCTTGTACGGATACAAGGGGTATTTCGGGACCCCGGGCCGCGGCCATATTCTTAACATTTGTGGGGAACTAGTTCATATATTATTGTCTAGCGAGAATTTTATACATTGTCAGCTACTTAATGTCGGGTATAATACTGCAGATAGAACGGAAGTGAGGCAGTGGCAACAGCCACCATTTGATAAGAAACTAAAAGTATTAAATTATCGGAAACAAGGGGTTTTGTGGGGCCCCATCCCCTTTCCTTTAAACATTTTGCTGGTTACAAGGGTCTAATCTGTTCTGCGCTCGGTGCTAGCTTTGTATTTGGAATCTTTCTTACTGATGATATTGTGTTGGTCATTCTAGTAATCGAGATCAAAAAATAAATCTAGGTACTCTACCAACCTCATCAAAAGACGATTCTATATGGAAATGACAATTAAGTTATTTGTAGATTTTGATGGTTTCAAAAATACCTGATAATTCATATCTTCACTGTGTTTTAATACCTCAAATATTTTTTTTACTCTGATTGATTATTATTCAGTCTTTATATGAAGCTGTAGTTTGATTGTATTTGAATAAAATTATGCATACAAAAACCTATTACCCCTTGTTGCCGACAAGGTTTTTCGTGCGACGTGTCCGCACAATTAGTGTTAAACACGTTTTCTATGTTCATTTTGAAATATCATTTCCTTATTTATGCCATGTTTTAAATAACGACGATTATTCACAAGAGAACAATTTTAAGGTGAATAAATTTGTATTTATGTAAATAAACAGCTAACTATAACAGGTACATTTCCTTAATTAAATTACCTAATGAGTTGAATTTCCTGAAACACGTCACGTCACGTCTACAGTTAGATGGGATATATAACGAGGATTGAGTAAGGTGCGTGTATTTGAAACTATAAATTACGTCCCTAAACATGTCTGACATTGATGTGAAATTAACTATGAGTGGAAGTTAAAGGGTGTATGGCTCTTTTATTTGGAACCATAAATGGGCCTAAAATCGAGAGAGTGGGAGTGGGGGAGAGAGAGAGAGAGAGGGGGAGAGAGAGAGGGGGTGGGTGGGAGAGAAATGGAGTTTAACATATGGTTCAAATTTATTTCAATAATTCGCTTGCGCGTAGGGATCTTTAGCTGTGGGAGGAAACCGGAGGAACCGGAGAAAACCCACAAGGTTGGACAGGAGACCCTATTCTTTGTCAAGTACAATTGGGGAATCCAAACCACGCCAGTTGACTCAATTACAGGCTATATGATACAACGCGCACGAGCTAACCATCCGACTATCCAACCCCAGGGTCTAAAAATCACATAATATAAAGGTAGATAAAGTGATTTATATTGAATTTTAAAAAAAAAGAATATTGTCATTTCAATTTCTAGTCAGTTATTATCAGTGAATTACATGAACAGTTCAATTTGAATTGCGGTCGTTTACGCCTGCTTAGTCCATTCTACACGTTTTATCATTATCTTTTTGTTTGTGAATCAGCCTTTATTAATTACTTTCACATTGTTTTAGCATATGTTTTTCTCATGGGCACTTGAAGGGGTTAAAATAAAACTTCTTACTACTTTAACACATACTTATGGAAGAACAATTACTGATTTATTTGGGCGACGTTTCGAAGAGTATTCTCTCAACGTTTTCAAGCAATACTCTCAACGTTTTCAAGCAAGTGGTTGAAAACGTTGAGAGAATACTCTTCGAAACGTCGCCTAAATAAATCAGTAATTGTTCTTCCATAAGTATGTGTCATAGTTTATTGCTCTATCCAGTTACTAAATGCCTCTAAAATATCATTCTTACTACTGCTTGACGAAGTTTTATTTTAATCCCTTCAAGTGCCTGTGGATTTTCTTTGTTCATTACGAATGGTGTCCCAAGCCATAGAATACACGACTCGTGTACTCTGATTATAAAATGATCATGGTGTCTTAAATATTGTACATCAGGATCCCATGTTTTCAGGTCAAAATAACAACATCGATATTGATTGAAATGGATCAAAATATTTTATTCTAATTTTAATTTCATATATTATGGAAAATATTGAGTTAGAGGTTTAGCTCCTTTAATTGTACGTGACAAGGAGTAGGGTCGCCTGTCCAACCTCGTGGGTTTTCTCTGGGTCCTCGCACTGCAAGTGAATTAATAAAATAAAATTGAATGATATATTAGTCCTGAAATGACCTAGTTTGTATCGAGTGGACGTTAAACCCCATTTCTCTCTCTGTGGATAACTAATTAGTACGATGTAGGCCACTATTTTCCTTCCACCATCTCTGTACAGAATATAGCCGTAGACTCTCACCCCACCCGCCTCTCTCTGACAGGAGAAGGCCTGTCTTCGATTCAATCGGATTAAACAGAGGCCCATCAAAAGAGTTGAGTGAAAATAATAATTGGCAATGGTTTGTGTTGACTATATCCTATATTAAGTCTTCAGTGGATGTCAAATCGTCTAGTTCATCGAGATTTTCCTGACGTGGTTTCCCAGCTATCTAGTCGTTCGGATGGTACAAAAAAAAACCAGCTCCCGTGTATACATTGCCGTGCACGTAAAAGATCCCTTGACAGTTGGAATTCGATATAAGAGGAGGACGTTAAACCCCATTTCATTTCATTTCTTTCAAATGTCTTTTGTAGGTTCAGAAGAAAGAAGAATATTTATGTAGCGCCTATTATCCAGTAAACTGCTCAAGGGCTCCGAGTTGTCTGTCACATCAACACAATATTTACATAATGGTTAATTTTTTCTATGGTCACACGTGCATGCAATGTCATACTAAACTTAGGCTGTCTGTCTACAATTAGCTCGCTTTAGAACAGACACTAAGCTAGTTGACCGACATTTTATGTCCTAAATCGACGATTTTAGTCAAAAACATGAAGTATACTCTGAGAATTGTTTTGAGTATTTATCCTGCTTCCATCTAATAAAATTGAACAACTTTATTTTATCTTGGTGTGTGTATGACAGATGTGAAACAGCGTACTTAACTAACGTACGAAAATTAAATGGTAGCTGGCTTTTTTCTCCGCAGGTAGCGTGTCTCTGATGTTCAGAATGGTGAAACAGGGTAGAAACTGACAGACCTTATGATCTAATGCACACACTTTGAACCATTCGACCATCCAACCCCCACTGTCCAGGCAAAATTCTCCTCCCTAGCATTGCACCATTGAAGCGAAATATATATGTAAAGATAGGTTGCCAGGCAACGTAACATACGCCCACAGCAGCTAAGTTGTTCGAGCAGTCAACAAGGGTTGTTGCATAATTTATCTTTTGCCAGTAATGAAAACACTAAAATCTGATTCTCAGTAATATCCTATTATCAAGGGCCATAACTCTGGAAACAAATTAACTTTAGCCTCTAGACTGTTCACAAGTAATTATCAGAAAACGTTGAGAATCAAAAGATTCGATATACGATTCTTAATCTCATGGCCTTTAAAACTGTGTATAAATTTAAAGTCAATCTAATACTAACTTTGACCTCTTAAGTGTCTACAAGCAATTACTCTTTTAATTAAAATAGCACAATATCACTATATAATAACATATTTAATAAAAGTTCAAGTAAAGTTTTTATATTGAGTTTTGTAGTTGATTTTAAAAAATACCCTAAAACAGCCCCAGTATTTAAGCAGAGGGAGAGAAACTTTCGCCTTTTAGCGGTGGGATGCAACTGGAGGACCCAGAGAAAACCCACAAGGTTGGACAGGCGACCCTACTCCTCCTTGTCACGTAAAACCGGGGAATTGAAACCACGCCACTTGACTCAATGACAGACCTTATAATACAATGTGCATGCGCTAACCATTCGGCCATCCAATCCTCCCATCAGTATTTAAGCACAGTATATCAATTCTATGAGTTGTACAATTTGAGACAATCTATTTAAAGGGTTTATGGCTCTATGATTTGGATTATTTAACATTAAAATAGACGACAATGGTATAAAAGTACATATTAATGTAATATGGAAGTATAAAAGGTGATTATATTCAAATTTTTTAAAAAATATTGTAATTTTTAATCAGTGAAATATGTGAACTGTCCAAATAGAACAGAGGTCGTTTACGTTTTCTTAGTCCATTCTATACGTTTTTTAAATTATTATTTTGTTGTTTGTGAATCAGCCATTACTAATTACTTCTGCATTGTCTTGTAGGATGTTTTTCTTTGTTCATTACAAATGACACCCGTAATCATAGCCTACAGAACTTGTGTACAGATTACAAAATGTGCGTGAGGTCACAAGTATTAGATAATAGGATCCTATAGTTTCACGGCAAGATAACAACATCAATATTGATTCAAATGGACCTATGTTGAATTATAATTTTAATTTTGAATATTATGGAAAATATTGATTTACAGGTTTAGCTCCTTTAAGCAGTACCATGATATTCTGAAATTGTGAATATATTCTGTACCTCAAGATATTAATTTTTCGATGACTGACCACAACAAAAATCATCTAATGTAGTCAAGTCATCGCAGATGAGCAGGTCATTCATTGCCAGTCAGTTTATTTTACACATATTTTAAAGATACTATCCCAGAAAAGTATTTATCAGGTGGTTATTTCCAATAAAAGTATGTCAAATGTGGTATATATGGAAGGTATAGACACCCAATCTTACTAGAAAAATACTGGATTACCGAAAAACACCCATGGGGCAAGCACTGGGCAAAATTGTCAGGGTATCACTAACTGACAACCCGGCTGTTATCTGCCAGCTTATTGTGTGCCAGCTTAAGTGAGGGAGCGGTTGTTATTTCTTGATCAAATGGTTAGGCGGTCTTGGGAACATTGAGGGGTGTCAACGTACAAAAAGACTCTGCAATTAAACGGCGGAAAAAGAAGTTGACAGAAACAATTAAGAATTTATTTAGGCCTCAATATGTATGGTACCGGTAAATGTACAGTAAGTAATAATAAATACATTCTGAAAAATGGACTCTCCAACAATGAAGCTAAGTTGACAGACATTGCCTCTAAAGACAGCTTACTTATAGCTATAGGTATCCCCGGCGAATACAAAGCTTTGAGAGGGAATTGAAGCAAATTTTTGATAGATTGGTTACTTTGAATATGATTTTAGTCCAAATATATCATCAAATCACAAAGTTTGGAAACAGGATTAACAAGCGATTCAATTTTTAAAGAAAATGTTAATTTTTAGCATTATATCAATTTTTAAATATATTTTAAAGAGTTTTTGCACATAAAAGCTACAAATTGAACTGGATTTATCATGGTCTATGGTTTAATCGTTTGAAATTCTAATTTGACAGCATGTAGATATCTGAAATATAATTGGTAAAACAGGTGAGTCTAATTCACAGGTAAAAGCGGTATGCCTGTCTTCATCACTAGCTCAGTTGGTGCAGAAAACTAGGACGTTAACCCGTTGTAGGGTGTAATATAACACCTTAGAGGTATTTTCCCCAACCTATTCTTAGAACATAGTTGGTCACTTGAGGGAATCCCTTGGGAATTCCCCCACGATCGCAGCATGTATAGGACGTTATATAACTTTCTGGACAACTGCCACTCACTGTGTGTAGGGCGTAATATAACGCCTTGGGAGGTATTTTACCCAACCTATTCTTAGAACATAGTACTTTGTCACTTTGTCAAATTAGTTACACAATAGGGGGTAGTTAACGTTTTAAAAACATCACGCTTAACGGGTTAAACATCTTTCCATTTTATTGTCTTTCACAATATTTAGATTGTGGGATAAATGAAAAGAAACAGGTAAATATGTAGGGAGATGCTACGTGTAGGCCGTTTGGGGAGGTTCAGGTATTTTCAGATCCAAAATGGCCGCTTTATATAAATAAGTATTTTGGGAAATACTAACCTGAACCCTAACCCTTTTAAGTGGGGTAAAAGGTAAATTGGATCCAAGTTCAGTCTTCTAAAAAGGGTTAGGGTTAGGGAGAGGGGTTAGTATTCCCCAAAATTCTCATTTATATAAAGCAGCCATTTTGTACTCCGGAAATACCTGAACCCCCCCCAACCTGCCTGGAGTATGCAAGGTGTGTCCAGTTGAAGGTAGATGATTTTGCTATTAAATCAATGTTTAGCTTTTCTCTTTCTGTTTTGACTGTGACTGGGTATATTCTCTTGTTGTACAAGTTGACTAGCAGGAACATCTAAAAAATAAACAATCACACAATATTACAACATATGCAAGTCATGAGTTAGATACTTCGTATTTCAACTAAAAACAACAAAAAACAATGTCAATTCTGTTATTTCATAATACATTGTCTGGATGAATTTTCGGTTGTCAATTTCTTAAATCAGACTTTTAGGCACAATTTCTCAAAAACCATTAAACAGATTTTCATTGTGGTATGCAATGAAAGAGTTTTAGCATTCTAATTTGAAAATTACTATATGTCGGTGAAGTTCGAAAATTTGATTTCGTACATATATTCGATCATTCGAACTTCAAGGGGCACAAAATATTTCAGAATCATCCCAGCAGGATATAATTGTTTCATAGCACAGTTTAGACTATCAGTTAAGAATTGCAGTTGGAACTTGCAAAATATATGAATTAGGCTTTAAGAAAAAGCTTCCACAAAAAAGGTGCCACAAAAAGTGGGCGTGGCCCATTACCATGGCAACAGGTGAAAATTGGGTGACAAATTTTTTGCATTCCTGATCAACTACCCAGAGGGGTTAATAATAGCACAAACTTGCACAAATCCAGACATAAATATAGAATTTGACTTTTCAATGAGTAGGTCCCCTTTAGCTATTTAAAAGCAGTGTGACTGAGTGCCTGGTAAGATCACAACATCAATGTTGATTTAAATTGACAAATAATTCGCGTTTTCAACGTATAAGACTTATGATGATATTGAGTTAGAGACTTAGCTACTTTAATCAAGGAAAGAAAATCCAAAACATCAACAGTAGATAACCTCCTGGCTTGGATTAAAAATAGATTAACAAGAGGCCCATTAATAGCGCTAATATCATAACCCTAACCCTAACCCTAGTATCATACCTTTAGATGGAATTTCATGCACCCATTCTGCGTTACATCTCTGTCCTAGACATTTTCTCTGGTTTTGTTTGGAGAAGATTCGAGAAGCACAATGCACATGTAACTTGACCCCACATTCTTCACACATCTGACCCTAAAAATATTAACAAATATAAATATTATTACTTTCTTCTTCAATTAGGGAGCCATGTGGTTTCCCCTTGTCAGTGATACAGGATGGAGGGTCTGATAAGGACAACTGTCTAGTTCTTTGGATGGGACGAAAGTCCAAGGTCCCCAGTACAGTTGGAATTCGATATAAGAGTAGGCCGTAGTGCCGCTGTCCGGACAAAATTTCCCTCATAGCTCACAGGATGGTGTATGCCCGTCTTCATTCGCCTAGTCGGAGCAGAACAGTAGGACGTTAAACCCCATTTCATTTCATTTTGTCAAAGGAAGATTATAAACCCACTGCTTATCAGTATGATTGACTCAATCCTTCTCTTTGTCACGTACAACCGTGGTATCGAAACCACACGCTAAACATTCGGCCATCCAAACCCCCAACCCCACAGTTTATTAGCACTAGGGACCGGGTATCATTCAGATTTGATGAAAAAAGGAAAGAAACTGAGCTTACCATCTATAATCTAATTTAGCTGAGAAATTAACTATAATTAAATGCATTACCTTAAGACAGAGTTTTTTACAAAGTTCACATATCTTGGCTGCTTCAGGGTAGGTATCCGTTATATACATATCTAATTCTAAAATAGTTCTAGTAGATAATGACACTTGACCTTCGTTCTACAATAAACAATACAAATACAAACTGATCATCTTGGTGTAATGGCTTTGAATGTTTCTCGTTCTCAATAATAATAGCTGCTTGGAATATCTAGGTGGGCTCTGCCCAATTCGCTCATCACCCTCTTTTATACCCCCCTGATTTCTGCACGTCTTAGATAGCATTGACGTTAATTTCCATCCCAAATATGACAAGACCAGATTTGGACACATTACCTTATTTGGTCTACCAACCATAGGTCAATAAACAGATAGAATTTGATGGATATTTTGATCATGGTTATGATTTTACCAAAATATCACTGTTTTTTTATGTATAAATATATATTCCTGTTTATTAAGTATGTGTGATTTGACTCTATAGACAGCTGAGTGAAGCAACAATTATTGAAAAAAACCAATATTGTCTTAAGGTCCAAAGAGCTACATTAGCTGCACTGTCTACGATATAATCCATGGTGGAAGTGGACATAAAACACTAGGAACGAGCTTGGCTGCCAATATCACTGTCAATAAGATGACATCTCGGCAAGCTGGGCCGCCAATATCACTGTCAATAAGATGACATCTCGGCAAGCTGGGCTGCCAATATCATTGTCAATAAGATGACATCGGCAAGCTTGGCCGCCAATATCACTGTCAATAAGATGACTGACATCTCGGCAAGCTTGGCTGCCAATATCACTGTCAATAAGATGACATCTCGGCAAGCTTGGCCGCCAATATCACTTTCAATAGGATGACATCTTGGCAAGTTAATTAGCCCTCAAAATTAACTTTTGTTATTAAGAAAAATAATAAAGGTGCTGGAAGTACATAAAATAAAATGTAGGGGTGTAGAATGAGTAAAAGAGACATAAACCAGGTCATTTCGGGACTAACATATGATTCAATTTCAATAATTCGCTTGGGCGTAGGGTAGGGGTCTTTTAGCAGTGGGAGGAAACCAGAGAAAACAGAGAAAACCCATGAGGCTGGACAGGCGACCCTACTCCTTGTCACGTACAACCGGGGAATCGAAACCACACCAGTTGACTCAATGACAGGCCTTATGACACAGTGCGCACGTGTTAACCATTCAGCCATCCAATCCCCCTGGTACAAGTAGGAAGCTTTCTGGTCACGTTCTTCTAAAAGACGATAATCTTAATTTGCATTTTTCAAACAATATCTAAATATTTTAATAGCTTAAGCAGCTCGTGCAGATTGTGCTGACATGATAGGCTATATTGTTGAATCGAAGTATCGCGATTTCACATTCTCACAATCTGCATACTGAATCGTGAGACAATGAATCGTTTTTTCACGATTCTTTTTTCGCTCCAGTACGTAACCTGTCACTCTTAATTATCCACGTCAACATTATCCATAGGTACACAAACACTCTTAAATTGTTTTGGTCCTTTCTTTGATCCACAGTATTCCACACCAATATCGTAATATAAAATAGTTTTATTTCTTTGAAATCGACAGGACTAAAAATATCAATTATTCATTTATCCCGTTGTTTTCTTGGTAAATATTGACCTGGTTATGAATCGTGATACGAATCGTATCGTAGCACCTGAATTGCAATACGTATCGTATCGTGACTGCAGCGGCAACACCCAGCACAAGTGCAGACGAGTGAAGATATCGAATGTTAAGACATTTCAGTTGATAATATCCTAATAAATACAGAACATAATTGAACCCTTTTCAGACATATTCCCTTTTGAGATTCAACTTTCATAATATTGTGGATTACATGGGATTAAAAATCACTCAAATGATGGATCAGCAACATTAAATACTTACAAGTATCAACCATCTATCTGCTTTCATTCTCTTCAATAAATTCTCAGCATCTGTTTTACTCATTTTCTTGGTATTTGTTAACGATTCCGTGAGATTTAACGCTTCCACAGATCCAATATATCCGACATCTGATTCCACGACTAATTCTATCTTTAATTAATATAATATATTCAACATTCAACAATCTATACCCTACACTCATTTTTAAATTTCTCACGTCTTTAAACATACATTATGTAAGGGCTAAATCTGCCTATTGCAGGTCTTTCTTTAGGCCTGAAATGTTATCTAAATTATTAATTAGACATTAATTAACTTATCCAGACCATAATCAACTCTCGATGGCATCGCTAGGCTGCAATGTTTATTGCATTAGGTTCCAATTTGCTGTTCGACTTCCATTCATAATTAAATCATGAAATGGATAATCGAGACTATGTTTTTTATCCTACCGACTTTAGTAATGATGATCGAGGCTAGGCTGAAAATTCAATCGCTAAAATTTCGGTTCATAGTGGATCAATCTGACTGAAATTTTCAGCAAATTGCCTTTACGTTATCTAGTTTTTAACTATTATAGTGAGAACTACCAACTTGTTATAGAATCTCCCATAATGTATCTTTAAGAAAAAAAATCAAAATACTAACACTAGATATTCTCCTGGCTTAGATTAAATCGGATTTAAACTAGCCCATCAGCATCGAGCAGCATACTTGTACATGTATCAATGAAATTTCAATTTATCATAACTTTGTAATTATCAATCTGATTAAAACACAGATCCTATTTCGTTTCATTTCGTTTTTATAGTTCAAAATTTCGTTTCACTTGTCTTTACTACACTAGGATCTGGAAGAGTTTTTATCATTGACATATTCTGAATGATGTGAGTGAATAGCTAATGAAACGGTCTGTTACGGCGGGTTTTCGGCGTGTTTTGCATGGAACTGTGGGTAATCCACTAGTAACGTCAATGCTGATTGGTTAATCAAATGTCTGACGTCATAGGTCAAAAGCTGCTTGTATGACCTCTGACGCGCCCTATCACTACAACCGGTCAGATCTTCATGTAGTGTAGGCCATCGAAAGTATAACAAAATGAATTGAAATATAGATCTGTATTTTAATCAGATTGCAGTATGTTTTATAAATCCACACCACTGAGATCAAAGCATGACACCATTACTACGTTGGGCTCAAGATTCAGGTAAAACCTGGTTACCTCCCTTTAGTCCCGATATCTTTAAATCTTAGAAACGCTGCTCGAAGAGTGCATCCCACCTGTAACCATATACATGTAGCTAGGTAGACTTTAATACAGGGATGAAGAGATTTGTTGAAGAACTTCATGCACAAATCAAGTCTCGAAACCTGGACTGGAAGCATTTGGTCACAAATCATACTCTTAAACCAGACGGTCAAATCCCTCCCTTTTGTAACTCAATGAAACAAGTTAGAATAGTCTACTTACCAATTTTTTGAAATATTCTAATTCTGTGGCTGTATAATCGGAAGCCATTTTAGTTATAGCCGTATCACTGGTACTAACCTAAAATAAGTAGGGAATAAAACAACAAGCGGTTGCCAGGCAACATCAGACCAAAAATATGGACAGAGTACAACAAGCGGTTGCCAGGCAACATCTGACCAAAGAGATGGACAGAGTACAAGATAAAAAAATGATTTTTCATACAATCAAGTTGTCCTTGTTTGAAGAAAATCGGATAAACTTGAAAGAAAAACAGCTTCAGACTTTGAAATATTTGTATGATAAAGAATTCTTCAAAGGCGTCGTCATGGACAACGCTGTTGGTAATCCGGGAACTTGAAAGTAGTTCCAATGGCGGACTTCGTCATACAGCCAAGGCTATATGTAGGGTACTGGAATCTGCTGAGGTTTGCCGAGTGACTAGTACTTGTGTAAAGGGGAGTGGTCATTTTGTGAGAGAGTCTCAATCCGATTTTCACAAAATTCAAGCTCATCCATAATTATGGTATAATGGTATTATAGCTGAATGTTTTTTTAAAATAAATACCGTCCGATATGCGCCAATATCAAAAGGAACTGAGATCTTTGGGTTATAAACATACATTTTAAGTTTGATAAAAATTGTGACCTCTAGAGTGTCCAATCAGGGGCCTTAATCTATGAAGTTATCATCCGAAACATGCCAATATCGAAAGAAACCAAGATCTCTCGAGTTTCGTCAGAATCGTACATCCATATGAAAATGTGGGCGTATAAAAACTAAGATATATAGGCCTATATCCAGTTACATTTATCTCTTACTAGAAGAATGCCCGGCTTCGCTTGGGGGTTATAACCCTGAAACCGGAAGTGGTAGACCAACGCCACCTGGCCTATGTTACTCCCCGGTCCGAGCTACCCCTATACCCCAAATTTCAGACTCGGGGCAGACCTAGTGTAGCTGCCAACCCCGAACAGACAGACAAACAGACAGACAAACGACAGTCACAAATATTAGTATAGATAGATAGATATCCCTTAATTTCTATTTCATAAAATGTCTTCCTTATTAAACATGCATTATGCAAGAGCCTATTGCAGGTCTTTCTTTAGGCCTGAAATGTTACAGAAATTATTAATTAGACATTAATTAACTTATCCAGACCATAATCAACTCTCGATGCCATTGCTAGCCTGCGATATTTAGTGGATTGGAATACGTTTATCACAAACTCGCAGGGTATGACTAAAACAAGAGGCCTGATTCAAACCATCAAAAAAATGAATAAAAAATATTTTTTAATTATGCAGAAATAAATTCATATGTATGGTCATTTTTGACAGAAACAAAACATCAGCCTCTGTCGTACTTAAATAGGGGGATTGGATGGCCGAATGGTTAGCATGTGCACGCTATATCATAAGTTCTGAAATTGAGTCAACTGGCATAGTTTCGATTCCCCGGTTGTTCGTGACAAGGAGTAGGGTCGCCTGTCCAACTTCGTGGGTTTTCTCCAGGTCTTCCAGTTTCCTCCTACTGCTAAAGACACCTACACTCAAGCGAATTATTGAAATAAAATTAAACCATATGTTAGTCCCGAAATGACCTAGTTTGTGTCGAGTGGATGTTAAACCCCATTTCTCTCTCTCGTACTAAAATATTACAACTTCTTTCTAAACTTACTAAACAGTAACAGTTAGTTCCATTATCTTCACTCAAACCTTTTTTTATTTCCATATGAAAGGGTTTAATACTGTTGTTTATAACAATAACAAACTCTGCCAGCTGTAGACGTCTCTCATCTTCCTGGGTAATATACTCTTCTGAAAAAATAAAAGTGATACCGCTTAGTAGACATTAAATTTTCATTTCAGTTATGGGGGGTTGTATGGCTGAATGGTTAGCGTAGCGTTTGCACCTTGTATCATAGAATCTGTCAGAGATATTCCACCACTACAAATTTCTGGCAATTAGATAGCTCTGTCAGGGGTACCCCACCACTACAAATGTCTGTCAGAGTGTTTTTGTAATACCTGAAGATGTACGGTACACTGCTGTACGATTTTCATGTGGTACACTTTTGAGCTAATCTAGCCTAGTTGGGGGGGGGGGGGGGGAAGGCGGGGCAGGGCATTTTGGGCGTGAAATACCACACCCACCACCAGACTTACATTCTGATGAAACCAGATATGCATGCATTGATACGATATAAGAGAAAATTGGTACACTTTTCAGCTAGGTTGACCCCCTGGGACTCAGTAGCATGTCATTTCAAACTCAACACAGACGACCTTTCGGACTCGGTTTGACGGCGGTTCGGACTTTATATGACGACTTTTCGGACTCTGTCTGGCAACATTTCGGACTCGAATGAATAATTAAAAGACAGTTGAACATTTGTGTGATATATTTGTAACAGCTTGTTTTTTATTTTCATTTTATATGAGTCCGATAGTTGTTTTATTTTATTTAATTGATCAGCCATTCTTGAGACCGTTAGTAATAAACAGTTAACACTGATTTTACACTAATGGTTCTATTTTGTTTTGTTTCATCGGCGAGTATTGAACTTGACAATAGAATATTGTTGAAAATGTGTGTATATTTAGTAATACTGCTAATGTTTTTATAATTGTGAAGGCCTAAATGTCTTTTACGTGAGTCGGAATAATCGAATCAACACACAGACGCCATTATCGCTGATTGACAACTCACCTTTTTCCTCGTCCACTAAAAAACTGTAAGGTTTCTTTGCGCATACTACAATAATATAGGGATTATCGGTTAATCAGCTTTAATTACCATACCCACTTTGATCGTTGCCATTTCTGATATTTTCCAAAGAGTTTTCTTTGTACACACTAATTTATTGATTGGTACTGCTATCTATGACAAGCTTGTCGAGGAATGCATTTCAACGTGTAGCTTCTGGATTATCGTTAAAACATTCTAGGGGCTTGTAAAAGCAGTGCATGTCGAGTAAATATTTACTTTTGTTTTTTGTGTAGGTCATTTTGAAATAAATTCTACAGCATATTATTCTTTTTTACAAAAATAAATTACTTTTACGGGAATCGATGGCAGTTGTGTTCAACCTTTCCTTTCAACTTATTACCGAGTCCGTAACGTCACCTGTCATAGTCTGAAATGTCACCTTACCTTTCAACTTATTCCCGAGTCCGAAACGTCACCTGTCCCAGACCGATATGTCACCTGCCCAAGTCCGAAACGTCGAGGCCATATTTTTTTGAGTCCAAAATGTCGCAAGACCGAAATGACATGTAATCCTGGTCTATTTGATCTATTTGAAATTACCAAGGATCTTATTTATTATAATATTAATAAGGAAGTGGATAAACGACCGGATTCGGTTCCTGACGAAAATTTACTACGAAACCAGATATCATCTCTGATTGGCTAATTTTATCACGTGGTTATTAGCGGTCTTTTCCAATATGGCGGCCTCTACAGGCATCCTTGTTGGTGCTGAATTTACGACTCTAAATTCACTTTTAGAGGCGATGAAACAATTTGAATTTAAGAATAAAGTGACATATTGGCGAAGAGATACGCGAACATTAGAAAATGCAAGAAAGCGAGGAATTAACATTCCAGATAACCCAGAAATTCTTTATTACTCGTTAATTTTTGCCTGCAATTCTGGTGGAAGAACATTTAAGTCAAAAAGTACCGGAAAGAGATCACAACACGGGTACGGTTCCTTTATTTAGGGTTAGTGTTAGTTTGGCCAATCAGAGACGATATCCGGTTTCGTAGTAAATTTTCGAAAGGAACCGAATCAGAGATGATATCCGGTTTCGTAGTAAATTTTCGTAAGGAACCGAATCCGGTCGTTTATCCACTTCCTCATTTAGTCATTATAAATAAGGTCCAAGAAATTACCATTAAATTTTTCACAGCAGCTTTTGTACAATGTCTTCACTTCCTTTGCATCTAGAACTGATCTTGACATAAACGACTGAAGAAAAAGTCTGTGGCTGTCTCTCAACTCGCTCATTTTCAAGGTATTTTCCCTGCAAATCTTCCTTCACAAATAATTTCCCGCCATGATAAAGTAAAAGTAGAAAAGTTTGAATTTGTAGTTATTTCCCCTTAGTATTACTTTATTATCCAGACATTATACAAATTCCGTATTAGCCAATCGATTTAGCAGGTGCCCGTGACGTCAGCAATACTCGACCAATCATAACATGTCACTAAATTTAAATTAGTAAACCAAATGAAAACGAGGACACTTGTTGAAAGTTTTTGTCGAATGAAGCTGTGTTACTTTTTCAGCTGTAATCATGTCTGCCCGACAAATCTACTATTCTGACAAATATTTTGATGAAGACTTTGAGTACAGGTAGATCTAGGTTTAAAATAAATTTTCTTGCACTTTTAGATTCGAATAACGTCGAAATCATCGATTTTATAAAACGCGATCCCGGAAATTTTTTGATTTTTGATTGTCAACAATCAAGAAAACATGTCGGTGCATGAAGTTTTGAAGGAGTCAATTCATAATATTAGTCTGGTATTGGTAGAACAACTGATCGGTGAATGGAATAGTTTGTTGTTTTGAAATGTAATGCGGGGTGATGTGATATAAGTTTTATACATCGGGATAAAATTAATCCGAGTTATGAGTCCGTTAGACGTCTATTTATATTCCGTCAGTCTGAATTCAAATTTTAAACATGGAATTTGAATCAATCAATGAACTTATAAATTTATTTCCATTCTGCTGAAATTTGGTCACCTGTAAAAGTTATTATTTTATTATATGCATATTTAGCCTGCTGTAGCACTTATATCTTATCCAAAACAGATTCATTCATGATTCCCCCCCCCCCCTAAAGTAAAAAATAAATAATAAAACACAACTCAAGTCAAGTTTATTCTTTTCTTGGCTTTATGTCATCAACTTTGCCACACAAATCAGCAGGAGATAAATTTAAAATAATCAGTAAGAGTTCAGAAATAATTTGAATTGACATATGTCATGTCCAATGTATGAATCATGATATGATTGGCCAGTAATTGGCCTTGAGCATGATATATCATAAAATCAATGTGATTTTACTTTATTTCTCTTACACGTTTATTTCAGGCATGTGATGCTCCCCAAAGATATTGCTAAAATGGTGCCAAAAAATCATCTGATGTCAGAAGCAGAATGGAGAAGCATCGGAGTACAACAAAGTCATGGCTGGATCCATTATATGAAACATGAACCAGGTGAATATGGTTGAATTATATTAAACTTATTAAAGCTTCTCCCCAGTCTTTAATAAAAACAAAAAAAAAACACACACAAAAGAATGCAAACAAGCAGGAATTGTTTAAATTTAATCAGAACCATGGTGGGTAAGATGCTGGTTCGCTAGTCTCGAGGTTGTGTGTTCGATCCCTGCATTGGCTGATAAAGTTCAACAGGACTTTCTGACGGGGTTTCCCAAAGTTGTCAGTGATGGAGGGTCTGACAAGGACAGCTGTCTAGTCGTTCGGACGGTACAAAAAAAATCAAGGTCCCATATTGGCATATTATATTGAATTTGATATAAGAGTAGACCATAGTGCCACTGCCCAGGCAAATTTTCCCTCATAGCATAACTGTATGGCGTATGGCTGTCATCAATACCCCAGTCGGAGCAGAGCAGTAGGACGTTAAACCCCATTTCATTTAAATTGAATCAAATTCATATAATGACTTACAGTTACTTTTCCACAAAAGTATTTATCGGGTGGTTATTTCCAATAGAAATACTGGATTCTTTGAAAAACACCCTTGGAGCACACACCGGACAAATATGAGAGGTTATCACTAATCAGCAGTCTGACTATTAAGAGCTGTCGACTCTGGTGACGTCAAAGGTTGTATGGATTGTCTGAGCTCTTGGTGCTGGGGAGTGCTTGTTGATGTATATAATGTCATGTATGTTCACAAACTTGATGGTGGTCGGATGTGGAAAAAGTGAGAGACTTAAACGTACAACAGTTTCCGAGATAAAAAGACGTGGACAGGGTTTAATCCGAGAATTTACTCAGACTTCGATATTTATGATAAATAGGCAGCGATTAGACAACATTGTCTTTTATATGCAACTAATTCTCCTCTGGCTTCGCACCCGTTGCTTCGTACGGTACTGCCACATCGTAGTCATGTGACACAAACATAACTTCTTTAATTATTTTTTATAGTTTGGTGTATTTCCTTGCGAAAGCAATGTTTTGAGAGTGATTTGAAGCAAATTTTTGATGCATTTTGTATATGTTTTTAGTCCAAATATATCATCACACCACCCAGTTTGTACACGGGAAGGTATATTTAATCTGCCATGTCTATGTCAAGAAGTGGGGGGGGGGGATTTGAGGCAGATTTTGACCAGGCAGCGGCATTTCTGTCACGATTGGGTGTATCATAAGGTCTGTCATTGAGTCGAATGACTTGGTTTCAATTCGCCGGTTGTACATGACAATGAGTAGGGTCGGCTGTCCAACCTCGTGGGTTTTCTCTGGGTCCTCCCATTCCCTCCCAATTATTGATATAAAATTGAACCATGTTAGTCCTGAATTGACCTACATGTAGTTTGTGTCCCCTGTTAACCCCCCTCTCTCTCTCTCCCCAACATTAAACTTGTTCTTTGACCAATTGACAACCTGTCATTTAATTTATATGTTTATAAATTTATTTTACAGAACCTCATATACTTTTATTTAGAAGAAAAGTGACAGGCCAGTGATTTGATGTGTAATAACTTAAATAACAATTCAAAGTGAATATGGATTGGAAATGGTGCCTAAATATGTGTTACTAGAATGATGCCAGTGGTCTTTCAATATTTGTGACTAACGGAGAACTCCCACTTGATTGCCGATAGTAAAAATAATATAATCAGTGCACGGACAAAACCTAGTTCTTTTTGTATCTTTCATTTCTATCGTCTGTCAATCTATTTCTTCTTCTATAGTGTGAATAATTGACTTTATGAATGAATGATTTGTAAGTATAATAAAGTGTTGATTTATATATTGGTAGCCTACATTTTCATTGTTTAGCTTGATAATAGAATCTGTCAATCACTCTTCCCATTACATGTAGTAGATTACTGTGCAGCTACATGTACAAGTGCTAGGATGGGGTTTTGTAGTCAAGAGTCTAACTGATTATTTAATATGTTAAGATCATCCCATCTCAATATTTCAACAGTAAATGTAGATAATCTATCGACACAGTCCATCAAATGATTTTATCGGGGTGATGCTGGCTTGAGTATCATCAGTAGAGGATTAAAATGTTTGGATATTTTCATATCTTTGTAGCAAAGCTGAACCACATTTTTGACTGATTTTTCTTTATTAGGAATCCAACTTCAGTAATATTCTTCTTGGCAAGGATTCAAAAATCATGATCATTGGCTTTACAAAAATAAACACTATGGATATACATGTACTACTTCTGAATTTTATTAAAATGCTACGTTTCAATACACATACAGGTATCGTTGTCAAGAAAATAATACCTGTATGTGTATTGAAATGTAGCATGTTAATAAAATTCAGAAGTAGTATATCCATATAAGTGTGTTTATTTTGAGTGAAATCTAATTATCTATTTCTATGTCTTATAATAAGGATTATTGGCTTTACGGTTAACGCTTTAGTCTGGATCATGATATCAACTTTAAGGTCAGCGCTCTAATCTTGATCATGTGAATAGAATTATAAGCTCAATATGATTTGAAATTATGTACATTATATACGCAATAGGCAATGCAGTCTAACTGCTCCTGTCTTCAGAATTGTAGGACGTTAAACCCCATTTCATTTCTAACTGCTCAACAGTACAGAATGGATAAGCCAAGGTGTTGCATGTTGGCCTGGTGGCTTGAACAAATTATACAAGAGCTAAATCTGCTCTCGATGCCATCTGATGAGTACGACGTTAAATTTTAATCCGATCTGCGATTTAATGGCTATTCATGGTCATGATTAACCGTAAAAATGGATAATGGAGACTTTGTTTATTATTGTAAGGATAACAATGACAATCGAGTCTACTGTGATCTTGAAATTCCCTTTTCTTGGCTCAGAGTCAAGTAATTTGGTTAAAATTCTCAGCACATTCTCTTTACATTATCTAGTTTTTAACTGTCCGCTCTTTAAGCTTACATAATGCTGCTTTAAATATCTGTATCTCTTCCTTAACATTACGTGTACATTGAGGTTGTCATTGATTACATTGTCTTTAGACATCTATTTAAAGGGCATTACATGTATGTTAGGTTAGATAAAGGGCTGACAGTTCTCGCTATAATGACTAAAAAATAGATAATGAAAAGGAAATATGTTGAAAATTTCAGTCAAATCACTTCTCTCTGAGCTGAGTTATCGTCGTTACAAGAACAGTGTACACTTGAATGTCATTGCTATTGTTACGATAATAAACAAAGTCTTGATTATCTAATTCTACATTAAATCATTAATCGTAAATCTAATGAAAATCTAGATGGAATCAAGAGTTGATTATGGTTTTGGTAATGCCTAATTAATAATTTACATGTATATAACATTTAAGGCCTAACCGCAAATCGTAAGGCTAATGAAAATCTAGATGGCATCAAAAGTTGATTATGGTTTTGGTAATGCCTAATTAATAATTTACATGTATATAACATTTAAGGCCTAAAGAAAGACCTGCAATGAGACAGATTTAGCTCTTGCATAATGCTCGGTTAATAAAAACAAACCTTAACACAGTTAATCCCTCTTGGCTTGGATTAAAATAAATTTACCCAAATAACAAATGTTCGAAAATTTTTTTTTATCATATCTGTCTAAATACTGAATGAAACTTAACCCTTTGGGATTCTTCTGTCATGATTCAGGGTTGAGTATACTCAGATGGTGATCGTCTGCCGTTAACATACATTATGCAAGAGCTAAATCTGTCTATTGCAGGTCTTTCTTTATATAGGCCTGAAATTTTATCGAAATTATTAATTAGACATTTATTAACCTATCCAGATCATAATTAACTCTAGATGGCATCGCTAGCCTGCGATCTTTAGTGGATTATGAGCCGATTTACTGCATAACTTTCCTTCACGATTTAACGATTAAATGGATAATGACGGTCTGACTGAAACTATGTAAAGTTGATAAAATAAAACCTGAACGATATAATCACATAAATACAATCATTAATATTGATTACAACTGGCCATATTTTTATTATTTGTTTTGTTTGATATAGTATATTTTGATGGTCGAGGTCTAATTATTTACTTCATTAAGAAATCGTGATGATTTGTGTCTTGTGTAATATAAAATGTCTAGATTAAAGATATCAATATTTGTTATTTAGAATCTTTATTATTGTAAAAATGTGGCATTATTGGAGGGGGACTGGCCGAAAGGTTTAAGGGCTAGGTCCAGTGTTAGCGCTAGCCCTGTTTACATCTCGTGAGCATTGATCGAATCTGGAAGTGACCTTAAGCATTAGATCTAACCCAAGTGATGCCTAGTTTGTATTTCGTGTACCAATTGCAAAATGTTTATTTTGTCTTAAATATTGGATATCAGAAGGCCATCTTTTCCGGGTAAGATCACAACATCAATGTTGATTTAAACCGACAAATAAATCGTGTTTTCAATGTCAAAGATTTTGGATGATATTGAGTTAGAGACTTAGCTACTTTAAGTAATTCATGTGATGGTAGGGTGTTTTCCCGTTGGGAAGAAATCAGGGTTATAAGGTCTCATTACCAGGTGCAAAAGAGGGATAAAGGCTGCAAAGATGATAGGGGGATCACGGTAGTTATGTGGGTAAGACACTGGTTCGCTAGCCTGGAGGTCGGGTGTTCGATCCCTGCATTGCCCGAGAAAGTTCATCCAGATTTTCCGGCGTGGTTCCCCCTTGTCAGTGATGTAGGGCGGAGGGCCTGACAAGGACAGCTGTCTAGTTGTTCGGATGGGACGGAAAACCGAGGTCCCGTGTACACCTTGGCTTGCACGTAAAAGACCCCTTGACAGTTGGAATTCAGTATAAGAGTAGGCCGTAGTGCCAAATTTCCATTATAGCACACTGTATGGCATATGCCCGTCTTCATTAGCCCAGTCTGGAGCAGAACAGTAGGATGTTAAACCCCAATGAAATGAGGAACATCATATTTTTATGCACCTACTGCTAATGAGAAGGAATTTTGCCTGGACAATGGCGCAAAAGCATTTTCTTGTTTCGAATTCCAACTGTCAACGGATCGTACATGCATAGCAATGTACCCACAACACCTCGGTTAGATCTATTTGATAAGGCCAACTTCACATTTGGTCAAGGTCATAAGATGTAAACAGGGCTAGTGCTAACCCTAACCCTGGACTTAGCCCTAATGCTTACCCTAACCTACAATCTCGCCAACAATCTCAACGACCTTGACGAAAAAAAAAAATTGAACTGGCCTTAACAAATAGATTTAGCCACAGGATCTCGGCTTATTTTAACATCCGAAAGCTTCTATGCTGTGACTGCCAGCCCTTACGTCATGCACTAGTGACAAGGGAAACAAACTAAAAAATCCCAGGGGAACATTCTCAAGCAAGCCAGCGGTCAGCCAATCTGATTAAAATACAGATCTATATTTCGTTTCGTTTTTTTATACTTTCGATGGCCTACACTTACATGAAGATCTGACAAGTTGTAGCGATAGGTCGTGTCAAAGGTCATACTAGCAGCTTTTTACCATATGACGTCAGACATTTGATTGATCAATCAGCATTGATGTTACTAGTGGATTACCCACAGTTCCGTGCAAAACACGCCTAATGCTTGCCGTAACCGACCGTTTTCATTAGCTATTCCCTCACATTCATTGAGAACTCGTCAATGATAACAACTCTTCCAGATCCTAGTGTAGTAAAGACAAGTAAAATGAAATTTTGAACTATAAAAACGAAACGAAATAGGATCTGTGTTTTAACCAGATTGGCGGTCAGCGAGCCAGGGTCTTACTCCCTGAGTCACCACATACAGATGACAAACTCAGCAACTACTTTTACTCTTATCTCTGATTGTGAGAGAGAGAGAAATGGGGTTTAATTTTCACTCGACACAAACTAGGTCATTTCGGGACTAACATGGTTTTAATTTTATTTCAATAATTTGCTTGCGCGGAGGGGTCTTTAGCTGTGGAAGGAAACTGAAGGACCCAGAGAAAACCCACAAGGTTGGCCAGGCGACCTTACAACTCTGATTGTGAGAGAGAGAGAGAAATAGGCTTTATTAGCAGTGGGAGGAAACCGGTGGACCCGGAGACAACCCACGAGATTGGAAAGTTGATCCTACTCCTTGTCACATACAACCGGGGAATTGAAACCACGCCAGTTGACTAAATGGCAGACTGTATGATACAGTGCGCACATGCTAACCATTCAGCCATCCACTCCCCCCCCCCCCCCCCAGCTCTAATTGTAGTCTCAATGAAAAGTAAATGATAAAGAAAAGCAACTTGTAATAAGTGTAAAATATATTTCAAAAAGTGACATCATCATCACACACAAATAAATTACAAACTTTCACACACAATTCAACAGGATAAATCTTAAAATCTAACAAAATGGCATTATCTATAGAGATGATTATCTTTTTAACAATAACATGGATTGACAGGCAACAAAACACACCCACAGACAACTAAGTCTTCCAAACAGTTATCAGTTAAAACAGGAAAAGTATGCAAATCTGTTTCACAGAGGATTACGAAAGTCTTCTAATATCTCTGTAAAAGATGACTACCTTTCATCACGCGGCGTCAATCATTGGCTCAATGGCGCGTGCATTGTTTACACAAGACCATACTTGATCAGGTGGAATGGAGCCTTTTACTCTTTAATACCCATTTACACTAAATAGGAAATAAATTTTACCTACAAATACTTCAAACATCTTTATTTATTTTTCTAATACAAAAAAAAAGTTTTAGAATTTAATTTGTTGGAGGAAAAAAGTTAATATTTGTGGCTCATTAAGTCACATGGATGTCATCCTTCTCTCTGAAACCAAAGGACCTGGAGAAAACGTGACGTTGGACAGACGATCCTGCTCCATGTCACGTACAAAGGGGAAATCGAAACGCCACTTATCCAATCACCGATTTTAAAACTTAAAGCGCACATGTTAAATCATTCGACCACCCAACCCCGCATTATAAAAACGAATGTGAACATTGGACGGATAGACTGGGGGATACATGTATATAAAAAAAATTGTTCCTTGTGACTTCACATAAAAATTGATACCTGTTTAAAAGTGTAAAAATATAATTTATAAACTTTCTTTAAAGGGGATACTAAAATAATACAATTTGAATGGCAACAGACCCAATTTGACTAAAATACAGATCTATATTTTGTTTTGTTTCTTTATACTTTCGATGGCCTACACTACATGAAGATCTGACCGGTAGCTCGCGTCAGCGGTCATACGAGCGGCTTTTGACCCTATGACGTCAGGCATTTGATTAAAGATACATTATGGGAGATAAGATAAAAAGATGGCAGTTCTCGCTATAATAGTTAAAAACTAGATAGTGTAAAGGTAATTTGCTGAAAATTTCAGTCAAATTGATCCACTATGAGCCGAGAAAAAAGCGGTTGAAATTTTTGCATAGTCTCGGTCATTATTACTAAAATCATTAATATAAACAGCATAGTCTCGATTATCCATTTTTTCTGATTTAATTATCAACGGCCGTTAGTGGCATATAGGAATCTAATCCAGCCAGCATCGAAGGCTAGCCTTGACATCAAGAGTTTATTATGGTCTGGATAAGTTAATTAATGTCTAATTGATAATTTAGATAACATTTCAGGCCTAAAGAAAGACTTGTAATAAGCAGATTTTGCTCTTGCATAATGTATGTTTAACCAATCAACATTCATGTTACTAGTGGATTAGTTTAAACAATATTTTATTCAATAAACTGAAATGGATTGAACAACAGGCAAAGTGGATTACCCACAGTCCATGCCAAACAAGCCTAAAGAATGCTGTAACAGACCGTTTCATTGGCTAATCTCCCACACCATTCAGAAAATGTCAATGATAACAACTCTTCCAGATCCTAGTGTAGTAAAGACAAGTAAAACAAAATTTTGAACTATAAAAGCGAAACGATATAGGATCTGTGTTTTAACCAGATTGCAACAGACGAAACATGCTTTCCTACAAAAATACATGTCTACGAATTAAATCTATGTTAACAATTCGTGCTAATTCAGTAGCATTCGTAATATTATTTTTGTCATGGTAAAAAGCATGCATCTTACAATCTTGTGAATTGAGGCAATCAGATCCAAGCTAAAAGCAAACTGTTACATTACAAAAAATGAAATGAAATGGGGTGTAACGTCCTACTGTTCTGCTCCGACTGGGCTAATGAAGACGGGCATACGCCATACAGTGTGCTAGTGCTCAGTAAATATTCATTCACAGTGAGTCACAAAGAGATTCTAGTGCCCAGGAAATATTCATTCACAGTGAGTCACAAAGAAAATTGTAGCCCAAAATGGAAACTAGGTCATTTCGGAACTAAAATATAATTCAATTTGATCAGAATTAATTTGTTTAAATATTTAATGCTTTTAGCTGATTTTTTAGTTCTTTGATAGATTTAAATATCAAAGCTTAAATCCTATCTTTGAGTGCTTCTATAGGTTTAAACTTAAAATGCTTTTTGCATATTTTAAGTTCTTTTATAGAGAGAAAGAGAGAAATGGGGTTTAACGTCCACTCAACACAAACTAGGTCATTTTGGGACAAACATATGGTTAATTTTATTTCATTAATTCGCTTGCGCGTAGGGGTCTTTAGCAGTGGGAGGAAACCGGAGGACCCGGAGAAAACCCACGAGGTTGGACAGGCGACCCTACTCCTTGTCACGTACAACCGGGGATTCGAAACCACGCCAGTTGACTCAATGACAGACTTTATGATACAGCGCGTGCACGAAGTTCTTTTATAGATTTAAATTTGGAATGCTTTTAGCTGATCTTTTAGTTTTTTCATAGATTTAAATTTGGAATGCTTTTAGCTGATCTTTTAAGTTCTTTTATAGACTTAAATTTTGTATGCTTTTAGCTGATTTTTAAGTTCTTTTACAGATTTAAATTTGGAATGCTTTTAGCTGATTTTGTTGATCTGACTGATGCACGACTTTTGCTTCGTTCCAATTCTTCGTTGAATAGATGTGAGGTACCCTCTAGTCTTGTATTTTTTAATAAGAAATTATATATCAGATTATTGACTCTCTGTGGATCTTCAATCATCACCATGTGACTTGAATCTCGAATAATCTCTAATTCTACATCACATAATGCCTGCAAAAAAACAAACAATTATACATTTATTGATATAAAAATCCAATATTTAGACCAAACCAATGTTAATATTAATTTAACAAGAACACCTATTAAAACCTATTAAAATCCTATATTTAGACCAAGGCGAGAGAGAGTGAAATGGGATTTAACGTCCACTCGACATAAATTAGGTCATTTTGGGACTAACATATGATTCAATTTTATTTCAATAATACACGGGCGCGTAGGGGTCTTTAGCAGTGGGAAGAAACCGGATGACCCAGAGTAAACCCACAAGGTTGGACAGACGCCCCCTACTCCTCGTCACGTACAACCGGGGAATCAAAACCACGCCAGTTGACTCATTGACAGACTTGATAATACAACCCCCCATTACTAGTAGAAATATTAGAAATGAAATGAAATTTGGTTTAACGTCCTACTGTTCGGTTTCGACTGGGCTAATGAAGACGGGCATACGCCATACAGTGTGCTATGAGGGAAACTTTGCCCGAGCAACGGCACTACAGCATACTCTTATATCGAATTCCAATGGCCAAGGGGATCTTTTACGTGTATGCCAATGTGTACACGGGACCTTGGTTATTCGTCCCATCCAAACGACTAGACAGCTGTCCTTGTCAGGTTTTCCATCCTGCATCACTGACAAGGGGAAATCACGCCGGAAATTCCCGATGAACATTCTCGAACAACACCGGGATCAACCTGCGTCTTCCAGGGACTTACTCACTTTAGCCACGTGTGACCTCCCCAATTAGAATATCAGTAAAATCAGGATTTGATTTGAACGCTAGTAAAATATAGATATTCATGTACATCTTTCATATTTTCTTCCTCTTGTAACGTGATGAGTTTATCCAGCTCGCCGTAGATTAACAAAGTCGGACATGTGATCCAATTATGGATCAACCTGCGTCTTCCAGGGACTTACTCACTTTAGCCACGTGTGTCCCCCCAATTAGAATATCAGTAAAATCAGGATTTGATTTGAACGCTAGTAAAATATAGATATTCATGTACATCTTTCATATTTTCTTCCTCTTGTAACGTGATGAGTTTATCCAGCTCGCCGTAGATTAACAAGGTCGGACATGTGATCCAATTATGGTACAACTCATCCCCATCTGCCCAATCCTGGCCGTTCATCGTGTGACTCAACACATAAGTTGGTACTGCAAAGGCCTCCTCTGGTCTTATAACAGGCTGTTTTCCACTGAAGGCACTCCTGAAATAAAGTGAGATTAGTTTCCCTGATGTATCTCCATAGTTAAAACTGAATTTCTAAAGCAAGACTTATGTCCCCATTGCGATGCATAAAAATGAATTTAACTGGGCTATCTTTGACTGGCGAGGACCAAGAAAAAATAATCATTCACAAAGCCCGAGCGACATGAATACAGCTAAAACTAGTTTTTAACCTGTCGGCAACTAGCTGTCGACAACTTTGGACGAGACGAAAAAAACGAGGTTGCATGTACACATTGGTGTGCATGTAAAAGATCCCTTGACAGTTGGAATTCGATATAGCAGTAGAACGTAGTGCCGCTGTCCGGGCAAAATTTCCCCCACAGCACACTGTATGGTGTATGCCCGTCTTCATTAGCCCAGTTCGGAGCAGAACAGTAGGACGTTAAACCAAATTTCATTTCATTTCTAATATTTCTACTAGTAATGGGGGGTTAAACCCCCTTTTCTCTCTCTCTGTCTCTCACTGTCTCTGTCTGTCTGTCTGTCTGTCTACTGACAATGTTTCACTTACTTTTTATATTTACATTCAACACAAGGTCTAAGACAGGCTAGCATACAGACAGGTAGCGCGAATACACCTGGTTGAGGTGCAAGCGGAGTTGGACCACCACCACTTATCATGATCAACTTCGTTACTCTTCTACTCCTACGTCTAGCTAGCACGGCCGCAAACGAACAACTGAAAAAATATACACATGGTTAATTAGTGTTATCACCTAACAAACACCTGATCATTTACATTTTTATATTAAAAGGGAACCACGGTGGCTAAGTCAGTAAGACCCTGGATCATTAGTCTGGAGATCGCGTGTTTAATCCCTGCATTGGCCGAGAAAGTACATGGATTTTCCGGCATGGTTTCTCCTTCTCAGTGATTGTGCTGTTTGAAAGCTTTTAGTTACAAATTTTTTAAGTTTTGAAATTTTAAACAAAGCATCAATCTGATTAAAACACAGATCCTATTTTATTTTGTTTTTTATAATTCAAAATTTAATTTTACTTGTCTTTACTACACTAGGATCTGAAAGAGTTGTTATCATTGACGTTTTCGGGATGATGAGAGGAATTAGCCTTTAAAATGGTCTGTTAAGGCGAGTTCTAGGCCTTCGATGCACAGAACTGATTGATTAATCAATGTCTGACGTCATAGGGTCAAAAGCCGCTAGTACAACCCCTGATGCGACCTTCCAGTACAATTGGTCAGATCTTCATGTATTGTAGGCCATAGAAAGTATAAAAAAACAAAATGAAATATAGATCTGTATTTTAATCAGATTGACAAAACATCTTTCACCTGTTTCATATTCAACTCACGATGCCATCGCTAGCCTGCGATATTTAGCGGATTGGAATACATTTTTTGAAAAATAATTAAATTGAAAAATGGATAATCAAGACTTTGTTTTTTATCGTACCGACTTTAGTAATGATGATCAAGGCTGGCTTAAAATTCAAATTTCTATTTATGTTATCTATTTTTTAATTATTATAGCGAGAACAGTCAACTCTTTATTTAATCTCCCATATAAATACCCCTTCATGTTTTGAAATTTTAAACAAAATATCTTTCACCTGTTTTTTTTTTTATCAAGACCTGGGGGGCTGGATGGCCAAATGGTAAGCAGTGCGCTGTATCATAAGGCCTATCATTGAGTCAACTGGCGTGGTTTCAAATCCCTGGTTGTACGTGACAAGGAGAAGGGTCGCCTGTCCAACCTCGTGGGTTTTCTCCGGGTCCTCTGGTTTCGTCCCACTGCTAAAGACCCCTACGCACAAGCAAATTATTGAAATAAAATAATAAACCATATGTTAGACCCAAAATGACCTAGTTTGTGTCGAGTGGAGGTTAAACCCCATCTCTCTCTCTCTCTCTCTTTTATCAAGACCTGGAAGAACTGAAAATATCAACATACCCATATGAATGACCAATCACAACATTTTTCCGTTTACAGTATCTATCAAACACTTCCTCCAAGTCAGCACACATCTGATCAAAATGATAATGTTTCGCCTCTCGTGGACCGCAACTTAATCCATGCCCAATCAAATCTGGAGCAACAATTTCATAACCTAGTTTTTCAAAGTAATCTAATTGAGCACACCAAATATCGGAAGAACCTCCAACTCCGTGAATAAAAAACAGCACAGCATTATTATCTTTTTCTGGAGCAGGGTTGGACGTTGTTGTTTTTTTAGTATTTGTTGAATCTGAGCTAGTCTTCTCGATGGTTACATTTGATTCGTTTGAGCCACCAATAGGTGCAGCATTCATTCCCACTTCAATACCAGAGGCTGAGATTAGAGTTTTTCTGTCATCAACAGATGAAAAGGACGAGTTGAAGTTTTCTTCTTTTAATTTGTCAGGAGCTTTATAATCAATCAATGGCACACCAGGTGGATTTTGGGAGGAATTTGTTTTATTTTCTCCTTGAGGATTGTTATTTACACTTTGTTTCTTGGGTACACTCATAGGACCAGTCGAAGTTAAACCCTGATTACGATATTGAAGATATGTCTGTATCTCCTGTTCTAATAATTTATCTCTTTGTCGTGGATTTATGTGCTGTATGCGAAGTATTCTCTTTGGTCTGATTTCTATCATTTGGTTTTTTATGTCATCATGTTGTGCTGGAGAGACACGTTTTCTACTGCTGCATGAACAGCTGCAGCAGCACCCCATTTTATAAAACTGTTAAATAATCTAAAATTAGAAAAAAAAAAAAAAACTGTGTAGGCTATATCTATAAGATAAAATAATTAAAGCTTGCATGTTTAATATGACAATATCTTATGACATTAATTGGGAAAATATTATGGAATAAAAAAAAACAACACCCATTCGTGCTATTTTGACTTTGAGCACAGTCATTATTCGATAATATTTTTTAATGACATTTAATAAGACGAATTTGATGGAAACGGGTTAGGACGCAATTGTGCGTACTGTTCATTACTGAGCTACTAATAGTACTAAGGTTCTCTCACCTTATCAAGCAAACGATAACTAGAGAATTCTAGTCAAAAATTTGATCAGCAATTAACCGTAACTGTATAGAATTAATGGCGCTAATGCACTTTCGTACACCTAGTGCATTAGCGCCGAATTTGCCGAATTAATCGTGTAGCCCGTGATTGATTGGATCATTATTAATATTAGTTCAAACAATGTTTGAATCCCGAGGATCCAGAATGTTGAGTTTGATTCACCCAGGCCAGATGTCAGTTTCAATGACGGATTTTATCCACGAAAATGAAATATAAAACATGCTTACTCTCGGCTACATTTTCAAGCCTAATTATATTATAAAAAGAATTTCAAATGATAAAAAGAAGGAATTTTGTTGTGCATGTAAACAAACAACCATCATACAACTTCCTTTTTGGCACACTACGCTTTCCGCTAATGAGTTTCGGATAAAATATTATATTCCTTGTCTATTTCGCTCCAAATTAAATAATATTGTACAGCTTAAATTATGAATAACCCTTTTTGTCCGTCACATAATATATCTGATCATTAATTTATTAATTATTAACTTATTTAACGATTTGGTTAACTCCAAGGTCAAGGTCGATGTATAATATCCCTACGCTTTCTTGAACGGAAGTCGGATTTGGTGATGAAGAGAAAGTTATCCAGGAATTTAATTTATTCTGATTTACCGTAATTATCCGTAACTATGTTTCCATTGAAATTGATACCAAGGTAATTATCTTATCGAGTCAGACTAGGGAAGTAGCTAGGCGTTTCAATTTCATTTTATTCAGCATCAACATGAACATGCACTCATGCAGACGAAATAAAAAGAAACCCGGGACTTGAAATTGAATTGAAACTTGAAGTTGGAACTTGCAAGATTATAACCTGCAAGTATATAACCTGCATGTACTATGTTTAATATGTGTAAATGAAATGAAATGAGGTTTAACGTCCTACTGTTCTGCTCCGAACTGGGCTAATGAATACGGGCATTCACCATACAGTGTGCAATGATGAGGGGGGAATTTTGCCCGGACAGCGGCACTACGGCCTACTCTTATATCGAATTCCAACTGTTGTGGGATCTTTAAATGTGCACGCCAATGCGTACATGGGACCTCGGGTTTTCTGTCCAATCCGAACGACTAGACAGCTGTCCTCGTCAAGCCCTCTGTCCTGCATGTTTGTTTAATATATGTATCGGGAGCCACGATGCCTCAGTGAGTAAGACGTTAGCTTGCTAACCTTGAGGTCCTGTATTCAATCCCAGTATTCTCACTTGTCAGTGGTGCAGGACAAAGATCCCTGCAAGTGACAACATATGTATAGTCATTCGGATGGTAGTCCTTCGGATGAGACGAAAAACCGAGGTCCTGTGTATACATTGGAATGCACGTAAAAGATCCCTTGGCAGTTGGAATTGATATAAGAGTAGGTGATAGTGCCGCTGCCCGGGCAAAATTTCCCTCATAGCACACTGTATGGCTTAGCCCGTCTTCATTAGTCCAGGTTAGGAGCAGAACAGTAGGACGTTAAACCCCATTTCATTTCATTTCATTCAGATGGTAAGAAAAACTGTGGTTCTGTGTGCACATAAAAGAACCTTTGACAGTACAGGACAGTGATGGGATTTCGCCTGTGTATTTCGGACATGTTCTACCCTATTTTCCAACCGTCCGACCAAGAATATGCCCAGTCGGACATCAAGACATGGTGAATAATATTCAAAATTCCAAAATCTATAGGCTGGATTAATTAAGTAATTAAGAGGTCAACGTATTTAACATGGAATACCGACCGTCTATACACCTACCTTGATTAACTACTTAATCTGCCTTGATTGACTAACTTAATCTTTTGTCGGACAATTCATCAATCCATTCCTGAACAAAAGTCATTGCTTCTCCTTTGTTGGACTATGTATCAATCCAATAAGAGTGATTATTAACTTAATCTACCTTATTAACTTGGGGTTTCTCTATTGTCGGACATTTTAATCTCCTTGATTTCAGTCGACAACATTTAGAAACTAGTCATATATGTCAAATATCCTATTATATCCGTTGACTAGCTGACATATTCATGTAGCTGATCAAAATTGTATTCTTTTTTTATCTGGTATCTGAATATTGACATGTTAAAAATGGTTGGCCTGACAGAATATATATGCTAGACCTTCGCTTAAGATTATAATATATTTTTGGTTTGATTTTCAGATGCATTTCACAATTACCTAGCATTCTGTATCAACCATCAAGCAAAATCCATAGCTTGACAGCATCCATATGTCGCCTACCTACCACGTTTTCTTCTCATCAGCTAATAAAACCTGCAGATCCATTACAATCCTCTACAGATTCGTTATTAAAACTCAGCCGCAGTAAAGAAGTTTTTGGGTGTCCATCGTGTAATGTCCAGCAAGTACGAAATGGACAAAGACAGCATTATTCTTACAGTGCTTGGAAAAGAATCAATAAATTCGGTATCGAAAGATTACTCAGCACCAAAAATGGTAGAACAGTGTTATGGAGGAGATTTTTGAAAGGAAAACATAATTATGCTGCATTTGAACAATTGCTTTCAGAAGAATTTAATGGGCGCATTTTGCCAAAACATCAAAAACATTTACAGAGTGTGAAATATAAGGAAAAGAAAAGATATATTCCTTGAAATCAACTCAAGGCAGATAACTCTCAATAAAGTGCTTTACGAATGAGATATATTAAAATTTTAAATTGAACCCGGCATGTTTTTGTTTTTTTTAAATGATGGTTGTTTTTTTTTTTATTACATTATATTTAGTACGGTACCTTATTGTGATTGACTTTGCCTTATGAAACAATGGGGGAGAGAGAGAGAGATGAGGTCCAACGTCCACTTGACACAAACTAGGTCATTTCCGGACTAACACATGGTTTTAATTTTATTTCAATAATCGCTTGCGTGTAGGGGTCTTTAGCAGTGGGAGGACCCGGAGAAAACCCACGAGGTTCACATGACCAGCCTATAATCAACTCTCTAGAGCATCGGATGGTGCAGATTGAAACATATCAGAACACAACCTTCATTTAAAGGTTAAAATGTTGAATCAAGGCTTAGTCTCGATTATCAAGTACGAGAATACACAATCTACCCACATCTTATCAAAACTTCAAACAATGGTAACTTCGCTCAGAATAAAGTAATTTGAATGGAATGTTTTTTTGAACTATCATAACAAGAATGGTCAGCTCTTTATCTAAATCTTACATAATGCACCTCTAATAGTACCGTACATGTAGATGAATAAGTCCATGACATTCCTATAGTATATTATATCTGAAAACCATTGTGAATATGCTGGTTGTAAGAGTTTGCAGGTGTCCGCGAATGGTGTACGTGTTGGATCATAAGGTCTGTCATTGAGTCAAGTGGTGTGTTTCGATTCCCCTCTTGTACTTCACAAGAAGTAGGGTCGCCTGTCCAACCTTGTGGATTTTCTCCCACTGCTAAAGACCCCTACGGCCTAAGCAAATTATTAAAATAAAATTGAACTATGTGTTAGTCCCAAAATGATCTAATTTATGTCGAGTGGCTGTTAAACCTCTTTTCTCTCTCTCTTTCTCTGATAGCCCCAAAGAAAATATCATACCTTTTGTATTTTCCGACATACAATGATCAGCCCTATTTGTCACACACACTGATTCAGTGGTTAACTACTATTGATATGCTCACTTTTAAATCTGATCCTTCAATAATTTCTGATAATTTATAAGGGTTATTTCGCTTGATCACTTTGAGAAACTTTATCATATGATTGACTTGCAATTTGTCTGGAGTGTTTATGAATGGAGTTGAACATCCTACTTTTCTGTTCCAACTGGGGCTAATGAAGACGACTATACACCATGCCCAGGTCGCAATCGAAATCTTGTGTTCAATACCGGTGATGGCCTCAGAAAGTACATCTGGAGTTACCAGCTTCCTTCCCACTTGTCAATGGCATAAGGCAGGAAGGTCTGGCATGGGACAACGTATAGCCGTTCGGATGTGTACACATTGGCATACACGCAAAGGGATCCTTGTCAGTTGGAATTTAATATAAGAGTAGGCTGCAGTGCCGCTGTCCAGGCAAAATTTCCCTCATAGCACAGTTCGTTCAGAAAATTTCAAATCTTACTTTCTCCTGACCAATTTTTAACTGCACCACGCCCAGTGTGAGTAGTTGGAAGTAGACGACAGTTTTGACATTGCTTCTCAAGCACACATTCTCCTTCATAACTACTAAACCACTAACAAAACATGAAATGACATTAAAGTAATGGAGTGAGCCCACTCCCATGGTATCAAAACAACTCAGATTTCAAAAGAACTTTTAATAAATTTTATATAAGATTGACCTTTAACAATTGGATTTTCAAATAAAATAACATCTTTCATTGGATAGCAGCACATTATTCATTCTTATCAAATATACAAAATTCATATAAATCTTAAAGACAAGCAAACTTTAATAACAAAAACTACACTCTTTATATTAACTTTAATTTCTTAAAAGAAGTGGTCCAAATCCATGGACTACTCCCGAGGAACATGCCAAGGTAATTCGTGTAATCTGATGATTCTGGTGTAATATGTACAAGATTGCAGCCAGCAAAATAAGTGAAGAGTCCAGGGGAAGAATGATCTAAGTCACATTTTTGTCTTTTCGCATAAAAGGCAAAACAGACTTTTGGACAAGAATGCTTGACGCAAACAGAACAACGAGTGGGTTTAATTACAACCTTAAAATGATGGTTAATACGAATCATAATTACCAGTACAACAACTGACTTTCACTTTTCAGCCAAATTAAGGTCAAGCAAAGGGTACGATGGACGTATTTGTTCAGGAGGCCATTTCAGAAGGGCCTTGGTTCGATGTCACTCCAATCGTTTTTAACTGAAATTGATTGTTCCACAGAAAGTTTATACAATTTGCTACCAGATGGCGCCATTAACTGGGGTTCATTGAAAAAGTGACTTAGATCGTTCTTCCCCCGGGCTCTACATGTGTATTTTATAATATCTGTTGATTTGATTAATAAACAGAAGAAAAATGCAAGGATTTATTAAATACGTTATGTCAATGCCCAATTCTATAACTTGCCATAATCTTTCTTACTGGGAAGAAATGAACATTTTTACTATGTCGCACCCATCCATAACACATTTAATCCATGATGAACATAGAAATGGATAAAATCTTGGATCAATATTTTAATCAATCAACTATTGAGGTTTTAATAAAGCGTCTGTCAGTATATAATGTATCTGATGGGAGTGTCTATTTTCAGACTGGCAGGGAAGTTGGCCGGTTGGGGAGTTCCGAGTTATCAAGATAACGGGAGAGCGAGTGAAATTGGGTTTAACATCCATTCGACACAACCTAGGTCATTTCGGAACAAACATGGTTCAATTTTATTTCAATAATTCGCTTGCACATAGGGATCTTTAACAATGGGAGGAAACCGAAGGACCCAGAGAAAACTCACGAGGTTCAAACACCTTTCCAATGCTTCAAAAAATGTTCTAGAACTTTGCAGAAGGAAAAACGTTATTACAAGTAGTGCGAGCTCATTAACTCGCACAGATGTCATCCCTCTCAGTGACTGTATTGGCCTAGCGAATATCAGCCTTTGTCTGGTTCCTGTCATTTTCTCTGGCACTGATTTGTGTTTTAACATCATCACTAGCCAAGTGTTACGAAGGTGAAGAGAAGCGAATCGTAACCCTTGGCTAGAGAAGATGGTGTTTTAATTGATATTTCTAATCGTTATTTCCATTCAGTGTTCGAGTAATCCACAAATCCTGATAGACACATTTTCCATAGAGAAATAAAAACCTTGCCAACCGGCCTGAAAAAAGACAACACTGTATCCGATTCCAGAGTTAATGAGTTTTCTAAACTCTTTTCACCCGAGAAACATTTCTTTTTAATGAAAGATAACTTTTATTCATTTGCCTTGTTATATGACATTATTAAATAGGCAAACATATCAAAGATTATGATGGGTCAACATCTCTTAATGTCTATAAATAACTTTAAAAATCAAACATGACAGATAATAAAAAGCGACAACAGGCCCCGAGTACACAAAGCATTCTCAGACTATGAGAAGTATGTTTGATCCAGAAACACAAAAAACTTTGCACATAGTTTCTTATTGATGTATTTGATACATTAAAACAACAAAAGTTTTATAAAGGCTTATGTTTTAGTTAAAATAAGGCAAATAATTTTGAGTAAATTCTTAAGTCTGAAAATGTTTTGTGAACCCGGGGCCAGGTATATGGCAATTCTTCAACAGCAACAAATCAATCACCAGAGGTGGGAACAAATCGCAGGACCTTAAGGCCGACTAGTGTCTCAAGTCACTGCATGTTAAGTCTGAATCGAGTCTCAAGACGCCGCATGTTAAGTAAGGCGAGTCCCAAGTCGCAGCACAATAAGCCTGAGTCGTGTCTCAAGTCACCGCATGTTAAGTCCGAGTTGAGTCTCAAGTCGCCGCATGTTAAGGTTGAGTCGAGTCTCAAGTCGCTGCATGTTAAGTCTGAGTTGAGTCTCAAGTCACTGCATGTTAAGTCCGAGTTGAGTCTCAAGTCGCTGCGAGTTGAGTCTCAAGTCGCAGCATGTAAAGGTCGAGTTGAGTCTCAAGTCGCTGCATGTTAAGTCCGAGTTGAGTCTCAAGTCGCAAGTCCAAGTTGAAAACCAAGTCGCTGGCTTTAGTACTGCGTCGAGTTGAGTTTCCAAGTCTGAGTCCCGTTCAAGTCCCCAGTTCATCAAATGAGTCAGCAATTCATGGCGAATAAGTTAAGTTATGATTTTGCTCCTTTCTAAGCTCTTTCAAATCATGAGTCATTTTGACTGCAAAGTCCGAGTAGAGTCTCGAATCACAATAAATATTTAAAGTTGAGTTGCATGTTGGGTCATTGATGCGACTCCAGTCAGACTCGAGTCCGAGTCGCGGGACTCAAGTTCCCACCTCTGTCAATCATTTGTCTAGCCTTGACATTTTATTTTTCTAAAATAAAACAAAAGATGTAATTCTATCTTCCGATACTTCCAAGCAATCTCTAAATAAAAAGCAGTCATCACTAACTGAGACATGGAACAATAAACCACCTCCATTTATATCTAAAATAATACTTGTCATTATAAGACCAGATTAATCCTAATTTACAGGTTTCACTGTACATATAATACCTGTCATATAAGACCATTTACAGGTTCGACTGTACATATAACAAATTATCGTATAAGGTGAATTAACATACAAAAACAATATACATGTGTCTCGACCTGAGAATTACAGGGTTCTAAATAACTACTGTAGGTATTTCAAGTTCTATCTAATAGGCCCCTCACAGGATTTAGAACATTTAAGTCCACAACACAAAATTACAAAGTTGCAATTCACTTTGTGCACAATTAGAAATCAAACTTTACAAGCGATTTTCTCAAAATGACCAAAGTGTTAGTTAGAACCAGTGTTGTGATTTCAAAATTTTTCTGGTCGGACATTTTACTGAAAATAAAGGGGCATAACTCCTATTTAAGAAGGTGGTTTCAGACCACAATTAAAAATCATGTGTCCACAAAATATTCAAATTGTATGTAATAAAAAATAGGTGCACCTCGTTAGAACACTGTAATTCCCAGGTCGTGATGTGTCAAGAAATAATTAACACAGACAAATTAAATATGGAATATTGCAAAGATGAAAGACTTTAAGTGTGTTAGAAATATTTCCATAATTATGTTGTACCAGAGAAGTTCGTTGAATATCTTATTGCATCATTAATATCACGGACAGATATAATCCTAGACTCAGTCTTGATCATGTAATGTTGAATTAATTCTACGTTTTGAACATAATCTACACACACGCCACAATTTCTGTTTTTAAATTTTGATCGTCAGACACTTTTAGTTGGGGTTAACAGAGGCCAGAACTTGTCAACTTTAGGAAATATGCCCACCTTTCATCTGGGTCAAAATTGATTCTGTCAAAATTTTACATCTGCAGATGTAGATTTTAAAACACATTAAGTCAAAATTCAAACAAGCCGACTTCTGCCTAATTCAGCTAAATAAAATGTTCTACTTGTAGAAGGTGTTGCATCATTAAAGACACATTATGTAAGATTTAGATAAAGAGCTAGCAAAGTTTATTATCGTAGCAACAGTACTTGACAACCGAGACTAAGCCTCGACTTTCCATTTTATGGTTAAATTTTAAAATCTTGTTGGTTTTCAAATCCATTTAAATCATGGCCATTCGATTGTCTAGAGAGTTGATGTGAATAGTCTCACTAAGCCTCGACTTTCCATTTTATGGTTAAATTTTAAAATCTCCTTAGTATTCAAATCCATTGAAATCATGGCCATTCGATTGTCTAGAAAGTTGATTATAGGCTTGTCATGTGAATAGTCTCAACAATAATTTATATAACATTTGAAGCCAAAATAAAACCCCACAATTTAACTCTTACATAATGCATCTTGAACCGGAATAATATATTAGTTCAACTCAATTAAATACTTTTAGTTAATCTTTTAAAGATTGTCCGTATTGGCTTTTAATTAAAGTAAAATATCGCTGTTTGTGTTGTGTGATATTACCAGAGGTGAGAACAAGTTGCAGGACCTTGAGTCTGAGTAGAGTCCCATGTCGTCGTACATCAAGTCCAAGTCGAATCCCAAGTTGCTGACAAAGCCGGAGTCCCATTCACAATGACTCTGCAATTCAAGGTGAATAAGATTAAGTTAAGAGTTAAGCCCCCTCGCCCTGACTTAAGTCCTAAGTTCTTACAAGTCGTGAGTCGTCACAACAGCCACGATCGAGTCTCAATATATATTTAAAGTCGGGTCATTGATGCGACTTAAGTTGGGCCTTAGTCCGAGTCACATGACTTGAGTTCCCACCTCTGGATATTACATATACCAATGTTCGGTGCAATTTGAAAGTCTGCTGTTCACACTCAGCTGAATGAACTGTTCAGATGCAATTATTGAAGTTTTATAATAATGAATAAAAGAAAATTATAAAATTCAAGAATCTTGACTGCTACTTGATGCTGATGCTGAGGCTGAGGCTGCTGCCATTATATCATCTTGTATTTCCTCCTTACAGTTATAAACAGTTTCTATAAATTTACGTAAATGTATCTGAAAACAATAAGAACAAAAATCAGGTACCATTAGTGTGTTGTCTTGGTTATTATACTTCGCTAAAGAAGTTCATGGTGGGATTTGACCTGAGATCTGTCAAAGTGAAATTAAATAAAATGAGGTTTAACGTGCTACTGTTCTGCTCCAAACTGGGCTAATGAAGACGGGCATATCCCATACAGTGTGCTAGGAGGGAAATTTTGCCCAGACACCGGCACTACTGCCTACTCTTATATTGAATTCAAACTGCCAAGAGTTATTTTACGTACACACCAATGTACGGTTTTCCATTCCATTTGAACGCCTATACGTTGTCCCTTGCCAGGCCCTTGGTCCTGCACCACTGACAAGGGGGGCACTTGCATGCCAGGCAATCCTGATGAAATTTCTCGGCCACCACAGGGATCGAACAAGGGACCTCCAGGTAAGTGAGCCAACATCTTACTCACTGAGCCACCCCCAGGCTAGTGAGCCACTGATTAAGGTGGTCAGCTTGCACATACAGTTAAAGTAAAAAATCGAAATATGGTTTTTACCTGTAGAAAAACGTTAACTTCTCCACTACGACTTAAATACGGGAAATTTCCTCCGGATTTTAAACTTGCTCTCGTAGCATCAGGATAACATTTGATCATTTCATCTTTAACAGCAGAAGACAATGCACAATCATCATAAACCTAAAATATTAAAAAATTTACATTTCAATTCTTCTTACACCTTTAGGACAGGAAGAGATAGAGAGAGAGAGAGAGAGGATTTAATGTCAACTGGACACAAACTAGGTCATTTCAGGACTAACATATGGTTCAATTTTATTTCAATAATTCGCTTATGGGTAGGGGTTTTAGCAGTGGGAGGAAATCGGAGGACCCCCCAAAAAACCCAGGAGGCTGGACAGGCGACCCTATTTCTTGTCACCGGGGAATCAAAACCATGGCAGTTGACTGGACAGGAATGGGCCTCCATAACAGTCGGTAGTACTCTGAGAATACTCGATTTAACATTCCAGAATAAAATTCTCACAATTGCTTCAACGAAACTGAGCATGATGTCATCGCAGTCATTTCGGAATTGTGACGTCATATCAAAATTGAAGCCTGTCAATCAATATGCAATTATCTGAGGAACAAGACCAACAAAATAAGTAGCGCTGAAAAGCATAACCCATATCAAAATTGAAGCCTGTCAATCAATATGCAATTATCTGAGGAACAAGACCAACAAAATAAGTAGCGCTGAAAAGCATAACCCATATCAAAATTGAAGCCTGTCAATCAATACGCAATTATCTGAGGAACAAGACCAACAAAATAAGTAGCGCTGAAAAGCATAACCCATACAAGGGAGGCAATTTACTTACAGACAAAGGACTTCAATGTTAAATTCAAGCCTTTTATTGACCAATCTGATTAAAATACAGATCTGTAGTTCATTTCATTTTTCTTACACTTTCAATGGCCTCTACTACATGAAGATCTGACCGGTTGTAGTGGGAGGTCGTGTCAGGAGTCATACAAGTGGCTTTTGACCCTACGACGTCAGACATTTGATTAACCAATCAACGTTGATGTTTCTAGTGGAATACCTGCAGTTCCGTGCACAACACACCAAAAACTCGCCGTAACATACCGTTTCATTGGCTAATCCCTCACATCAACCAAAACGCAGATAATATAACAACTCTTCCAGATCCTAGTGTAGTAAAAACACAGATGTGACCTCATCCTTTTATGTTGGTGTACGGGCAATGTGCCAAGCGGACAATATTTATACTAGTAGAAATTTTGGACCTGTGTGATGTATTCCATCGCAAAGCATGTGCGAGTGTCTGTATTTTAAGTTGTTCAAACATACTTTATGCAAGAGCTAAATCTGTCTATTGCAGGTCTTTCTTTAGGCCTGAAATGTTATCTAAATTATTAATTAGACATTAATTAACCTATCCAGACCAGAATTAACTCTAGATGGCATCGCTAGCCTGCGATCTTTAGTGGATTATGAGCCGATTTACTGCATAACTTTCCTTCACGATTTAACGAATAAATGGATAATCGAGACTATGCTGTTTATCGTACTGACTTTAGTAATGATGATCAAGGCTAGCCGGAAATTTCAACATCTTAGTTCTCGGTTCATAGCGGAACAATTTGAATGAAATTTTCAGCAAATTGCCTTTACATTAACTAGTTTTTAACTATTATAGTGAGAACAGCCAACTCGTTACACTAGGGACCGGGTATCATTCAGATTTGATGAAAAAAGGAAAGAAACTGAGCTTACCATCTATAATCTAATACACATATTCAGCTAATAAATAGCCATGCAGAAAGTATTAAATACCATCAAGATTCATCAAATAACGCCCAGTATTGATATATTGTAGTTATATAAAGATATTTAAATTATACTGTGTTTTGTTAATGTGAACTATAAGTACATGACTGTCAATCCGCCCCAAAAAGAACCAAAGGTCCAATTTTGTGACATCTGGCGAGCTTGCCAGGATTTGATTACTTTGTACTTAATGGTTAACGTTAATAAATATTCGGATACATCCATCAATATATTAGTACCTTTACATTTTATTGTTTGTAATGTTTTATAGATCGTAATATTATTATTTTGTATTTTATGAATAAGCTCGTATGTTTATATTATTTAAAAAGTTTGTGATCACTTTTGCTAGCTTAGGTCCAATTTTGTGACAGTCTCTAGCTTAAGACATTGTGTAATATATTGAAACAATGCTCGAGACCATTAAACCACACATAATGCATGTTTAATTATAAAGAAAATGTACTTACATCCATTAAAGTTATAGGAATTGCTTGTGCTTGTATTTTCTGTGGTTCAACATAACAGTTCATACAATTTAAAGTTAATCTAGACGCCAATTCTTGCTGACTTAAATGATCTAACTGAAGAAAGAACAAGAAACTACAATGATGTAAAGGTTGGTTTCCGTAGTACCAGGACAGCGGCACTACAGCCTACTCTTATATCGAATTCCAACTGTCAAGGGATCTTTTATGTGCTTGCCAATATATACAAGGGACCTCGGTTTTTCGTCCCATCCGAATGACTAGACAGCTGGATCACTGACAAGGGGGAACCACGCCGGGAAATCTAGATGAACTTTCTCAGCCAATGCAGGGATCGAACACCTGACTTCCAGGCTAGCGAGCCAGTGTTTTACCAACTTAGCCACCACTTAGCCATCTTGACTCCACAGATTAAGCCATGGATAATTTGATATCTTCCCGAAAATTCGAATAGAGAGAGAGAGACAGAGACACAGAGAGAGAGAGTAGAGGTCTTTAGCAGTGGGAGGTAAACGGAGGACTCGGAGGTTGGACAGACGACCCCAGTCCTTGTCACATACAACCGGGGAATCGAAAATGAAGCACAGAGACTTTTGTAAGGCTGTTGAATAAGTAGATATTATGCTGTCCACTGAATGAGATGATGAAAATGAAATGGGGTTTAACGTCCTACTGTTCTGCTCCAACTGGGCTAATGAAAACGGACTGAATGAGACCAACTTAGAATCCATCTCTAACAAAACTATTAATTTGGAGAGGTAAAAATGAAATGAAATGAAATGGGGTTTAACGTCCTACTGTTCTGCTCCTAACCTGGGCTAATGAAGCCGGGCATACGCCATACAGTGTGCTATGAGGGAAATTTTCCCCGGACAGCGGCACTACGGCCTACTCTTATATCGAATTCCAACTGCCAAGGGATCTTTTACGTGCACGCCAAAGTGTACACGGGACCTCGGTTTTTCGTCCCATTCGAATGACTAGACAGCTTTCCTTGTCAGGCCCTCCGTCCTGCATCACTGACAAGGGAGAACCACGCCGGAAAATCTGGATGAACTTTCTCGGCCAATGCAGGGATCGAACACCCGACCTCCAGGCTAGCGAGCTAACGTCTTACCCACTTAGCCACGTGATTCCCAATTTGGAGAGGTCTTTTTATCAATCTAAAATATGAAAATATACTAAACCATATGCATTCATATTAAATTTTCTCTTCTTACTTTTTCTACCAAGAAATCTATAGAATCTGCAATCTCTGCAATAACCATCCCTTTTTCAAAATTTCCCATCACCATTTTCTTTAAAAATAATGCCGGCATCATCCAAAACCTGCAATATAATTTTAATGGTATTATAAGTAATGGAACATTTCAAGAGTAATGAGTAATGAAAAAGTACATGTAATTAAACATATATTATACAAGAGCTAATTCTGTCTATAGCAGGTCTTTCTTTAGGCCTAAAATGTTATCTAAATTATTAATTAGATATTATAGGACAATATTGGTGTCAGTCATTATCACATATGTGATAGAACTGGTTAAACACGTTCCAAATATTATTTTATCACAGAGATCATTGCTACGATAGATGAGTAATCAATGTTTCAACAATCGGATGTGACGAACGCAAAAGGAAAACATGAGTTTTCCCTCTATATAACTGACTGAAGTGACGGGTGATAACAGATACATGGGCTAATTTATGCTCACTAATAATTCCTTCGAAGGCCAAAAGTTGTTGCACAAAAAAGGTCACCGGCAAACGTGAAAACAACACAAGAAAATGTCCCAAAAAATTACAAAATTGAAAAAAGTCGCTTTCTCATATCTTTCCAGTTCAGATCGCAGAACCTTAGCGTTTGTTTTGAACATGCTCAAAACAAGCGCCGTGACTCGGCGATCATTGGCGACCACAGCACGATAGCTGGTGTTTCCACCACGCTTATGGCGATCTTAACCCGCTCTAAAACCATTTTCCGTCACCGTAGCAGCGAAGTAAGGACCCCACCCCGGTGTGACGGGGGTATTACATTGAATAAAACCATGAAGTGCGATGGAGTTTTCCATCGCCGTAGCAGCAAAGTAAGGACGCCACCCCGCTCTGACGGGGGTATTACATTGAGTAAAACCATGAAGTATGATGGAGACAAACAATGTCACACACATAAAGATAAAACACAGAATGGCTCCAGCATGTACCGCAGTGCACATGCAGATCGAGACCTGTCTCATCAGTGTGCATGTCCCGTGAAACACACCCAGAGAGAGTTAATTAACTAGCAGATGATAAAAGTCAATATTTATATTTCAATCATGTTCCTGAAGCAACAACTGTGAGTTTTACAACATCTGGCCGTTGCTAGATTACTTCACAATTTCCGAACTGATAGCTATGTTATCTACAGACAGGTGAGCAGTAGCATCCAATCAGAGTTTGTGACATCGCGATCTCCACGGAAACCTTGAACTTTGCAACTCGATTATCACAGGTAGACATTTTCACTTGAACCCAATCAAAATTAGTGCCGAAATATGCAGGGTCTTACATGAAGGCCTTGATAAGATGTACGTAGTTAAAGTGAGATCAAGCCTTCTATTGAAGATGTATTTCAACAGGATCAACGTTTTAATCAGATTGACCTGGTGAGCCGACCAAACATGGCTGATCAAAGTGTAAAATGTTTTTCTTACGTTGGTGCTGTAGCTGATTGTTGAAAAATACTTGTGTCATAAAAGGAATTGCATAGTATAAGGGAAGCTACTCTAGGAGACCGATGTGTAAATTCTGTAAATTTCTGTGCTAAAAAACCACCAAGTGAAGCTCCAAAAATATGAACCTAAAATAAACAAATATTGGATAAAATAAAACAGATAAAAAAGATCAGATTATAATGAAAATGAAACAAGGTTTAACATCCTACTGTTCTGCTCCTATGCTGGGCTAATGAAGACGGGCATATGCCATACAGTGTGCCTCGTTTTTTGTTACTTTATCAACTTATGTTAATATTTTTTGATATCAAAAAAGACTAGTAGGAGATTCTCTATTTATAACTATCCTCAGTTACAAATTAATTATCAGTATGAAAAATAACTATCTATCAGTATAATTTTGAACATTAGTCAGGTTTCAAAGATCAATAGAATCAATTTTTTTACAAAACACACCTTATAATTCTAGTATAATTATTAATGTATGAGGTATGATTGTGAAGTTGGATAGCCAAAAATCCACACACACTTCAATACACTATGCATCGGACATTAGACATCAGCATGCAGGGTTATTTTCTTAAAATCTACTATAACTTGTTAAAGTGGCATTTGATGGATTACTGAAATGAAATAAAATGGGGTTTAATGTCCTACTGTTCTGCTCCCAAGCTGGGCTAATGAAGACGGGCATACGCCATACAGTGTGCTATGAGGGAAATTTTGCCCGGGCAGCGGCGCTACGGCCTACTCTTATATCGAATTCCAACTGCCAAGGGATCTTTTACGTGCATGCCAATATGTACACAGGACCTTGGTTTTTCGTCCCATCCGAATGACTAGACAGCTGTCCTTGTCAGGCCCTACGTCCTGCATCACTGACAAGGGGAAACCACACCGGAAAAGATTGATTACTGATCAGACGTACCTTATCTAACTGTAAATGATCTAAAAGTTTACGGAAGCCCTCACAAAATTCTTTCATCGTCCAATATACTGGATATTCTACCTGAAAAACACATCATGAAAATATACATATTAAATAACTCGTCAAATATCAAGGCTAAATTCCGTATTGCAGTTAAACATACATTATGTAAGAGCTAAATCTGCCTATTGCAGGTCTTTCTTTAGGCCTGAAATGTTATATAAACTATTAATTAGACATTTATGAACAAAACAAGACCATAATCGACTCTCGATGGCATCGGATACACATGATTTTAACTAGATTAAAACGGTTCGCCATTCAAAAATTTAATTTAAAAATGGGAAAGCAAGGCTAAGTCCCGATTATACCAGTGCCCTGGTTTACCACTGTGCACACATCTTGCCAAAACTACAAACAATGATAACTTGGCTAAGAATGAAGTAAATTGATTGAAATTTTCAATATTTTCTTTTTTCATCATCTATTTTTGAATTATTATATCTTTAAAGATACATTATGTATGAAGCAGATAAAGAGCTAACCATTCTTGCTATAATAGTTTGAAAATAGATATTGCAAAATTAATATATTGAAAATTCTATTCAAATTACTTTATATTGAGCCACGTTATCACTGTTTGTAGTTTTGACAAGATGAGTACATTGATTGTTTATTATCGTAACCATGGTACTGGTATATCCGAGGCTTAGTCTCGCTTCTCCATTTTTAAATTAAATTATTAAATGGCCAAATTGTTTTAATTTATTTAAAATCCCAAGTGTCCAATGGCATTGAGAGTTGATTATGGTTTTGTCATCTTAAAAAATGTCTAATTAATATTTTAGAAAATATTTAAGGCCTAAAGATAGACCTGCAATAGGCAAATTTAGCTCTTGAATAATGCATTTTTAAAAAGTTTCAGGTTCAATATATTCCTGTCATATTGTGAGGAATGCATTTCCATCAACTCTTTCTTGAATTGCAGCTGCTTAGGGATCTTTTATCTGCGCTAACAAATTGTAAACATATGATTGACTACCCAGTGCTGACAACACTCGGCAAACCTCGGCAGATTCCAGTACCCTACATCTAGCCTCGAATGTATGACGAAGTCCGCCATTGGAACTATTTTCAAGTTCCGGGATTACAAACGGCATCGCCCATGACGACGCCTTTGAAGAATGTTTTATCATACAAATATTTCAAAGTCTGAAGCTGTTTTTCTTTCAAGTTTACCCGATTTTCTTCAAACTTTACACTGAAAATTCTAAACACGCTTCGAACGAAGCAATTTTGATTATTCGATTATTCGAACGAAGCAATTTTGATAACTTCTTTTTAAAAGCGGCACGTTTTCCTAATAAGTAAACCGGTGCCGCATCGCAATTGTATATGCGTAGGTACATATCACTTACCGGCATACAGCCAAGGCTAGATGTAGAGTAACCGAATCCGCTGAGGTTTGCCCAGTGATGAGCTGACAAGTGAGAAGACGCTTTAAAAATTCATGAACCGGCTAATCGAGAAATGTGACAATGCTTTTGCAAGATAGGTAATTGGAGATTATGAATCTGGAAAGTTGTTGTTTGAGACTTGTTTTTCTTTGTATCTTTCTGGTGAAATGTAAAAATAATTTTTTGATTTTCTAAATGAAATTTTATCTTTATATTAAAACACAATTAAATTAAAGATACATTATGAGAGATAAGATAAAGAGATGGCAGTTCTCGCTATAATAGTTAAAAACTAAATAGTGTAACGGTAATTTGCTGACAATTTCAGTCAAATTGATCCACTATGAGCCAAGAAAGAAGCGGGTGAAATTTTTGCATAGTCTCGGTCATCATTACTAAAATCATTAATATAAACAGCATAGTCTCGATTATCCACTTTTATTGATTTAATTATCAATAGCCGTTAACAGCATATAGGAATCTAATCCAGCCAACATCGAAGGCTAGCCATGACATCGAGAGTTTATTATGGTCTGGATAAGTTAATTAATGTTTAATTGATAATTTAGATAACATTTCAGGCCTAAAGAAAGACTTGTAATAAGCACATTTTGCTCTTGCATAATGCATGTTTAAACAAAAACACAATTTACAAATCTGATATGACAAATGTCTGATTTGTAAAACAAATATTGATTTTTAAGATACAAATGTTAACTTAAGCATACACAAATATCTAAATACGAAAACAAATGAAGAAATAAGGACTTAAGAACTAAGAATACTACATGAAGAGCTGTTTGATCTTCCATATCAAAATGGAGGTGTTTTTAATTATTACATCAATCAATAGTTAGTGCTAAATGATAAGGGCAACTTAATTTTTCGTCATCAGTCACAAGATGTTAACAGGACTAGCGCTAATCCCAACTCTAACCCTAACCCTGGACCTACCCTAACGCTAACCTTAAATCTCACAAACAACCACGTGCCCTAAACTTTATTTACATCTCAGTGACCTTGACAAAAATTTGACCTTGACAAAAGCCGATAAAAACAACAATTATAAACGTTGTGATAACATTCTACATTTTTTGTCATATACAAATCATGATAACATAATCTACATTATCGTAACTTTTAGGGTCAAAAAATCAGGTCAGTGTCTGACTGACATATATCTCACCCAATAATACATTCAACAGTAGATATTACTTGTGTGATAAATTTCATAATCTACAGCATCGCTTTACATGAATTTCAGAATTTGATTGGTCAGTCAAAAAGGAACTGCTGTTTTTTATTTTCAAAGAACAGTTCATTTTTTATTAAATTAACTTGTTTTTTTATTAAAAATGAACTATCTTTATTTAATTGACCTTGATGGAAACACTGAGTCAATATAAATGACTTTGCAATGGTTGAATTGCTGTCAAAAAATTATGTATGTTCAATAAAAGTGAAATCTATAGCCAAGAATTATATTTATTTATTTGTGCATGTAAGAAAGGATTGGGTGATAAATAAAATCTCCTACTCGTCTTTTTTGATATCAAAAAATATCAACACTCATCGATAAAGTAAAAAAACAACCGAGGCTCTGCAGAGTTTTTTTTAACTTTATCGATTTGTGCTGATATTTTTTGATATCAAAAAAGATGAGTAGGAGATTCTCTATTTATCCTACCTTGAACAAAATAAAAGGTGGGATAAGGGTGTACGGTGTACCAATGGTCGAACATGTGCACTTTGGATCATAAGGTCTGTCATTGAGTCAAGTGGCATGGATTCGATCCCACACATGTATGTGATGAGGAGTAGGTCACATGCATAACCTTGTGGGTCCTTCTGTTTTCCCCCAAGCAAATTTTTGAAATAATTTTTGAAATAGAATTGCACCATTCTATTGTCCCGAAACGACTAAGTTTGAGTTGAGTGGATGCCAAACCCCATTTCACTCTTTCTTTTTTTATTTTCATAAAAAGATGTAATTTCAAGAGAGAGAGAGAGAGAGAGAAAGAGAGAGTTTAACTGCAACTCGACACATACTAGGTCATTTCGGGACTAACATATAGTTTAATTTTATTTCAATAATTCGCTTGTGCGTAGGCGTCTTTAGTAGTGGGAGGAAACCGAAGGACCCGGAGAAAACCCACGAGGTTGGAGAGGCGACCCTACTCCTTGTCACGTACAACCAGGAATTCGAAACCACGCCAGTTGACTCAATGACAGGCCTTATGATGCAGCTTGCACGTGCTAACCATTCGGCCATACAACAACCCTTTTGAAATAGAATTACACCATTCTATGGTCCCGAAATGACTTAGTTTGTGTTGAGTAGATACCAAATCCCATTTCACTGTTATTTTGTTATTTTCATAAAAAGATGTGATCTCAACATGTCAAGATTTTTGAAACGTAAATAAATCAAGTACATCGATTCAGTAGTTGCTGAGATACAAACGTACCCCATCATTATTCAATGAAAGCACAAAACATTTGGCCTTGTGGATGACCTGTTAAAACAACATAACAGTACAAATTGGGTTTCAGTCTTCAAAATTACAAGATCAATTCATGTATATAGCAGGTTGATTTTTACTTAGAAGATCATAAGTTGCCCGGCAACAAAAACACACAACTAACAGCCATTTTGTTCACCAGACTACTCATTTGGTTTTAAGGACGAACCCTTGGAAATGAAATTCACAATTTTATGATCAGAAATTGCATAATTATTCCCTCTGTTTAGGTTCAATTATAACAGAATTTTGTAAAACTGATTAAAATTCAAAAATATTTGATTTTAAATTTTGAAGAGAGAGTGAGAGAGAGAGAGGGATCTGGTTTAATGTCCATTCAGCACAAATTAGGTCATTTCAGGACTAACATATGGTTCAATTTTATTTCATTAATTCACTTTGCTTAAAACATTTGGCCACCCAACCCCCATGACTAGATATAAAATTTATATGGTGCTATCATCCATGTAAGATAGTGACATGCTTTATAAGCCCAGAAAGATAATAATATCCATTTGTTCGTACATGTTATAGTAATGTCATGCATTAAAGGTAAGTTATAATTCTTGAGGTCAGATGTCTGTTATAAAAAGTCAGTGTGAACTGTTAATAGATAATAACATACACTTCAGATAAATAAATATACAGTTATATAAGTCAGTAAATTAGTTTATAGTACAATCTGATTAAAACACAGATCCTATTTTGTTTTGAACTATAAAAAACGAAACGAAAAAGTTCAAAATTTCGTTTTTTTTTTTGGGGGGGGGGAGCCACGGTGGCTAGGTGGTTAAGACGCTGGCTCGCTAGCCTGGAGGTCGGGTGTTCGATCCCTGCATCGGCCGAGAAAGTTCATCCTGATTTTCCGATGTGGTTCCCCTTGTCAGTGGTGCAGAACGGAGGGCCTGACAAGGACAGCTGTCTAGTCCTTCGGATGAGACGAAAACCTGAGGTCCCGTGTATACATTAGAATGCACGTAAAAGATACTTGGCAGTTGGAATTCGATATAAGAGTAAGCGATAGTGTCGCTGCCCGGGCAAAATTTCCCTCATAGCACACTGTATGGCGTATGCCCGTCTTCATAAGCCCAGTATAGGAGTAGAACAGTAGGACGTTAAACCCCATTTCATTTCATTTCATTTCGTTTTACTTGTCTTTACTAAACTAGGATCTGGAAAAGTTGTTATCATTGACGTGTTCTGAATGATGTGAGAGATTAGCCAATGAAACGGTCTGTTACGGCAAGCTTTAGGCGTGTTTGCACAGAACTGTGGGTAATCCAATAGTAACATCAATGCTGATTGGTTAATCAAATGTCTGACGTCATAGGGTCAAAAGCCCCTCGTTATGACCTCTGACGCGACTACAACCGGTCAGATCGTCATGTAGTGTAGGCCATCGAAAGTATAAAAAAACAAAACGAAATATAGATCTGTATTTTAATCAGATTGGTTATAGTCAAAATATCCCGTCTCCCCCCCCCCCCCCCCCACTAATATTTCACTTTAATTACATTCTGTTTAAACACATCCAGCGGCTGCCAGGCAGGATACGCCCACATTTTCGAGAGATGGATAGAGAACAACCCCAGAGAAAATGACACTGAAATTTCAGTGAAATTTGAACATTTTGCTCAATCTCACTGAAATGACCAAATTTCACTGAAATCTACCCAAAATTTCACTGAAATCTACCCAAAATTTCACTGAAATCTACCCAAAATTTCACTGAAATAAAAATATATTTTGGTCTATTACTGAAATTTCACTAAAATAAACAAAAATTTTGGTCTACTGAAAATTCACTGAAATATAATATATTTTGGTCTACTGGAATTTCACTGAAATATTTATATTGCAAATTTCATTGAAATTCCATTGAAATATCATTGAAATTTCACTGAAATTACAAAACATAAAAATGTCATTTTTTCATTGCAAATATTTTAATAACTGCATATAAAGATTTGTACTTTGTGAAAGAGAGCACTTCGAAATTATAGCCTAATAGTGTCAGAAGACGAAATGTTTTTAATTTCCATTAATTAATCACGTTATTTCCTGAAGTAGATAATTTCATTGACGTTTATTTTATTCGCCCATCACCGTGCGTAATCCATGAACACGTGCATGTTTAAAATGATGTCTAAACTTATGAGTGACTCAACATCAAAATTTTTTCCGATATGCTCCGATAATCATTGTATTATGATAGAATGGCTATAAAACGACCTGCCAAACATCTGCGCCAATGAAGTGAAACTGTTTGCAGATGACACAAAGTTATTCGTCCGCAGTGACGTCCCAGGAGCCATGACTGCCTTGCAAGCTGACCTCGACAAGCTCCAGCAGTGGTCGCAGGATTGGCTACTCCGCTTCCATCCGCATAAGTGCAGCGTCCTGAAACTTGGCAGTAAAAGATCTGACGCAGTATACACCATGCAAGATGGAACACTGGGCACAATAACGTTGGAGGAACACGAGCATGAAAAAGATCTTGGCGTTTATGTCGACAACAAACTATCCTTCAAAGAACATGTAGCAAAAAGTACAGCAAAAGCCAATAGAGTTGTTGGCATTATTCGACGCACCTTCGACTTTCTCAGCAACGACCTCTTTGTACAACTGTACAAGAGCCTTGTGCGCCCGATCCTAGAATACGGACACTCAGTGTGGCAGCCGCACCACAAAACTCTTTGTAGTAATGTAGAAGACGTACAACGACGAGCAACCAAGCTGTTGGCAACACTGCGAGACAAACCATACCCTGAGAGACTGGCGATTCTGAGACTACCCACTTTGGAGCATCGCAAATACAGAGGCGATATGATCGACCTGTACAAGTATATCCATGGGATCTACGTTTCAGATCGACCTAAATTTGAGATCACTAGCGACCGTGCAACAAGGGGGAACAGTCTTAAGATCAACAAACATCGCTGTAGGCTAGATGTTCGCAGCCAATCATTCTCTCAGAGAGTAGTTAACATGTGGAATGACCTACCAGAGGCCGTGGTGAGAGCACCATCTGTGAACAGCTTCAAAAGCAGACTCAATGGTCACTGGAAAGAACTGGCAAGTGTCTACAACCCAACCTGCCAGTCCTAAACTATGTAAACATGTTGTTCTAACTTTTGCCACCCGTATCAGTGCCACGCATGCCACAACTACAGAATGCATGTTTAGTTAATTTGAGTGATGAACAAGCCATTCAAGGCTTCAAACATCTAATACGTCAAGGTCAAGGTCAAACGTAACACACGTGTTTCAAAAGCCATACTTGGAAACGAGGTCATCAATTACGGCACCCGTAAATTTCATTTACGGCAAATATTTTACGATCAATAAATATAATCATGTTTTGAAATCAACCTATTTTATTGTGAAAAGAGAGAATAAACCTAACTCATTTTAAATTCAAATTTTGAGGTCATTGCCGATTAGCATAAACAATGTATGTCAATGATGCCGAGATTCCAAGGGTGTCGAGTTACAGGCACTGTTTTTAAAAATTTTGGAATGGAAAACAAACGAAGAAATTTTTAATTCTGTAATGGTTGTAAATTATATGAAACTCTCGTGCAAACAAAATGACCTCGCGTGCATGTTAAATTACTAAATTGATAAACCGGTGTCGCTATTTAAACAGATTAACGGGCTTAATTAACCTAAGTTCTTTTCACCGTTTCGCTAAAGGCTTCCGAATTTTTAATCAAATGTTCAAATTCCTGGAAAATAGGCGCGTATTTTATAATACAGTTGTGTTTGTCATAGAACGGTTTGTGCACGTAAATGTTTGGATTATAAGAGTAAATTTCGAAGTAGTTATAATTCAGGAAGTTACCAACTGGGTTATAAACTTACATTTCAAGTTTCAACAAAATAGGATTAAAATTGTGACGTCTATAGGGTCAACAACCTTGATATACCATATTTTTACGCTATTTGAGAACGAAAGGTGGCCATTTTGTCTGTCAGTTTTGGGCCGATTTTCAAGATTCGAACTCAGCCGTCCTTAGGGTGTAACGGTGATATAATAATACGTTTTTTTAAATCAGATAAAAATTATGACCTCTATAGGGTCCACATGAAAATGTGGGCGTATAAAAATCATGTACAAAATGAAATGAAATGGGGTTGAACGTCCTACTGTTCTGCCTTGAACTAAATCATGTACAAAAATAATTGCGTAAAATTGGAGGTCAAATTAAATTTCATTAGGCCACTGTGGTTTTATTTTTATGAGTTATAGAGTATTATAAAGTATTTATTGTAAGTTTACAATTGGGTTATAAATTAGAACTATGCGCATTTTTATTTCATCTAAATTTGCAGTTTTGTGTATTAAATCTCAAGTTTTTCAGGTGTTGTTCAGGGTTAGGGAGCAACTTTATTAGAATTAACTACGGCAATAGTTACGTCTAGTTCTATCAGTGTGGATAAAGGGCATAAAATGTCCATTTGCGTACTACACTTGACAATAAAGAAATGTGTACTGTCGATCATAATCTTGAAATACGAATAATGCTTAAAATCATAATGCCAAACTAATTATGGCCGTATTCGTAAACTTAAACTGTGGACTGCAACAGACCAGAAAGAGCATGACAATGTTCAAATCAGTCATTTAAATTTTCACTTCATGGTAATGAACAGAATAATCCCATAGTCAATATATGGGTTAATAAGAAGTTACACATAAATGTGTCACAGAATAGGGGCGTGGCTAACTGTGACATAGAAATGGCACTTTAATACAATTTAATATGATCATACATAGAGAGAGAGAGAGAGAGAGAGAGAGAGAGAGAGAGAGAGAAATGGGGTTTAAAGTCCACTCGATACAAACTAGATCACTTCGGGACTAACATATGGTTTAATTATATTTCAATGAAACCCACAAGGTTGGACAGGCGACCCTACTCCTTGCCACGTACAACCAGAGAATCGAAACCACGCCAGTTGACTCAATGACAGACCTTATGATGCAACGTGCATGATGTTGAGTATGATATAATAAAGATTAGATTAATCTCCAGATAGATTGTATGATAAACTGTAATCAACATGGTTATCTAATATCAATTACTACTACAACATTTCATTTCACATGGATTTAAAATCTGATGAAAAGATTGCATAACAATTAGAAATATGGAAAACAAAAAGTTTAAACCAGTCCTTTTGAATCCCCTTTTACAATGTCCATATTTGATGTGAGAAGGAGTATAGGTCACCTGTCTTGCCTGATTTTCTTTCATGCTTTAGCTTACCCTTGATCTTGGTCACCCAAAGAAAGAGTTCTAACAGTGAAATATTGAAAGATCAATCATGCAACCCTGCTACTCAGGGATTGATTGATTTACGAAGAACTCATCACTAACTTAGAATTCTTATAAGCAACCGTTGTGCATTAGATCATCAGGTCTGTCATTAAATCAAGTGGCATGGCTTTGATCCCAGGCTTGTACGTGACAAACAGAAGATTCACCTGCCTAATGTGGGCTTCCTTTAGGCTCTCTGATTTCCTCCTAATGATAAAGACCTATGCACAGTACCAAATTATTGAAACCCAAGATACAACACCTTAGTCCCAAAATGATCTAATTTATGGAGGACAAATGAATTATCCGGAATCGAATAGTCCTCGGGAATGAATTGTCCGGGGAAGAAGTGGTGGGGTTCTAATAGTCCCGGGCGACAAATTGTCCGGGAACGAGTGGTGGTCTGGAGACGAATTGTCCCATACCCCTAATTTATGTCGAGCGGACATTTAACTTCCATTTTCTCTCTCGCACCAACAATACTCCTGAAAAATCAACGATATTCAATGCCACAGTTGTTTTTCTAACTTACTGATATGACTCTGTAACCAACTGCCGATAAAGCTAAAATCTGTCTAAAATATATATCAGCTTGACCACTAGCTGGTGGGAAACATACTAAAGGACACTTGATTGATTTGGGACCAGCATCATATAAACTCCATTCTTTACTATTGTCATCATCTACAATAATCTGTAATATATAACAATCATCAATATAATCATCAACTATAATCATCCACTATAATCATCTACTATAATCATCTACTATAATCTGTAATATATAACCATAATCAATATCATCATCAACTATAATCTGTAATCTATAACAATCATCAACTATAATCATCTATAATAATCTGTAATATATAACAATCATCAATGTCATCATCAGCTATAATCTGTAATATATAACCATAATCAATATAATCATCTACTATAATCTGTAATATATAACCATAATCAATATCATCATCAACCAGGGCTGGCCACGAATAAATTGATGGCGAGCAGATGACTGCTCCCGCAAATTTAGGTTTGGGCGAGCAAGGCGAGCAATAAAAATTGCTCACGCAAAATGTTGTTTGCATGAGCATACATTTTGTAACACTGTTTCAATTTAAAATCATAAGAAAATTGCTATTCCTGGCACAAAGTTTGCAGTAAACATGTGTGACCATCGCTTTCTGTTTTTGACAGTCATACGTACTCTTCTTTATTAAAACCAATTTCCGTATGGATTTCTTCACCCCACGAAATAAATGTGGATAGGGCAATCAGGTTGCCTTTGGCCATTATTACGCTTAGATTGAAAATTATACGACTGCACAATGGAATAAAAACCGAAGTTCTGATAAAATAGGAAATAACGATAAATATTAGTTTGAAACGTGTTCATTTAGCGTGAATGCCAAATGCCGGATGTTAACATTCTTTACTTTAGACTCGATTATCACGTGTTTGTTACTGGTGTTCGTAGGAAAACCAGTCATGACATTCAGGTCTAAAGTGTATTTTTAGTAACACAAGTTGCGAGTAACTTTATTAGCCAATCAAATTTCAGGAGGAAATGCCGCATGCAGCTGGGTGAATCTCAGTTTGACAGACGAATTTATGACGTTATTGACATTGTTGGGTTAGTTTCGGCAATAAACTTGTCAATATTTTGATTATTTTTACAGGGTTTTCTTAAAATTTTGCGCGAGCAACGAACCGCTCGCGTAAATGTAGATTTACGCGAGCACAGCGCGAGCGCGAGCAGTTGCTCGCGTCTCGTGGCAAGCCCTGATCAACTATAATCTGTAATATTTGTAACAATCATCAATATAATCATAAAATAATAATCTGTAATATATAACAATCATCAACTATAATCTGTTATATATAACCATAATCAATATAATCATCTACTATAATCTGTAATATATAACAATCATTAATATAATCATCTACTATAATCTGTAATATATAACAATCATTAATATAATCATCTACTATAATCTGTAATATATAAGGCTGCGGTTAATTAAAGGTTTGTTTCTCATGACCTGTGTTTGTGAAATATACATGCTACATGAGGTAATTATTAATTATCAATTATTGTGATGGAATTTAAAATTTTTGAGTTTATTGCTGTGTCTATTTCAGCAATAACTAATGTCCGTTACTTGGTCATTGAAACCCAATGGTAACCGCTGTCCATGATTTATTCACATTTAATACATTTTTATAGATTAAAATATCTGGTACACAATAGCCCGGCATCGGAAGACTTGATCATAATGATAGGTCTAAATTATTAGTGATATGCTTCTAAGTTACATGTTCGTTAATTCATTCATTCATGCTCTTTCCCTACTTTGACAGGTTATGAAATGACCTGTTCCAATCAGGTTGATGGTTTGTTCTGACATAAATATTTAAAAGCATACCTTTGGATTTTTAGATAAAACAGAAGTTAGATTATTAACATGTCAGTCCAAAGAATTTATTACACACGTGTTCGTTTCTCTAAAATTGAAGAAGACAGTACCAATAACCTGTATGTTAATTGTCTTCAACTTTGACCCCATTCGCACATAGCATCGTGATAATATAAATACTTTTATAATTTTGTCGATCTTCATCAGATATTCACATTTATTAGTATCTTTGTGTCCTTTTGAGACTGTGTTTATAGAGTGTCGTGGTTAAAAAAAATACCTGTGAAGTAGTGTCAATCAGTCGGTACCTCATGATCCAGGCTATCTCATGGCTTCAGTTATAGAACCGAATGTTCGTCACAGAGCGCTAGTCACATAAATAAAATATTTTAGCTGGAATTTAAAGACATTTTATCTTTCCGTGAATTTTATTACAAATGACAAGTGCCTTATGAAGTACATGTATGTATGTCGTCTTTGGTGAAAGAAAATGCTGCAGCAACCATTCCTTTGTTTAATGACAGATATGATACAGCTTTTTTAACTTCCTGTTTCACGTACATTACATATTTCTTTTTTTTCTTCGCATTCTAGCTTACTAGGCTTTAATTATCACCTAGTGTCAATTTTATAGATAAACAGTCGATTTTAATGCGTCAATTCATGGTTCATATTTGAAGGCAAACAAATATCGTTTTACAAATTTTACAGGACGAATTTGTGACCTCTAAATTTGACCTCTAGGCTTTAATTATCACCTAGTGTCAATTTTATCGATAAACAGTCGATTTTAATGCGTCAATTCATGGTTCATATTTGAAGGCAAACAAATATCGTTTTACAAATTTTACAGGACGAATTTGTGATCTCTTAATTTGACCAAATATTTATGGAAGTGCGTAATTATTACGGATGAAAAAAGACATGCAGGCAGGTCACGAGAAACAAACAATTAATTAACCATGGCCTAATGATGATCGAGGCGAGCCTAAAATTCAAAAGCTATTATCTTGGTTTAGTGTGGATCGATTTGACTGAAATTTTCAGCATAGTCTCCTTACGTTATCTATTTTTACGTTATCTATTTTTTAAGTATTATAGCGAGAACTATCAGCTCTTTATTTAATCTTCCATAATTCCCCTTTAAATAAAATCACAAATTTGTTGATGTAAGTGAATTTCAATTTACGTTAAGTAAGGAATTAATTCGTCAGTCATGGATTTTAATAAAGATTAGATAGCGAAATGAAATAAAATGGGGTTTAACATGCCCCTTTAATGAAATATTAAATAATCAATTAAGTACAATTAAGCCTGGATTAATTAAGCTGTGAAATATAAGATATTGAATGAAAACAGAAAATAAAAGTAACTAGTTTACCTTTTTTAAAGGGACTGAACTGCGAAAACTTTGATATTCTTGAGAATTAATTATATCACTCATGATGATAGATCTACTGTAGCTTGAGCTTCATTGTGTATTTATCTGAAGAAGAAAAAAAATGTCATCAAAAGACAGAACTTCTGAAGTATTTACTGAATCTGTACACCAATTTTTTTTTTAACTTTTAAACTGATAGCATTATCTTATAAACCTAAGCAAGAGAGAGAAAGAGAAATAGGTTTAACGTTCATTCGACACAAACTAGGTCATTTCCGGACTAACATATGGTTTAATTTTTATTTCAATAATTCCCTTGCACGTAGGGGTCTTTAGCAGTGGGAGGAAACCGGAGAAACCACACGAGGTTGGACAGGCGACCCTACTCCTTGTCACGTACAACCGGGGATTCGAAGCCATGCCAGTTGACTCAATGACCGGCCTTATGATACAGCACGAACGTGCTAACCATTCGGCCATCCAACCCCCCAATAAACCTAAGTCTTTTACTGATGAAATATTTCTGTCATTAAATCATACAAATTATCATTACTCTAACATTTAGTATGTATAAAAAGTGGTTAGAAATTATACAGAAGTCATTAATTAGCAGGTGTGTAACTAGCTGTAAAAGAAGTTAATACATGTACTTGTGTAAAAGTGTGACTATTTATAACACCCATCACTATTGAATACACAAACCTGATTAACAGTGGTGTGTAATATTAAATAGTAACTGTCTTAACACATTAGTGACATAACTTCATAACAACTACAATGTACTTAATGACTACTGCCTGATTACTAACAATTTTAACTGAATAATAAACATTATGTATATAAAATGACGATTTTGACCATATTTTTTTTAATTCTGTTCGTAAGACAACGATATCAACTTTACATTGATTGAAACTGTACTGTCTGTAGCCCATCATCACAATGCAACATGCTGGCTGTCCACCATTATTTATTAAATAATACAATAGGCCTATATAGTTTAGCTAAACTTCCATGTGATCAATGTAGAGCTCATGACTATGACTAATTAATCTTCGATTGAAGGGGAAGTTACAGTATTATGAATAGGTTTCAGAATGAATAATCTTACAAAATTTCATTAAATTTATCAATATTGAATATATAAAAGTAGTCTATGATGGAAATTACATTTTGTAATTCAAGTCATTTCCATGTGGGTTGATCCTACAATGTAGTACAATGTAACTATTGTTATATATAAGCAGGTCTTATGAACTCAATATAATACAACCAGGAATTATCTAGGCCCTTTGAGTCAGTTAAAAATGAGTCGGTCGGTTCAGCTTCAGTAATAAGTACTAAAGTAGACTATTATGGAGCACGAGGGACTAAATCGTGTATAGCACAAAATCCCTTGCTTGGAAATTGCATTTTGTGGGACATTTTTGAAAGAAAAATGTTACGATTTTAAATTAAAAATACAAATTTTGTATAAAGAACCATATATTACCAAATATAGGCCAATAAATTATTATTTTATGAGTTGATATAAATAATGGTGGATTTGCCATTTGATTTGGGTAAATGAGCATTTTAGCAGAAGGGTGATAATATGTTACTGTGTAACGTAAAATATAATGTGTGGATGGAAACAGATACTATTTTACTGACTTGCAGTATGTTCAAATGTCAAATAGCGGAAATAAATGCGATTAAAACAGTAGCGTTGGTGAGTCAGAATTCCAAGCGAGTGACAGTCATCTACTTCACTCGACTCATCGACTGACTGCTGCACCAGCTCACGCACAACATTTCAAGTCACAAACACGTTGACAACAATTTGCATCCTCGCGGTACAATCTTCTGTTCATCTCAACAACTTTTATGAATAAATTGCAATAAAAATACAAACCTTAAGGCCTAAATTATCACATTTATTTCACAAAAACAACTTTTTTAACACCCAACTTTTATAAACAGGAAGTCAGATGATCATCGTCACAGTCAATCACGCCAAGTATCGCGAGATCAATAGAAGGTTCGTTGCCCAGAGAAACGCCCATTTTCCATTGTCAGCTGACAGAAGGTAAACAAAGCGAAAGTAGGAGATGGAAGGCGATTCAGTTAAACAAGAAAAAAGAAAATTGGCACCAATAGCGGCGAGAGAAAGAGGTAAACATTTTATTCAATTAATGGACTGAACAGTTTAATCTGACTGGTAGATTTTTGTTTGTATTTTCCTTTTTTTTTTAAAAAATAAAAATAAAATTATAACAAGCGCACATCAGACCATTATGACTATGAGGGGAAAGACAATATATTGCACGCATACTTTATAATAAAGGCACGGTTTGAATTTTATTATTTTGAAAAAAGATAAGGCAAAAATTAAAAAAAAAAAAAAAAAAAAAACCCACCAAAACCAAACAAATAAAAATGAGATCCAAAAATTATAGTAGGCCTAGATCTACATGAGAAAAAAGGGAGCGATACACAAAGAAAATGAAGTATTGGAATGTTAAAAGTAACATCATGTGAGTGTAATCTAAATTAAGTATAGACAAGGAGTCGACACGTGTTGTCAATTTATTGGTTAATTGGAAGAGTATACAGGTCACAATTCTATGGAACACACTTACTGCTTGGGGGGGGGGGGGGCGAATGGTTAGCACGTGCGCGCTGTATCATGAGGCCTGTTGAGTCAACTGGCGTGGTTTCGAATCCCCGGTTGTGAGTGACAAGGAGTAGGGTTGCCTGTCCAGCCTCGTGGGTTTTCTCCGGGTCCTCCGGTTTCTTCCCACTGCTAAAGACCCCCACGTGCAAGCAAATTACTGAAATAAAATCAAACCATATGTTAGTCCCGAAATGACCTAGTTTGTGTCGAGTGGACGTAAGACCCATTTCCCTCTCTCTCTCTCTCGTTTCAAATCCCCGGTTGTGAGTTACAAGGAGTAGGGTCGCCTGTCCAGCCTCGTGGGTTTTCTCCGGGTCCTCCGGTTTCCTCCCACTGCTAAAGACCCCTACGCGCAAGCGAAATATTGAAATAAAATGACCTAGTTTGTGTCGAGTGGACGTTAAACTCCATTTCTCTCTCTCTCTCTCTCTCTCTCTCTCTCTCTTACTGCTTATTACTGAGCGACATTTCGACTAGGCTTCTCTAGTTTTTATCAAGCAACAACGCTTAGTAATAAGCAGTAATTGTGTTCCATAGAACTGTGACCTGTATATTCCAGTTCAATTACTAAATGCTATTGAAACAATTTAATTAGAAGAGGATCAACCGAAAATATTGCTGCGCGGGATGACATATCTTCTTGTTCTAGTTCTAAATGTCCCGCGGTAACTCAGCGATTAAGTCGGTGACTCACTAACTAGGAGGTCCGGGGTTCTATCCCGGTGTTGACCGAGAAAGTTCTCCGGGATTTTGTATCGTGGTTTCCGCATGTCAGTGATGCAGGAGGGCCTAGGAAGGAGCAGCTTCTTGTGGTTCGGACGGTAAAAACAACCGAGGTCCCGTGTACACCTTGAACAGCTGGAAGTCAGTTACTGTCAGGGCAGAGTAGCAGGACATTAAAGATGGGTTCTCAGAAAAGTATTTATCGGGTGGTTATTTCCAATAAAAGTATGGTAATTTTGGTAGATATGGAAAGTAGATATATCCAATCTTACTAGAAAAATTCTGGATTCACTGAGAAACACTCATGGAGCGTATACAGGGTAAGGGTTCCCCTAATCAACAGCCCGTCGATTAGGAATTTCTGAACGCGTGATGTCAAAGGTCACACGCGAACATAGAGCGCTTGATGTATAAGTTGATAAACTTTATGAAGAGTTAGACGTTCAACACTAATTTCTGAGATAAGAATGACGGAAAAAGACGCGGGTAGTGGATAATCCGAAAATTTAATTAGGATTCGATATTTGTTATAAATAGTAAGCGATTAAAGACAACATCGTCTTATGTCTGCAATGAATTCTCCTCTGACTTCTAAGAGAGGTAAGTCCCGTGACGTAAACATGACCAGGTTTGATCGAATTTTTATAGCAGGACATTCCTTCGCAATTACAATGTTTGAGAAGGATTTGAAGCAAAATTATGACAAATTAATTAGTTTGAATACGTTTTTAGTCCAAATATACCATTAAATCACCCAGTTTGTACGCGGGAACCCATCTTTAAACACATTCCATGCATGGATAATGTCTATATTCTGTCATGTCCGCAGGTTTATCTTGTAGTTTATTTTTGTTTTGCCTGTAGTGCGGTCGTAGTCCGGGGCCCTTATTCACGAAAACTTAAACTAAGTTACAACCGAAATTTTAAGAAATACTGCAACTTCATTGGATATATGCAAATTGATTTTACTGATCAGCCAATCGAATTGCAGTATTTCTTAAAATTTCGATTGTATCTTGTTTAAGTTTTCGTGAATAAGGGCCATGGGCATCACTTACTATTAGAATTCATACACCCGAGCCCTGTTTCTCGAAATCTTAACTTAAGATAAAATCCAAATTTTAGTAGATACTTCAATTTTGATTGGCTAAGCACTAAAATCAATCTAATATCCAATCAAATTACTAAAATTTGGATTTTATCTTAGTTAAAATTTCGCCAAATACAGGCCCCAGAATAGTGAGAGAGAGAGAGAGAGAGAGAGAGAGAGAGAGATGTGTTTAACGTCCACTCGACACAAACTAGGTCATTTCGGGACTAGACCAACATATGGTTTAATTTAATTCAATAATGCGCTTGCGCGTAGGGATCTTTAGCAGACCCGGAGAAAACCCACGCGGGTGGACAGGCGCCCCAGAATAGTAAAATTAACATTCTATGTCAGTTTATCACGCGTTCTTCTTGTAAAGTGATGGCTTTATCCAGTAGAATGTTAAAACCTCATTTCATTTATTCAGCCAGTCTTTAACATGTTCATTAAATAGTTTAAACACCATTCCGCTTCATTTTCTTTTCGTTTCAGGTCCTGGTCCGGGTCATTATAGGTTACCATCTACATGTGGTTATACTGACCATGATTGTACTAAACACACTAAAGCTGCCTATTCTTTTGGTCGTCGATTGGCTCTTTTGGGTAAGTATAGATATGTAGCGAGGAGAGAGAGAGAAAAAAGGAGAGAGAGAGAGAAATGGGTTTAACGTCCACTCGACACAAAGTAGGTCATTTTGGGACTAACACATGGTTCAATTTTATTTCAATAATTCGCTTGCGCGTATGGGTCTTTAGCAGTGGGAAGAAACCGGAGGACCCGGAAAGAACCCACGGAGTTAGACAGGCGACCCTACTCCGTGTCACGTACAACCGGGAAATCGAAACCACGCCAGTTGACTCAATGACAGACCTTATGATACAGCGGCACACGTGCTAACCATTCGGCCAGGCCCCCCCCCCCCCCAGCCCCTATGATCTGTAGTAATTAAGGATGCTATTGCAATAAGCTGGATGGACAACATCTTCAGTAGAAGGCTTGATCTTGCTTTAACTACGTACATTTGGGGGCTCCTTTAACTTTAATATACCCAGCCCGGTCTAACCCACTCTAATCAAGCCCTGAACTTAATTGCTTCACCCCGAACCGAGATATAAGCGATTCAAATTTAGGCTCGTCTCGATCGTCTCTACTAACTTTGATATGTTAAGTTATCCATCACAAAATGTATTCAAATCCACTAAATATCACAGGCTAACGATGGCATTGAGTGTTGATTATTGTCTGGATATGTTAATTAATGTCTAATTAATAATTTAGATAACATTTCAGGCCCTAAGAAAGACCTGCAATAGGCAGATTTACCTCTTGCATAATGTATGTTTAAATAAATGTGTTTTTTTTTATTTTAGCCAATCAGAATTATACCGCCACTCCCGGTCCAGCCTATCTTATAGAACCAGCTATAACTAAACATGGCCGAGATGGTACACCAGCCTACTCCATGCTAGCCAGACGAGATGGAGCACGTAAGATTCGTCATTTTTATCTAAAACTACATGCGAGACCTACGTATTGAAAAATACCATTGTCCCTTTCATTTAAAATCGTTTAAATTTTTTATCAGTAAGTCAATTTAAATTCGATGTGGCAAATGTTAAGACTCTAAACCCAATCCGATTAAAAACACAGATCCTATTTTTTTTCGTTTTTTTGTAGTTCAAAATTTCATTTTACTTTTCTTTACTACAATAGGATCTGGAAGAGTTGTCATAAAACCCGCGTTATGGATAATGTGATCGATTAGCCAATGAAATGGTCTGTTACGGCGGGTTTTTGGCGTGAGGTGCATGGAACTGTGGGTAACCCACTAGAAACATCAACGTTAATTGGTTAATCAATTATCTGACCTCATAGAGACAAAAGCCGTTCGTAACAACCCTGACACGACCTCCCACTACAACCGGTCATATCTTCATATAGTGGAGGCCATCAAAAGTAAAAATAAAACGGGAAAAAATAATAGAGAGAGGGAGAGAGAGAGAGAGAGAGAGAGAGAGAGATTGGGTTTAACGTCCACTCGACACAAACTAGGTCATTTCGGGACTAACATATGGTTCAATTTTATTTCAATAATTCGCTTGCGTGTAGGGGTCTTTAGCAGTGGGAGGAAACCGGAGGACCCGGAGAAAACCCACGAGGTTGGACAGGCGACCCTACTTCTTGTCACGTACAACCGGGGAATTGAAACCCCGCCAGTTGACTCAATGATAGACCGTATGATACAGCGCGCACGTGCTAACCATTCGGCCATCCAACCCCCCGGAACAAAATATAGATCTGTATTTTAATCAGATTGTTCAAAAGTATGACGAATTGAAAAGTCCATCGATAGCATCTTACTCGTCGGTCGCCGTCTTTATTTGCTGTGAAACAAATTGATGGGCCTGATTTAAATCCTATTAAATCCAAGTCAGGCGATAATCTAGAGTTAGTATTTTAATTTTGTTTTCTTAATTATAGTGTAGTAAAGACAAGTAAAACGAAATTTTGAACTATAAAAAAACGAAACGAAATAGGTTCTGTCTTTTAATCAGATTGTATTTTTAACAATTTTGTGAAAGTATTATAATTTCACTACTGTAAAGATCAGGAATACTCTGCCTCGTGCAAGACACCAGCCACATGTCTGTCAGACTATTTAACAGATATAGCCGCTCATTCTCCATCCCAGAAATAACTTTACTCTACGTTTATCTCTGGTAAAACTCGCCCACCATTAATCAGCGTGAATTCGGTTGTTTAGCTCCGCCCTCCGTGGCTACAGATTGGCAGGATTTGTTAGAATGAAATGATGCCGATTTTAAAATGGCCTGCGAGTTTTACCAGAGATCAACGAAGGGGTAAACTTATCTCTGGGATCGAGAGTGATAGTCATTATCACTCAAAGACTAGGAGATTCTGGATGTCCGAGATATACATGTTTTGTAAAGACTAGGAGATTCTGGGTGTCAGAGATATAAAGACTAGTAGAGTCTGGGTGTCCGAGACATAAAGTCTAGGAGATTCTGGGTGGCCGAGACATACAGACTAGGAGATTCTGGGTGCCCGAGACATACAGACTAGAAGATTCTGGGTGTCCGAGATATAAAGATTAAGAGATTTTGGATATCTGAGATATAAATTAGCAACATTTTTTATTTTTATTATACAGACTTGTTCAACACTCCATCACCAGGGGCATATTTCCCAGAGAAAGTTCATCCACAGGGGGAGAGGCACGCCCCTAAGTATTCTGTCGGGGCTCGAACAAGATACAGGAAGACGGATAACAACCCATCAGCTAATAAATACAAACTACCATCCGTCTTAGGCGCCAATCAACCAGATAAACCATCGTCTGCTGCCTACTCTGTTGTTGGTAAATATTTAAATAATTTTAATTCTAGTTTGATAATAAATATATGAAATATTTTAATTCTAGATAATACTGATTTGTATTTTAGTTTGTTGGTAAATATTTAAAACATTTTAATTCTAGATTCTAGCAGGGTGGTAACAACTACTTAAAACATATTGATTCTAGGCTTTATTTTGTTGGTAAAAGCTTAAAAAACATTTTGATTTTAGCATGGTTGGTAAAAATCTAAAATATCTTGATTCCAGAGTTTAAAATGATGGTAAAAACTTAAAGGGTCATTATGGGAGATTCGATAAAGAGTTGATTGTTCTCGCTATAATAGTTGGTGGGGGGGGGGGGTGAATGGGCGAATGGTTAGCACGCGCCCGCTGTATCAAAAGGCCTGTCATTGAGTCAACTGGCGTGGTTTCGAATCCCCGGTTGTACGTGACAAAGAGTAGTTTCGCCTGTTTAACCTCGTGGGTTTTCTCCGGTTTCCTCCCACTGCTAAAGACCCTTACGCGCAAGCGAATTATTGAAATAAAATTAAACCATATTTTAGTCCCGAAATGACCTAGTTTGTGTCGAGTGGACGTTAAACCCCTCTCTCTTTCGCGCTAAATTGGTTTAAACACAAATAACGTAAATAGAATTGCTCCTCTCTGAACCGAGATATTAACTTTTAAATTTTAGACTAGCCGCGATCCTCATTACTAAATGTCTCGGTTATCCATTTTTACTTTTAATTATCCTTAATAAAATGTTTTCAAATTCGCTAAATATCGCAGGCTCGCGACGACACCGAGAATTGATTATGCTTTGGATAAGTTAATTAATGTCTAATTAATAATTCAGATAACATTTCGGGCCCAAAGAACGAACCATTAGGCAGATGTAGCTCTTGTATAATGTATGTATAAAATATTTTAATTATAGATTGCAGGAGTTGGTACTTAGTAAAGATTTAAAAACTTATGATTATAATTATGGATTGTAGTGTGTAATACTTGAGTGGCATTTAACGATTGAACACAATAAAAACACAATTTATATGTTTTCCAAATATCGTGTTGTTTGTTAGAGTGTTGGTTAAAATCACTTGTTTGTATGACATTCAAAACTTTTTGCTTGCTAGTCGACTTTTAGAACATTTCTATATGTTGCTTACTGGCATACATTTAAAACATTTAGATTTTAGCTTGTTGGTAGCCATTTTGATTTTAGCTTGTTGGTAGCCATTTCGATTTTAGCTTGTTGGTGGCCATTTTGATTTTAGCTTGTTGGTAGCCATTTCGATTTTAGCTTGTTGGTAGCCATTTTGATTTGAGCTTGTTGGTAGCCATTTTGATTTTAGCTTGTTTGTAGCCATTTTGATTTCAGCTTGTTGTTAGCCATTTTGATTTTAGCTTGTTGGTAGCCGATAAGTATTTAAAACTATCATAAACATTTTGATTTTATTTAATTTGTTGATGTGTATGTAAAATATATATAAAACTGTGATCCTAGCTAGCTGGTAAACCGTTAAAACATTTTGATTCTAGCTAGTTTATTGGTAAACCTTTAAATTATGGCTTGCTAAATGTTTTATATGCGAGCATTTTGATTCTAGCTTTATGGTAATAATTTAAAACACTTTCTTAATTCTAATCTAACTCGATGGTAATAATTTAAAGCATTATGATTCTAGATTGCCAATTACAATTCAAAACATTTTTAATTATCTCTTTATGGTAACAAACTAAAGAGTTTTAATTCTACTTTGATGGTAATGATTTAAAACATTTTAATTATGAATTGGTGGTAATAATTTAAGACATTTGATTATAGTTGGATGGTAATAATCTAAAATATTTAGATTCTATTTTGCTGATTCGATGGTAATAATTTAAAACATTTAGATTCTATTTTGCTGATTCGATGGTAATAATTTAAAACATTTAGATTCTATTTTTTGGTTCGATGGTAATAATTTATAACATTTAGATTGTTTTAATAATTGAAAACTGTTTAATTCTAGTTTGTTAATAATAATTGAAAACCGTTTAATTCTAGTTTGTTGATAAAAATTGAAAATATTTTAATTCTAGTTTGTTAATAATGATTGAAAACTTTTTAATTCAATTTTTTTGATAATAATTGAAAACTGTTTAATTCTAGTTTGTCAATAATAATTGAAAACTTTTTAATTCTAGTTTGTTAATAATAATTGAAATATTTTTAATTCTAGTTTGTTGATAATAATTGAAAACTTTTTAATTCTAGTTTGTTGATAATAATTGAAAACTGTTTAATTCTAGTTTGTTGATAAAAATTGAAAATATTTTAATTCTAGTTTGTTAATAATGATTGAAAACTTTTTAATTTAGTTTATCAATAATAATTGAAAACCTTTCAAATCTAGTTTGTTAATAATGATTGAAAACTTTTAAATTCTAGTTTGTTAATAATGATTGAAAACTTTTTAATTCTAGTTTGTTAATAATAATTGAAAACTTTTTAATTCTAGTTTGTTGATAATAATTGAAAACTTTTTAATTCTAGTTTGTTAATAATAATTGAAAACTTCTTAATTCTAGTTTGTTAATAATATTGAAAACTTTTTTAATTCTAGTTTGTTAATAATGATTGAAAACTTTTTAATTGTAGTTTGTTGATAATAATTGAAAATATTTTAATTCTAGTTTGTTAATAATGATTGAAAACGTTTTAATTCTAGTTTTTTGATAATAATTGAAAACTTTTTAATTCTAATTTGTTGATAATAATTGAAAACTTTTTAATTCTAATTTGTTGATAATAATTGAAAACTGTTTAATTCTAGTTTGTTGATAATAATTGAAAATATTTTAATTCTAGTTTTTGATAATAATTGAAAACTTTTTAATTCTAGTTTGTTGATAATAATTGAAAACGTTTTAATTCTAGTTTGTTAATAATGATTGAAAATATTTTTTAATTCTAGTTTGTTGATAATAATCGAAAACTTTTTAACGTTTCAATTCTAGTTGGTTGATAACACTTGAAAACTTTTTAACTTTTCAATTCTAGTTTGTTGATAATAATCGAAAACTTTTTAACGTTTCAATTCTAGTTTGTTGATAACACTTGAAAACTTTTTAACTTTTCAATTCTAGTTTGTTGATAATAATTGAAAATATTTTTTTTATTTTAGTTAGATGATTTCAGTTCTAACTTTATGTTATTTTTTATTATTATTCTATCTTGGTTTTCTTTTTACAAATTTTATGAGTTTTGTAAAGTAACTCAGTGTAACATCCTTTATCTCGCACAAAGCATGTTTAAATATAGAATAAGTATGATTTGTATGATTTAAGATATTTTTAAATATTGTGTCGTTATCTTAGAACCAGGATATTTAAGGGAACCACGGTGGCTAAGTGGGTGAGACGGTGGCTCGCTAGCCTGGAGAACGCATGTTCGATCCCTGCATTAGCCGAGAGGGGACTTGACAAGGACAGTCGTTCGAGTGGGACGAAAAATCCGAGGTCCAATGTATACATTGGCGTGCACGTGAAAGTTCCCTTGACAGTTGGAATTCGATATAAGAGTAGGCCATAGTGCCGCTGTCCAGGCAAAATTCCCTTCATAGCACTCTGTATGGCGTATGTATGCCCGTCGTCATTAGCCCACCTATGGAGCAGAGCAGAGGGACGTTAAACCCCATTTCATTTTATTTCATTTCATTTCTTTAGGGCCTCATTTTATTTGTGTGATATAGCCGTTTCAAAACGTATTTTTGCGCGCATACGTGTACACGCAAAGTAACGGATAAAATTGTCATCGGTCTTGACAACTTATTTAATTAGTACGGTTTAGGTTACATGGTTTTTTTTGTTTCGTCTTTCAAGGTAGAAGGAATGTCGGCAGTTACCTAGAGGATATGGCCAAGGCACCGGGTCCAGGTCATTATCATTCAACTACACCCGATACTTATAAAATCAAGGCACCGCTATATTCACTGAGACGTCGATGCTACATGCCGGAGGACTGTACCCTGAAACCGGGCCCGGGTGCTCACAGTCCCGAAAAGGTCATCATTAATCGGCGATCAGCCCCGCAACATTCATTAGGAATACGTCATTCAGAATATATTTGTCAGGTATTCGCGGATTTATAATAGTATGTCAATTATTGTTTTCTTGTAAATTTTGTAATTGGACATTCAGCAATCTGATTAAAGCACAGATCCTATTTCGTTTCGTTTTTATAGTTCAAAATTTCGTTTTACTTGCCTTTACTACACTTGTAGTGTAAACCGTCGAAAGTATAAAAAAACCGAAACGAAATATAGATCTGTATTTTAATCAAATTGGTAATTCAGTGTCTATTAAATATGTTTTATAAATTCTTAATATAGTTTTATTTCTGCTCATCTACTATGCGCTCATTTAGTTGTGTGTGTGTGGTGAGAGAGAAAGAGAGAGAGAGGGGGGGGGGGTATGCTAGGTGGTTCCCACTATACTATCACGATAGAAGTCGTGGTTTTAATTGTTTGGTAATCGTGCTGATCCTATCAAGTCTTATCATATATTGAGGTCAGTCGTAGCAATCGTGTTGATCGTATGGAAACGTATCCGAACGTGTCTGCAGGTACCAGATCGTGTTCCAATAAACCTGGATATCATCATACATAGATATATGATTCAAAACATGTCCCCATAAACCTGGATATAACCATACATAATTATATGATTCACATGTCTCCTTTAACCTGGATATCACCATACACAGATATATGATTCACACCATGTCCCAATAAACCTGGATATCATCATGTACATATATATCATAAACTACATGTCCCAATAAATCTGGATATTATCATACATATAAGATTCACAACATGTCCCCATAAACCTGGATATCATAATACACAGATATGTGATGATGTTTTCGCACTACGTCACTATCGCAACACATTCCCAAAAACGTTTATTATATTGGCACTGAAGTTATTCTTGCACCTCTCTTGTTTCTATTAAACAAAGCCCTTCTTCTTAATTTTTGGGTATAGACTTCCGGATACATAGCTACAGCTTTCTCCTAAAATATTGTAAAATAATTTCATAATTAGATCAGACAGGTGTTGCGATGTCAACGTAGGCCTATTTGTAAAACATGAAATGACTACACTTTAAGAGGGTAGCAGTCAAAAGCTGTAATCAGGCGGGCTTGCCTGTTCATAGCACCATAAATGACAGCAATACTGCTTATATTGTATTTTCCGGCATGGTTCCCCCTGGTCAGTGATGCAGGACGGAGGGCCTGTCAAGAACAGCTGTCTAGTCATTCGGATGAGACGAAAAACCGAGGTCCCGTGTACGCATTGGCGTGCACGTAAAAGATCCCTTGGCAGTTGGAATTCGATATAAGAGTAGGCCGTAGTGCCGCTGTCCGGGCAAAATTTCACTCATAGCACACTGTATGGCGTATGCCCGTCTTCATTAGCCCAGTTCGGAGCAAAACAGTAGGACGTTAAACCTCATTTCATTTCATTTCATTTTTTGCTTATATTGTTCTCAGACTTTCTAGACAAACCTGGCACGAAATCATATTATAATAATCATGCGCACATTTAACAAAATTAGTGTTGGCAATGGTCAGACTTACACTCTGATTCAAATACAGATCTATATTCCATTTCGTTTTTTTTATACTTTCGATGGCTTACACTACATGAAGATTTGATCAGTTGTACTGGAAGGTCGCGTCAGGGGTCATTGATTAATCAATCAGCGTTGGCGTTTCTAGTGGTTTACCCACAGTTCCGTGCAGAGCACGTCAAGAACTCGCCGTAACAGACCGTTTTATTGGCTAATTCCTCACATCAACTAGAACGCTTGTTATATAACAACTCTTCCAGATCCTACTGTTGTGAAGACAAGTAAAACGAAATTTTGAACTATAAAAAAACGAAACGAAATAGGATCTGTGTTTTAAACAGATTGCCTGGCTTATAGCATTCAAACTTGTCTTGTGTGGGAAAGGTTTGTGTTGTCGTTTCAAAAGAAAACAATGATTGGAATGCGAGGAACGCCATTAATGATATAATTCACAATGTCTTGACCATACAAAACAAAATGTATAGAATCGTACCTGATACAATTTCTCAGCTTTGTCATTGCTTATCCTCTTTAATTCCAACTATATTAAAATAATAAAATACAAATACTTGTAATTAAACATGCATTATGCAAGAGCAAAATCTGATTATTGCAAGTCTTAATTTAGGCTTCAGATGTTATAGAAATTATAAATTAGATCTTTATTTAAACAACAAGCCCAAAATCAACTCTGTAGACCCACGGATGGCTCGGCTACAGCTCGGATTTAAACAGGATTTCACTTATATTAATTCAAATATGGCGCATCCTGATGAGAATACGTCAGTTAGATCGAGGCTAAATGATAGAGTGTACTTAGCGAGGCCGCTGTAGAGCGTTTCCGCATGCCATTGAAAACTTTACTTGATAACCGAGATATGTAGGTGGAGTTAACGCCTGTCAATCAAACGATCAGCCACGGTGAAGGCACATTTCACTACCATTTCTAGTCAAATATTACAACGATGATAACTATGTTCAGAATAAAGTAATTTGACTGAAATTTTCAAAATATTCTTCTTTCATCATCTACTTTTGAACTGTTATAGCAAGAATGGCCAATTCTCTGTAAAAAATCTCCCATAATGTATCTTTAATTCTCTTTGATTCCAACAATATAAAAATAATAAAATACAAATACTTTTAATTAATTATCTCTGTGGCTTATACACACTCTGATTACAAGACAGAGAGGATGATGTCCCCCTATCTTAATCCAAAAATATATAAATGAGAGAGAGAAATGGGGTTTAACGTCCACTCGACACAAGGAAGGTCATTTCGCGACACACATGATTCATTCAATTTTATTTTAATAATTCGCTTGTGCGCAGGGGTCTTAATTAGCAGTGGGAGGAAACCGGAAGACTCATAGAAAAACCCACGAAGTTGGACAGGCGATCCTTCTCCGTGTCACGTGCAAGCGGCGAATCGAAACCATGCCATTTGATTCAATGGCGGAACTTATGATGCAACGCGCACGCGTTAACCATTCGGCCATCCAATCTCCCAATACATAGATGACATTCATTAATTACTTGCACATTTTATCTTTTATCAATCAAGTTGCTTATCGTTCGGCTTAATCTGAGAAAAATATGCTCATAGTTGGGTAGAAAATTGTAGGAAATATTTTTGAGCGGTTCGTAAAAGCCACTTAAAACAGACGACAACTTCACTGTCCGGGGAGAGTTCCACTGGCCTGCATTGCACAAGCAAGAAAATAAAACTAATTTAGTCTTAGTCACGAAGTGTCATAGTATAATTAGTATATGCCCATGTTCCTGAATCAACGACTGCGAGTTTCACAACATCTGGCCGTTGCTTGTTTACTTCTCAATTCCCGAACTTATAGCAATGTTATCTACAGACACGTGAACAGTAGCGTGACTAGCGTCTAATCAGAGGTTGTGACATCGCGACCTCCACGGAAACCTTGACAGTGAATGAACCTTGAACTTTGCAACTCGATTATCACAGGTAGACATTTAAAATTGAAAGCGCGAGACTTGGTAATCGCGACGATCGAGGAATCTGATAGGCTCACAACTGAAAATACAGACACTCGCTTTTACAGTGAAATACGTCACGCGAGTCCAATATTCCACTAGTATAAGTAATGTACGATTGGCAAGTTGCCCGTCCGATTATTTGACGTCAAAGGGTGACGTCACATCTGTATTTTAAAGTTATTTAACTTACCATGATGTACACAATGAGACCAAATACCAGATGAAATAGAACGAAACCCGTGACTAGACAGATAAATGCTGCAAAGTCTAAAGTGAGGGCCATTGAATCTGATGTAATAAAACTAATTACAGCATGCCATACACATGCCATGGATAAAATCACCATACAACCCAATATATGGATATCCTGAAAAATATACAAAGATGAAAATTATATCATTTATGCGATTCCTGAATACAAATCATAACAAATAAGTAAGATAAGGTATTTTAGGTGGACTTACCAAATAAGTTAGATACGGTATTTTGGGTGGACTTACCAAATCAGTAAGATAAGGCATTTTAGGTTGACTTACCAAATAAATTAGATAAGACATTATAGGTGGACTTACCAAAAATGTTAGGTGGACTTACCAAATAAGTTAGATAAGGTATTGTAGGTGGACTTACCAAATAAGTTAGATACGGTATTTTGGGTGGACTTACCAAATCAGTAAGATAAAGAATTTTAGGTGGACTTACCAAATACATTAGATAAGACATTATAGGTGGACTTACCCAAAATGTTAGGTGGACTTACCAAATAAGTTAGATAAGGTATTGTAGGTGGACTTACCAAATAAGTTAGATAAGGTATTGTAGGTGGACTTACCAAATAAGTTAGATAAGGTATTTTGGGCGGACTTACCAAATCAGTAAGATAAGGCATTTTAGGTGGACTTACCAAATAAATTAGATAAGGTATTGTAGGTGGACTTACCAAATAAGTTAGATAAGGTATTTTAGGGGGACTTACCAAATAAGTTAGATAAGATATTTTAGACGGACTTACCAAATAAGTTAGATAAGACATTATAGGTGGACTTACCAAATATGTTAGATACGGTATTTTGGGCGGACTTACCAAATCAGTAAGATAAGGTATTGTAGGTGGACTTACCAAATAAGTTAGATAAGGTATTTTAGGTAAAGATTGTGATGCTGTAAATTTAAAAGCTACACCTGTTAAAACCAGTGTGGCTGTCATCTGTAACCTGTGCTGAGTAAGAGTCATGGGAATGGCAAACGTCGTCATTGACAACGAGCTAATCAGTGCCTGAAAATAAAATGGTACAAATTTCAATTTGAAAGGTAGTATGCCAATCTGATTCAAACACAGATCCTATTTCGTTTCGTTTTTATAGTTCAAAAGTTTGTTTTACTTGTCTTTACTACACTAGGATCTGGAAGGGTAGTTATTATTGACGTGGTCTGAATGGTGTGAGGGATTAGCCAATGAAAAGGTCTGTTACGGCGAGTACTTGGTCTTTTAATGCACGGAACTGTGGGTAAACCACTAGAAACGTCAACGCTAATTGATTAATCAATGTCTGACGTCATAGGATCAAAAGCCGCTTGTTTGACTCCTGACGTGAACTCCCACTATAACTCCCACTATGTAGGGTAGGCCATCGAAAGTATAAAAAAAAACGAAACGAAATATAGATCGGTATTTTAATCAGATTGGTAGCATCCGATTCTGCACACAGATAACTATATACCTTGCCGCCATGCTGAAAATGAGTATATTATTTTGTTATGAATTGAAGCCAACACAACATAGAGATGGAGGTCTCGAACAGGCGACCCTATTCCTTGTCACGTACAAGCGGGGACTCGAAACCATGTCACTTGACTCAATGACAGACATTAAGATCTAATACGCACGCGTTAAATCATTCGGCCACCAAAACCCCAATTCCAATATTGAAATCTTCTGACGTAAGATATAAAAGGCATATATCAACCTGCGAAAATAAATTGTCTGCGATATCACTTCGGTGGAAGTGGACGTTAAATAAAGCTATTTCACACACACGCGATCACATTGATCAGCAGTGAATATTCGCCAAGCCGCTACAATCACTGATAAGGATGACATCGATGCGACTTAATGAGCAAAAAATATTAACATTTTTCCTCCGACAATTAAAATTCTAAAACATTTTTTTTATATATTATAAAAATAAATAACGACGTTTGACGTATTTGTAGGTAAAAATTATTTCTTATTTAGTTTAAATTGGTATTAAAATGAGTAAAAGTCGCCATTCTGCTCAGATCAGTAAAGTCTTATGTAAACAATGCACTTTCGTAATCCTCTGTGAAACAGATTGACACACGATAATGAATGAAAACATCACATTAAAACTCAAAATAAGTACTTACCATTACAAAAACTATATTCCACATATAGAAACCAGGGCGGCGGAAGGCAATGAACGTAAAAGTTAAGGTGGGGTATTTTTTCTTGGTAGCAAATATTTCATGGGACAAATTGACATCTTGAGTTGCTTTCACGTGATCCCGTAACGTCCATTCTTGTGAATCCAGAAATCCTCGTGGATTAACTCGGCTTAATTCCTTCTCATCTTCCAATAGATTTACTTTATTATCAGTTAATTCTGTTGTGATTAATACAGATAAATCCTGACAATAGACAAACAGTTTATAATTATAACACCTGGGGGTTTATTCGTGAAAAGCTGGGGGGGGGGGGGGTCTTTCGGGGTTGTGAAGCCCAGGTATCTCGGTTTGACTTGGTACAAGGTTTGATTCGGTACAAGGTTTTATTCGATACAAGGTTTGACATGGTACAAGGGTTGACTTGGTACGAGGTTTGACTTGACTTGGTACGAGGTTTGATTTGGTACCTTGCTACGAGGTTTTACTTCCTACAAGGTTTGGGTTGGTACCTTATGTCTGTTAGGCCTAATTACAAAAGAGGAGACTTTATAAGCGAGATATTTTTGCAAGACGACATGTTAACAACTCTCTAGTGCGGGGTGATTCATAAAGGCAGCGAAAAAAGGTGAAGCCAACCTAATAGAAACGAAATTGATTTAGTTCCACTAGGAGTCACATGCACAAAGAACGGAGCCACATCGGCCACCGGGACAATCCGGTGTCGACCAAGAAGAACCCTCGAGATATTTAATCGACAAGGACAATACAATATAGCAATCACAAGTCGACGAAGGGCTTATTTTTGTTATTAAACATTATTTTCGAATTGCAAAATGAAATGAAATGGGGTTTAACGTCCTACTATTCTGCTCCGACTGGGCTAATGAAGACGGGCATACGCCATACATTGTGCTATGAGGAAATTTTGCCCGGGCAACGGCACTATATTATACTATTATATCGAATACCAACTACCAAGGGATCTTTTATGTGCATGCCAATGTGTACACGGGACCTCGGTTTTTCGTTCCATCCGAACGACTAGACAGCTGTCTTTGTCTGCATCCCTGACAGAAACCACGTCGTAAAATCCCAATGAACTTTCTTGGCCAGTGCAGGGATGGGATCGAATTTCGAATTGCAACATACACAATCTGCAAAATAAACGCCAAGGAGGCGAGCTGCGCCAAGGTTTATCTTAGGTTAGTTTAGTTTAAATTTTACCTGAACATCAAACGGGAAATTACGGAGTTCCAGATGTTCTGAGAATGTCCCTTTAATTCTTCTGGTTTCTATAATATACGCCTCTCCCTCGGATGTAAATTCTACTTCCGTTGATAGCCGTGTTCTAGGTGAGCCTATGATGTTCTGGATCTGAATTTTAGGGTTCCACATTTTTGATTGGGAAGCTTCGTCTAAAGACTGAACAAAAAAACAACATACTTAGTCTAGGTATACGGACATATTAAATACTTAGTCTAGGTATATCGACATATTAAATACTTAGTCTAGGTATATCGACATATTAAATACTTAGTCTAGGTATACGGAGATATTAAATACTTAGTCTAGGTATATCGACATATTAAATACTTAGTCTAGGTATATCGACATATTAAATACTTAGTCTAGGTATATCGACATATTAAATACTTAGTCTAGGTATATCGACATATTAAATACTTAGTCTAGGTATACGGAGATATTAAATACTTAGTCTAGGTATATCGACATATTAAATACTTAGTCTAGGTATATCGACATATTAAATACTTAGTCTAGGTATATCGACATATTAAATACTTAGTCTAGGTATACGGAGATATTAAATACTTAGTCTAGGTATATCGACATATTAAATACTTAGTCTAGGTATATCGACATATTAAATTTCAAAACGTAATCAGCAAATCTACTGTTGATATATTGTTTTAAACATACATCATTATGCAAGAGCTAAATCTGTCTATTGCAGGTCTTTCTTTGGGCCTTAAATGTCATCTAAACTATTAATTAGATATTAATTAACATGACAAGACCATACCCAACTCTCGACGCCATCTTATGTGTCTGAATTTCATTGGATTTGAATCCGATCCGCTGTTCAACGTCCGTTGATGATTAAACGCAAAAATGTAAATTATCGTGACAGCAGTAACAATGATAATCGAGACTACATAGATTTCAAAATAAGGTTTTCTCGGCTTTGAGTCAAGCAATTTGACACTCGGCAAACCTCGACAGATTCCGGTACCCTACATCTAACCTCGGCTGTATGATAGTATTTGATATGTACCTACGCCCATACATTTGCGATGCGGCTACCGGTTTACTTTAACAGGAAAACGAGCCGCTTTTACAAAAAAAGTCCCAAAATGGCGTCTTTTGTCGAGTGTATATAACTAAACGAGCAGAGATATTGTCTCAAGGCTGCTGGTTTGATATAATTCCCTGGTAATTCCCCATACCCATTGCCAAACTTGACGTTAGTTGATATAATACACTCTCCACAGAAATCTCCATGGGTGCAGCCATTTTTCATCCGGCACCTTTGAAATAGTTCCAATATGGCGGAATTCGTCATACAGCCGAGATTAGATGCGTAGAATCTGTCGAGGTTTGCCGAATGGCAATTTGACTGAAATTTTCAGCATATTATTCTATATTTTGATCTAACTACATTAGTGAGAACTGCCAACTCTTTACCTTATGTTACCTAATGCATCTTGACGTAAATGTTAAATAAATGGAAATAACGATCAGCGGCTATAGCGAAAGGAAATGAAATTATTTCTGAGCTTTTCAAAGTTCCCCTTACCTTGTTTGTGCCGTGATCAAACGTACATTCTCGCCATCTTGCTTTTATGTATATGTCTGCTTCGAATGTTTCCTGTAATGTGTCTATTTCACCAACTTTCAAGAATACTACACTCACAAACACTTCACGCTGTCGAAGAGAAAAGGGTGCAAATGCATCAGACACTCTCAAATGTTAACAAAAGTAGACGATCCCAGACGCGTTATCCTGCTTTTCCAGGCCGTGAGTACAGCAACATGAAAGTGGTCCAAAAAAGCCTATTAAATGCGGTTTTGCATCCGAAATCTCACTCTATACCCACCTGATTATGGCGGAAGGGGCATGAATGACATGCCGAAAATTTTGATTTCCCGAAAAATTGACGAAACTAACAATAATGACGCAGTTAGTGGTCGACATTTGAATTCCTTAATTCCTTAATCGAGAATTTTAATCGAACACACTAAGTTTTGCATACTTCGAGAATTGTGAAAAATGTTTATTTTGCTCTCATTTAATAAAATTGGAAGCGTTTATACATAATCGTTGTGTTTCTGAAAGATGTAAAACAGGTTAGAACCGTATTACACAATAGAATACTAAGTTTTTAATATGGCGGCCATTCAGGGTAGAGATCCATGTTTAAAGTAGATAGCCATCTATGTGCAGAACGAGAGAGAGAGAGAGAGAGGAGAGAGAGAGAAATGGGGTTTAACGTCCACTCGACACAAACTAGGTCATTTCGGGACTAACATATGGTTCAATTTTATTTCCATAATGCGCTTGCGCGTAGGAGTCTTTAGCAGTGGAAACCGGAGGACCCAGAGAAAACCCACGAGGTTGGACAGGCGACCCTACTCCTTGTCACGTACAACCGGGGAATCGAAACCACGCCAGTTGACTGAATGACAGACTTTATGATACAGCACGCACGTGCTAACCATTCAGCCATCCAATCCCCCGTGCAGAATGAACAATCTGTGGAGAGTAACAGCGAACAAGGTGTAACCTAGATAAGAAACCGCATCTCTCAACCCACCGTGTTTCGAGATAAGAGATGGTACTATATAGTTCTATCTTAAATATCCCGATGCAGATCAGATCGGGCTTTCAATAAGCAAACCTGACAATGTTATTCACAACATTGCTGCCACATTCAACTACAATTAAGCATATAATCCTACCTGACACAGGTGCAAATCATGTCTTTTTCATTCGAAGCGATAATAGGCTGGCTCTCCGGCATTTTAAATTTGACATCTTTGACGTCATGAAGACGGGGCGTCGAGTACAACAGCCAATCAAAGTACTAACCTGATATGAGTTGCGCAGAAATAATTCACCGTAATTATGATGTCCTTGATTTACTTTATTGTCAAAAATATTATTTGCAAATAAACCAAAGTTGTTTCATTAGAGTGGGATACGTATGTTTGATGAATTCCAATAGTATAAAATTAGCTTATTTTCAAGATGTAACATGCATTAATAATGGAATTACGTTTGCCATGTGAAACTAATGGCACCCAATCGTATCTACAAGCACATCAATATTTAGCCATGTTCATGTAGCTAAGTATAACCATCTTCAGTATCTCCTGTGATATCCTTCATTTCTACTCCACTAAGCCCTGGGTAAATTCACGGGGGAGACACATAGTTAGGGTGGCCCATGTACTCTACAGAAATAAAGTCCACCGCTGATAGTTCGAGACTACCACTGAAGCGTGCACATTCGCCGTGCCGAGACCAACTTTCTGACAGTATGATACTATAAATAACCATGGCACGTGCAATTCTCTACAAATCTATCAACTATTACAGCCGTAAAAAATTTATTGTTGACGATTTTGAATAGCAGTGAAATTAAGCTTCTTGATTATTACAGCAGATTTAGAAATTACGTTCGTTTCATTTTTTAAATCGCTTTATCATTAACTGTACCGTTAAGAGCGGCATCTTTTGGTTTAGTACAAATAATATCTCTGAATCACTCGGGTTAGACAGGAACATGATACTAGCAGTAGTTTCATTTTACTTTTACAAGGTTCTTAAAACGATTGTTGAGCTACCTAACGTGCTTATTTCTAAATTCAATTTCTTGTTCTAGCTTTCTGTTATGTTTCGTAAAAAAGTAGTCTTGATTATCCCGACCTGTCAATCAGACGTAGAATGGTCAATAGACTGGTAAAGCGAGACTAATTTCAAAACAAGGGCACGTAACCTATCTTTTACTCAAAAGTGTCTGGATGTTATGGACGACGCTTGGAACCAGTTTTCAGTCTATTATTTATAGATGATTAATGGTCATAGCTTATTAAGTACAACATGATCGTTTATTTAGTGACTATAATTGTGTGAAACTGATTTGAGGCTTGGCATATATATAAATATTGTGGCGTAATTGTCGAGATATATGGAGATATATGGAGATATTTATTTATGGTGGGTCACCCTAACATAGTTAAATTATCTCCCTTTGATACTTGTGCTATTTTTATCGACCAATCGAGTGGGCGAAGGGAGGTAACTCGCATTTTATTACAGTACGATTATTGTTGTGAACGTAAACAATGATGCCAAGACTGGTATGTAAACAGATTTTTCATTGGTTCGTACAATTTGAATTTGTGAAAACACAGTGAATGGATCCATGGCTTCGTGGAACGGAACGAAACCGAACGATGCCAGTGGGGATACGGAGGATTTACATTTGTCATACACACACGGGCTCTAAATAAACTTTTTCAGTATTATTAAAGGGAAGCAGAATAAATATCGAACAAAATTCTCGAAGTATACTTAGTGTTTTCGACTAAAATCGTTGATTTAGGACTTAAAATGTCGGACAACTAGCTTAGTGTCTGTCCTCAAGCGGAACTAACTGTAGACAGACAGTCTACGTTTAGTACGAGTTCTAGCTGTTATAATATGTACGTTTACCAGTACACGGGTATCATATGTTCGCTTTTTCGACAACGAGTTGCCCTTTGAGGGCGATTTGGTATTTTTTACGCTAAGGGCGTCAACAAATGATAATCTTGGAAAGAAAGATAAAGATTAAATTTCCGATACTTATATTCATCGTTGTCTAATTACAGTCATTGCTTGTAAATAAGGCTAAATCTATGTTAGTGTATAGGGCTGTAACCGCCAATATGTATTTTCAATTTGACGAGATCTTTAGTTTTGTGAACCGGCCCCAATAAAAAATATGAGACTACTCACCACTTTCGTCCGTACGTCCATATTGAATAATCGTCTGTTAAAATTCACAGAATGTACACCATCAAATATATTAACACTCTAATGACTAGAAAAACACACAATACTAACGATAATCCTTTAACCCTTTATCATAAATATCTTAAATCACATATATATTCCACACATATATTATAAATCGTCCAAATATAAAGGGTTAATAGACTGTTTGAACACTATAACTCACGGTATTATAATAATCAGAAGATTTGAATATATCACAGTTGTTGCAGATATAGCACACCTATTGCACTCGGTAAACCTCGGCAGATTCCGGTATCCTACATCTAGCCTCGGCTGTATGACGGTAAGTGATATGTAGCCTACCTACTTATTAGGAACATTTGCCGCGTTTAAAAATAAGTTATCAAAATTATGTAGTTCGAAGCGTGTGTAGAATTTTCAGTGGAAAGTTGTCCTTGTTTGAAAAAAATCGGATAAACTTGAAAGAAAAATAGCTCCAGACTTTGAAATATGTGTTGTTACAGATATTGCACACCTATTGGTGGTGTATATCACAAACTGTTCGATATTCTTTAATCGTATACAACTGGATTATAGATAATAATATAAGCCCTGGATACTAATGGTTTAATGGTTCTAATGCGATAATCTATACACTGTAAAAAACAATTCTTAGTAATTATGTAATTACTAGTTGTATCATTGAGTCAAGTGGCGTGGTTTTGATTCCCCGCTTGTACGTGACAAGGATCAGGGTAGGGTCACATGTCCAACCCCGTGGCTTTTCTCCGGGTCTTCTGGTTTCCTCTTTCTGCTAAAGACCCCTACATGCAAGCGAATTAATGAAATAAAGTTGAACCATATGTTAGCCCCGAATGACCTAGTTAGTGTCGAGTAGACGTTACCCCCCCCCCCCCTCTCTCATTTGAAGTAGAATGATGCCTATGAAGAAAATGGATCCCACTCTTATATCGAATTCCAACTGTCAAGGGATCGTTAACGCACACCAATCATAAGCGAATTATTGAAACACAATGGTGGTGTTGGTTGACCTTTCTTTCTAACGTCTCAGCAGCCTTGAAACAATATTTCTGTTCATTGAGATACATACATAAATAGGATTAAAGTGGAGTTGGGTCAAAACGGCGACAATACTTCGCACGTTAGTTTCTGCGACGTTGTTTCCATGAATGTAGCCGAGAGAAAATATGCTCTATGCCAGCAGGAAGTGGCCCATCACCCCCCCCCCCCCCAACTTCTGGACACGCGCCTGCTGTCTCTATTCGCTCTTTCTATCTCTTTTGTAGCATAGGTATAAAATTTTATGATTTTAGAGATTGATAACGTAATAGAGAGTCGAGAATAGATATGAAGAAACGTTTTTGTTTTGACAGTGTATTTTAGAGTTAACAATAAAGCCTCTTAAACACTGGTTCACGGTTCGTTTGTCACAATGCTCAACAAAACCCAGATTAAAGCTGAACTCCGATTACAAAAATACAGAAATAATTAAATAAAAGAACGGTAACGCCCAAAATAACCACTATACTTGTTTTCAATTTCTAGAACTAACATGGCGATCGCTTTGGGCGGACAAACACACAGGCAGGCCACGCCCACTTCCAGTGTAAACCGTGTCAAGCGAAGTGTCCACATCCGGTTAGCTAGTCAACAAGAAACTATCAGCTCATAGTATGGCGGTTGTTTTGGGCGTTGCCTTTTTTTTATTTAATTATTTCTGTAGTTTTGTAATCGAACTTTAGATTTAATTTTACAGGGGTACTATGAGAGAGAGAAGAGATAGAGAGAGAGAAACTAGGTCATTTACTTGCGCGTACGGGTCTTTAACAGTGAGTGACCAATGGAGAATCTTTAAGGTAATGTGTTACTCTGAGACTGAAATAAAAACAGTACAGTCGATTTTTAGCAGGATGGGGTTTAACGTCCTACTGTTCTGCTCCGACTGGGCTCATTAAGACGGGCTGGAAAGTGTCACGAAAATATAAAAACATGTTACTATTATTATATACTAGCCTTGATAAACATCATGATATGCCTTGATAAATAACACGAAAATGAAAAATGAAATGAAATGAAATGAAATGGGGTTTAACGTCCTACTGTTCTGCTCCTATACTGGGCTAATGAAGACGGGCATACGCCATACAGTGTGCTATGAGGGAAAGTTTGCCAGGGCAGCGGCACTATCGCCTACTCTTGTATCGAATTCCAACCGTTAAGGGATCTTTTACGTGCACGCCAAAGTGTACATGGGACCCTGGTTTCTCGTTACCATCCGAACGACTAGGCAGCTGTCCTTGTCAGCCCCCGCCCCCAGTCCTGTACCACTGACAAGGGGAAACCATCCCAGAGTATTTGCGTAAAAATGATATCGCAATTTATTGAAATTCAAATGAAACATTAACGAATTTATTATAATAACGTTGAGATGTAGGGATGAAATTTAAATCACAAGTATGAACGAATTATTTCCCTTGATTCTAGTTCGTCTATTAATAGCAAATCTCACCTTTTCACTTTTTCCCGCTTTCTAATGGTAATATGTATTCAAGATGACGTCACAGCCTATAGATTCCATTGACGAGGCGTATAGTACAAATAAATTCACTGCCTTCAATATTTTTATGGGCTGATTGTTACTTTTGACAATTTTTGGTTATAAAGCTACGGTTATCGAAATATTCAAAAAGAATCCTATGGGACAAAACATGCAATAGATTTAACATTCACGTCAATGGGGAGGAAATTAGTAGTCTTAGTCCGCATAGCTTTCTATATAATTATCTACCCTTCTTGAGAAACCCATCTCTCTCTCTCCCTCCCTCTCTCCCCCACCCCACTCTCTCTTGGATATAGATAGGTGTCTACTATTGTTTAAGGATTTGTGGGTTCCAGAGCTCTTATGATCCACTTGGACTCACTTGAAGATTTTCTTGTGCTGATGAAATATTTAGTCTGGTAGGCTATATGAGTTTTTATATCTTAATGAAATATAAGGCCTGTCATTGAGCAAATGGCGTGGTTTCGAATCCCCGGTCGTACGTGACAAGGAGTAGGGTCGCCTGTCCAACCTCGTGGGTTTTCTCCGGGCCCTCCGACTTCCTCCCACTGCTAAAGAACCCTACGCGCAAGCGAATTATTGAAATAAAACTAAACCGTATGTTAGTCCCGAAATGACCTAGTTTGTGTCGAGTGGACGTTAAACTCTCTCTCTCTCTTAATGAAATAAATATAATTCCCAGACTTGGAGTGTATTCGAGGCCTGTTAAAACGTGTTATCGAAAATTATAGGTGTTGCTGACTTGCTTTCATCAAATCCGGTTGACAAATATATTTCAAATTCAGGACATCGTTGTAAATATTGAACGGAATTCGAACTTCCGGCTTTGATTCAATTCGATTAAAATGAGGCCCACCAAAGGGAGATTATTGAAGATTATAGACGGTGCACTCGCCATTAGCATACTTTCAAGTTCCCGGATTACCAACGGCGTTGCCCACGACGACGCCTTTAACGAATTCTTTATCATACAAATATTTCAAAGTCTGAAGCTGTTTTTCTTTCAAATTTATCCGATATTCTTCAAAAAAGGACAACTTTACACTGAAAATTCGAAACAAGCTTCTTTTTAAAAGCGACAAGTTTTCCTAATAAGTAAACCGGTGCCGCATCGCAATTGTATAGGCGAAGGTACATATCACTTACCGTCATACAGTCGAGGCTAGATGTAGAGTAACGGAAAATGCCGAAGTTTGCCGAGTGATAGATGGTGCTGACTTAGTTTGACCAAATGTTCAGTTCATCTTTTCTTTGGACTGATATTCCTTTAAGAAATTCAACTTCCGCATTAATGTAGTTAGCAAAGGAATTAAACATCCTCAAATGACGATTAGAGATTTTAAAAACAATTTTTATTCAGAAAAGAAAGGAACTGCAGACCGAGTCTACCAATGCCCTCCACAACAAATAAAATAACAATATTTCTTTTAGAGATTCAACATTGTAATCGGCAAAGGAGACATCTCACAAGTGGCGATCATGGATTTTAAAAACAAGTTTTATTCATAATAGAAAGGGGTCAGAGATCGAATCTACTAATAGCCCCGGGGGGTTGGATGGCCGAATGGTTAGCACGTGCGCGCTGTATCATAAGGCTTGTCATTGAGTCAGCTGGCATGGTTTCAATTTCCCGGTTGTACATGACAAGGAGTAGGATCGCCTGTCCAACCTCGCGGGTTTTCTCCGGGTCCTCCGGTTTCCTCCCACTGCTAAAGACCCCTACGCGCAAGCGAAGTATTGAAATAAAATTGGACCATATGTTAGTCCCGAAATGACATAGTTTGTGTCGAGTGGACGTTAAACCCCATTTCCCTTTCACTCTACTAATAGCCCCCACAACAAATAAAATAAATAAATATCCCAAATATATACATGTACAATCATTGACTATTACCATCAGTTGTATCACAGTTTTAAATGATTGATCCTGTGATTTCACGGGCACGAGTTAAATCAACTAGACCCCCCCCCCCCCTCTGTAGCACAGTTTTAAATGACATAGGGGGGTTGGATGGCTGCATGGTTAGCGCGTGTGCATTGTAACATAATGTCTGTTATCGAGTCAACTGGCGTGACAGCCTGTCTAATAACCTCGTTGGTTTTCTCCGGGTCCTCCGGCAGTTTCCTACCACTGCTAAGGACCCCTGGCGCAAGCGAATTATTGAAATAAATTGAACAATGTGTTAGTCCCGAAATGCCCTTTTTTCAGACGAGCGGTCGTTACCCCCCCCACTCTCTCTCTCTCTTTCTCTCTCTCTCTCTCTCTCGCTCATTGGAAGTAGAATGATGCCTATGAAGAAAATATCAAATTCCAACTGATGAATGTAAAAGTATCGGAAGGTGATGGTCATATCCAAAGAATAACTAAAAAGGGGTAAACACAGCACCTTATTTATCCGAACAGAGACAGGAGCTTCTCTCTTATAACACACTGGCATCACTGTCATGAAATGTTCTCAATGTTTCAATTTCTGGCTTTGTCATTCACGGTCTCTTTGACGTGGACATTCTGGACCATAATTGAGTCAACTGGATCACGGAAAGTCAACACTATTTCCGCTTACTCCGCATTCTGACCTGTGGTAATCATCATCGTCATCATCATCGTCATCATCATCATCATCATCATCATCATCATCACCAACAGGAATGGCGTCAGATGTGTCCGGGGCGTTGCGCATTTGATGAGTCGTTGGTTGGTTTCCAACGGAAGACGTACGTGCAGGAAGTGCATCAGATTTCGGGAGGAGGGTGTGGCCGTTCCTTCTATAACTATTGTGATTAAAATGTAACGAAAGTTCATATCAATTTGTTTAATTGCATATCCACAAAGCCAATCCACAACATTGAGCTGTTTGTATTGATTGTATTCAGAACATACGGTACTTGAAATCACCGTATATTTTACCGGGAATTTAAAAAAAAAGTTTTTAGGGCTCCTGGCTCGCGTCCCACCACTGGAATATCCAGTACCCGCCATTGCTACCCAGCTAGCACACTCGCTAACGTTTTTTATATTGGTCCAGTAGCTATTCTCTTGTTCCTCTTGTTTTTATTAAATAAAGGTTTTCTTCGGAATTTTTGGGTATAGACTTCAGGATACATGGCTTCAGCTTTTTCCTAAAATAATGTAAAAAAGTAACAATGAAATCGGACAAATGTTCGGATGTCAACATATTTGTAAACAAAACAACATGAAATTATTACGCATAAAATCTTAGCCACCAAAGAGCGATGTTTCTATACACGTGTCTAAAAAAACGGTGTAAAATTGATCATATACCTTTTTAAGAGAGAGAGAGAAAAATGGGGTTTACCGTCCACTCGACACAAACTAGGTCATTTCGGGACTAACATATGGTTTAATTTTATTTCAGTGGGAGGAAACCGGAGGACCCGGAGAAAACCCACGAGGTTGGACAGGCGACCCTACTCCTTGTCACGTACAACCGGGGATTCGAAACCACGCCAGTTGACTCAATGACAGGCTTTATGATACCGCGTGCTAACCTTTCGGCCATCCAACCCCCCACCTTTTTAAGATTTAATCACACTTTTAAAATAACCAAGAAGACTGTCCGAGCTATTCTGTAAGTTCATCTGATGAAGGTAGTAAAATTAAAATACAGATCTATATTTCCTTTCGCTTTTTTATACTTTCAGTGTAGATCTGACCGGTTGTAGTGGAAGGTCGCGTCAGGGTTCATACGAGCGGCTTTTGACCCTATTACGTCAGACATTGATTAATCAATCAGCGTTGACGTTTCTAGTGCATGGTTTACCTACAGTTCCGTACCCAGCACGCCAAGAACTCGTCGTAACAGACCGTTTCATTGGTTAATCCCCCACATTAACCAGAAGTAAAGACAAGTAAAACGAAATTTTGAACTATTAAAAATCGAAACGAAATAGTATCTGTCTTTTAATCAGATTGATCCTGGTCAAATTTATATCAACAACTGACCAAAGAATTTAGTTACAGAATAGGTTTGTGGAAGGGCTATTACATGTACCATATTTTTAACAGTTAAATCCAGGACCCAGGTTACGTCAGCCTCCTGTATTGGATAAATCCGCATTTGATCAAGCAGTCTGGGCCATTAGATTTAGTATGTTGCTTCACGAAGACAAAACATGTTGCCAATTGACCACTTCTCAAAGATACATTATTGGTGATTAGATAAAGAGCTGTCAGTTCTCGCTATAACAGTTACAAACTAGATAATGTAAAGGGAATGTGCTGAAAATTACAGCCAAATTGATCCACTCTGAATCGAGAATTTGGCGATTGAATTTTCGGCCTAGCCTCGATCATCATCACTAAAGTCGGTACGATAAAAAAACACAGTCTCGATTATCCATTTTGGCATTTAATCATCAATGAGCCTTGAGCAACAGATCGGATTCAAATCCAGTAAAAATCTGACACATAAGATGACATTGAGAGTTGATTATGGTCTGGATAAGTTAATTCATGTCTAATTAATAATTTAGATAACATTTCAGGCCTAAAGAAAGACCTGAAATAGGCAGATTTAGCTCTTACATAATGTGTGTTTAACTAGAATAATGTATAGTAGCTTACGTGATACAGTTTTTCAGCTTTGTCATAGTACGTCTTCTTTAATCTCAACTACATTAAAACAATAAAACAAAAGTACATTTAATTAATTATATACATAATCTGATTAAAACAGTTTGTCTTTATACAATGGGCTGTATATTTATTTTAAAAAATAAACACAAAAGGTTTTGTTTTTGATTTGGGTTAACAGCCAACCAATGTGTGTTTAACGTCCACTCGACACAAACTAGATCATTTCGGGACTAATACATGGTTCAATTTTATTTCAATAATTCGCTTGAGCGTATGGGTCTTTAGCAGTGGGAGGGAACCTGAAGACCCGGAGAAAAACTCCTTGTCACGTACAAACCACGCCAGTTGACTCAATGACAGACCTTATGATAGACATGTGGGTGTAGTATTAAACTTACCTTACAGTAGACAACCAGACCAAATAGCAGATGGAAAAGAAATAAACATGTAACTAGAACACCAAACGCCGCTCTATCTAAAGTAAGGGCCAATGATGTGGGCGATATCAAGCTAATTACAGCATGCCATACACATGCTCCGGATAAGATTATCATACAACCCAATATATGGGTATCCTGAAAAATATACAAAGATGAAAATTATATCATTTATGTGGGTCCTGAAATATACAAATCATATCATTTAGTGTATTTTAGATACGTCACAAATACTGTATACAAATTACATCATTTAGTGTATTTTAGATACGTTAGATAAGGCATTATAGCCGGACATAGCAAATAAGTGAGATAAGGTATTATAGGTGGACTTACCAAATAAGCTCGATAAGGTATTTTAGATGGACTTACCAAATAAGCTCGATAAGGTATTTTAGATGGACTTACCAAATATGTTAGATACGGTATTTTAGGTGGACTTACCAAATAAGTAAGATAAGGTATTTTAGGTGGACTTACCAAATAAGTTAGATACGGTATTATAGGTGGACTTACCAAATAAGTTAGATAAGGTATTATAGGTGGACTTACCAAATAAGCTAGATAAGGTATTATAGGTGGACTTACCAAATAAGTTAGATAAGGTATTTTAGATGGACTTACGAAATAAGTTATATACGGTATTTTAGGTGGACTTACGAAATAAGTTAGATAAGGTATTTTAGATGGACTTACCAAATAAGTTAGATAAGGTATTTTAGATGGACTTATCAAATAAGTTAGATACGGTATTTTAGATGGACTTACCAAATAAGTAAGATAAGGTATTTTAGGTGGACTTACCAAATAAGTTAGATACGGTATTATAGGTGGACTTACAAAATAAGTTAGATAAGACATTTTGGGTAGATTTATCAAATATGTTAGATAGGATATTTTAAGTGGACTTACCAAATAAGTTAGATAAGGTGTTGTAGGTGGACTTACCAAATAAGTAAGATAAGCCTATGGGTGGACTTACCAAATAAGTAAGATAAGGCCAATGAATGGACTTACCAAATAAGTAAGATAGGGTATTTTAGGTGGACTTACCAAATAAGTAAGATAAGGTATTTTAGGTAAAGATTGTGATGCTGTAAATTTAAAAGCGACACCCGTTAAAACCAAGGTAGCTGTCATCTGTAATCTGTGCTCTGTACCCGAGAACGGGATGGCAAACGTCGTCATAGACAAGGAGCTAATCAATGCCTGAAAATAAAATGGTACAAATTACTTTCCCCATCATTGGCTCTACACATCAAAAAGTCCGTTAAGCAGCGTGAACGGGAGGCGGTTTGTTGATTTAAAGCTGCATAATGCAAGAGATAAATCTGTCAAATGAAGATCATTCTTCTGGTTTCAAATGTTACATAAATTATTATTTAGACTTTTATTCACGTGACAAGTCCATAATCAACTCTCTAGGACATCGGATGGCTGTGATATTGACCATAAACGTCATAGAATCGGTTAACGTTAAAAATGACGTCACTCAATACAAGGACTAAATCTTACATAATGCATCTTTAATTATCGTGTTTGACCGCCTCCTTTAGCCCAGTCGGAGTAGAACAATAGGACGTTAAACCCTATTTCAATTCATTTCATCTTTTCGACTGTCTAATGTTGAAAGCAAAACCGATATGTTTTATTTCAATATGGGGGGGGGGGACCACGGTGACAAAGTGGGTAAGATGCTGGCTCGCTAGCCTGGAGGTCGATCCCGGTGTTGGCCGAGAAAGTTCATCCAGGATTTCCCGGTGTGGTTTCCCCTTGTTAGTGGTGCAGGACGGAGGGGCTGACAAGGACAGCTGTCTAGTCGTTCGGATGGGGCGAAAATCCGAGGTCCCGTGTACATATTGGTGTGCACGTAAAAGATGCCTTTACTTGACAGTTGCAATTCCATGTAAGAGTAGGTGCATGTAAGATTAAATTGAAGACGTATATCAGCCTTACTTACCATCACAAAAATAATATTCCATATAAAGAAACCAGGTCTCCGGAAGGCAATGAACGTAAAAGTTAAGGTGGGGTATTTTTTCTTGGTAGCGAATATTTCATGGGACAAATTGACATCTTGGGTTGCTTCCACGTGATCCCGTAACGCCCATTCTTGTGCATCCAGGAAACCTCGTGGATTAACTCGGCTTAATTCCTTCTCGTCTTCCAATAGATTTACTTGATTATCAGTTAATTCTGTTGTGATTAATACAGATAAATCCTGGCAATACACAAACAGTTTATATATAACATCTGGGCGGATCCAGGAGTTTCAGAAAGGGGGGGGGGTGCGTGCTGCCCCCACTAGGGAGTGCGAAGCCCGGCCCTCGGTGGGCGGACTGACGGGCAATCAACCAAGTCACCAATCCACTCGTTTCGGAGTAAATTACGATTTCCAACCTAAACTGACCGTTAATTCCTTTCCCACGAGAATATATGGGTAAAAAATTGTTCGCCACCGCAAAAAAATGGGGGGGGGGGGCGTGCGACGGGTGTACCCCCCTGGATCCGCGCCTGCATATGGGTGGGGGAGGTGGGGAGGGGCTTCGGTGGTTGTGTACCTCAGGGAGTACGCTGTCCGGGAAAAATTTCCTTCAAAGCACACTGTATGGCGTATGCCCGTCTTCAATAGCCCAGTCGGGGCAGAACAGTAGGAAGTTAAACTCCATTTCATTTCATTTCATTTCATATCCGACAATCTACATGATGGCATCGTTTTTGTAACCATTGTCAGATTAGAGAAAATATTTGACATTTAATTATTTTCAAAATAAATAAAATTCATCTTCGCATCCGATAACAAATACAATGACTTAAATCTGGGGATGAATTGATCTCTTAATGGGGTATGAGAACAATGAATCAAACTGTATTCGTTCTCTGGTCATGTCATGTATTCTTGGCCAAGATGGGACCCAAGGAAACCCGTTGTTCTTAGGGCCCAGAGCTACCAAGTCCGCCTCTTAAGACCGCTTGACCAGATTATCATCTATATACTTTATCTATATTTTCAAATTTTCCTACACAATTTCCTAAAATAACTGAAATAAACACCAAGGAGGCGAGCAGCACTATGGTTTATATATCTTATAAATAGAGAATCTCCTACGAGTCTTTTTTGATATCAAAAAATATCAACACAAGTTGATAAAGTAACAAAAAACGAGGCTCTGTCGAGATGTTATTACTTTATGGACGGGTGTTGATATTTTTGATATCAAAAAAGACGAGTATTATCACCCAATCCCTTTCTTACATGCACAAATAAATAAATATAATTCTTTGCTATAGATTTCACTTTTACTGAACTTGATTACATTATGGCGTAGTGATACACCATTTTTGACAGCAATTCAACCATTACAAAGTCCTTTATATTGACCCAGTGTTTCCATCAAGGTCAATTAAATAAAAATGGTTCATTTTTAATAAAAAAAGAAATTACTTTTAATAAAAAAATGAACTATTCTTTGAAAACAAAAGTAGTTCCTTTCAACTGGCCAATCAAATTCATGTAAAGCGATATCTCCTTAGCAGTAGATTATGGAATTTATCACACAAGCGATATCTACCGTAGAATGTATTATTGGGTGATAAAGTATTTTAAATTTTACCTGAACATCAAAAGGGAAATTATGAAGTTCCAGATGTTCTGAGAATGTCCCTTTAATTCTTCTGGTTTCTATAATATACGCCTCTCTCTGAGATGTAAATTCTACTTCCGTTGATAGCCGTGTTCTAGGCGAGCCTATGATGTTCTGGATCTGAATTTTAGGGTTCCACATTTCTGATTGGGAAGCTTCGTCTAAAGACTAAACAAAATAACACAAAATTTATTTTGGAGATAAAATGCTCGACACTTAAAGACATTAGTGATTCGATTACAGTCATATTGTAGGCATATAATACGGACTGGGGATTTCAGGGATGCCGCATTATTTTTACTATGAAGTTTAGTTTATATAGCGACATATTAATTTCCAAGCAATAATTAGCAAAATAAAATAATTTATAATATGCCCGTTATGAGAGAGAGAGAGAGAGAGAGAGAGAGAGAGATATGCGATATAATGTCTACTTGACACAAACTAGGTCATTTCGGGACGAACATATGGCTCAATTTTATTTCTATACTTCGGTTGCGCGTAGAGGTCTTTAGCAGTGGGTGTGGGGGGGACGGGGGACCCACGAGGTTGAACAGGCAACCCTACTCCTTGTCACGTAGAAGCGGGAAATCGAAACCACGCCAGTTGACTCAACGACAGACCTTATGATACACCGCGCACGTGCTAAACATTTGGCTAAACTTTCAAAACAGAAAGTTTATCGGATTTTCCGGCGTGATTTCTTTCCCCTTGTAAGATATGCAGGACCGAGGGTCTAGCAAGGACAGCTATCTAGTCGTTCGGATGGGACGAAAAAACGAGGTCCCGTGTACACATTGGAATTAGATATAAGAGTAGGTCGTAGCGTCGCTGTCCGGGCAAAATTTCCCTCATAGAACACTGTATGACGTATGCCAACCTTCATTAACCCAGTCGGGGCAGAAAAGTAGGACGTTAGACCCCATTTCATTACATTTCCGCCTACCTTGTTTGTGCCATGATCTAACGTACATTCCCGCCATCTTACTTTTATGTAAACGTCTGCTTCGAACGTTTCTTGTAATGTGTCTATTTCACCAACTTTCAAGAATATTAAACTCACAAACACTTCACGCTGTCGAAGAGAAATTGTTTAAAAAATCATTCAAATTTATTACAAGAGACACTCTTAGATTGTACAAGCTGTCATCATCACAATTCCAAGAATTAGTTTAGTGCAGAGGTTCTCAATTAAACTTTTTTTGCCAACGTCACACCTTGGAACATATGAACAAATAGCGACACACCTGGCTAAATATATATGAAAAATATTGAAATTTGCAAAATTAAAACATGGCAAGTCATAGACGGCACACAACCGTAGACAGAGACTAGTCATAGAAACATAGAATGACTCAAACTAAATAAAGAAAAACACAGCTATGAACTTACTTTATTGCAGTCAAATAGCTGGTTTCTTTAGTTAGAAATTTTCTTAAGTGTGCCGTTTAAAATTTCGTTGCACACTTAGGAAGATCTCGTGGCCCACCTGTGTGTCGTGACACACTGGTTGAGAATCACTGGTTTAGTGGTACATAATAATAATAATAATAATATGTACATTTATATGGCGCTAGTACTCCATGCACGGATGCATGCTCACAGCGCATACAGATTAATTAATTCGATTAATCATGATAACATTTCTCAAAAAGATGGGTTTTAAGTCTTGATTTAAAACAAGAGAGAGTTGGAGATGATTTAATGGTTTCTGGTAGATTGTTCCACTCTTTAGGTGCATTGACTGCGAATGATCTGTATCCGAATGATTTTAGCTTCCACCTTGGGCAACACAACTGATGAAGTCTGTTTGATCGGAGGTTACGTGAGGGAACATGTATTTGCATAAGGTCGGATAAGTATTTTGGAGCTATGCCATTTACACACTGATAAGTCAAGGACAGGATTTTGAAGATGATTCTTTCATTTATTGGCAGCCAATGGAGTGATTTCAGAACAGGAGTTATATGAGAGTATTTTGATGATCTGGTAACAATTCGAGCTGCGGTATTTTGTACAAGTTGGAGTTTTTTAATATTGGCAATAGATGTTTCTGCTAACAAGCTGTTACAGTAGTCAATCCTTGAGAAAACCAGAGAACACACAAGTGTAGCAGCTGCTTCCTGGCTAATCAAGTGTCTTATATGGCTAATGTTTCTGAGCTGAAAATAGCATTTTCGACAAATTTCGCGAATGTGACTGTCCATGCGTAGATTAGGCTCTAAGAGGACACCTAATATTATATATCTCAATTCTCCGCACTATCTAGTGGTACATAATATTATATATCCCAACTCTCTGCACTAGTCTAGTGGTACATAATATAATATATCCCAATTCTCCGCACTAGTCTAGTAGTGTTACATAATAGGATATAGTCTAGTTTTACACAGTAACAAAATACTACTTACCACTTTCGATGTAACATTGACTGAACTAGATACCCCGTCCATATTGAATAAAGTTTTGTTTAAATTCAAAGTACATACGCCATCAAATATATTTATCGACAAGAAAAATATTTATTTAATCACATTATATCATGAAATAGGTAATGCACAAATTTCAGAAATCACATTATAATGAAAATCTATAATGCACAAATTTCACAAAGCACATTATAATGAAAATCTATAATGCACAAATTTCACAAATCACATTATAATGAAAATCTATAATGCACAAATTTCACAAATCACATTATAATGAAAATCTATAATGCACAAATTTCACAAATCACATTATAATGAAAATCTATAATGCACAAATTTCACAAAGCACATTATAATGAAAATCTATAATGCACAAATTTCACAAATCACATTATAATGAAAATCTATAATGCACAAATTTCACAAATCACATTATAATGAAAATCTATAATGCACAAATTTCACAAATCATATTTAATGCACAAATTTCACAAATCATATGTAATGCACAAATTTCACAAATCACATTTTATATAATACACAAACATGAAACGTCCAAATATATACACTGTAGTTGTCGTTATATTGTTAAGTACATATTTTGAACGTATAACTCACAGTGATCTATACTTATAATTTTTAGACTTGTATATATCATAGGAGATATGGCCTATACCTATAATTCTTGGTCTTTAATATATCATAGTTGTCGCAGTTATAGCACACCTTTTGTTGTTCCCCAATGTTCTTTATTCATATACAACCAGATTATAGATATAAAGGACTTGGTTACTTATAATAATAGTGTATTCATATACAACAAGATTAGGGATATATAGAACCTATTTACTTATAATAGTAGTGTATTCATATTTTATTGTGATATTCTTTACACGGTACACTGGGGTTCAGTGAATTACTCTTATCAGTGACCTGAACAATTTTAACACGGGCAATCCAAGTTTTGGAACTTTAAAAAAGTGTATTAACCTGCGTAGATTCATGGGTGGGTCGCGGTATTCAAGCGATAGTCGTGTTTCAAGGTCTGTCCCAAAAATCGAAAACTTTCGATCACCTTCGATCGAATGTTAGAATGATGAATTTAAGATATTACACAATTATATTGTTATTATTTTTGTTTATATAGTTGCGCTTGAAGAGGTTCCAATATGCAATTTGTTTTCTTTTCAAACATCTTATATATATATATAGCCAGTCGAGGGGTTGAATGGCTGAATGGTTAGCACGTGCGCGCTGTATCATAAGGTCTGTCATTGAGTAAATTGGCGTGGTTTTGATTCCCCGGTTGTACGTGACAAGGAGTAGGGTCGCTTGGTCAACCTCGTGGGTTTTCTCCGGGTCCTCCGTTTTCTCCTACTGCTAAAGCGAATTACTGAATTAAATTTTACCATGTTAGTCCCCAAATGACATAGTTTGTGTTGAATGGGCGCTTACACCTCAGCCCCTATCCCTATCTGTCCGTTTGTGATGAGTGGTCTTTACCCCACCCCACCCTCTGTCTCACTGGCATTATAATGGTTTTCAAAACTTTTTAACGCCAGTCGTGACAAATACTTTTATATAAGTAAACCACTTCCTGGATTAATTAAAGTAGTATGAAGTCCTTAAAACTTAATATGGTTAAATTTTATTTGATATTTCGCTTTCTGGTAGGGGTCTTTAGCAGTGGGAGGAAATCGGAGGACCCGCGGAAAACCCACGAGGTTGGACAGGCGATCCTACTCCTTGTCAGGTTCAAGCTGCTAAATGGAGATCACCCCAATGACAGACCATATAATCTATAGCGCACGCCTTAAACCATTCTAAAAGTTAAGGCCCACTGCAGATTTGGCCATAGGTCACGGGGTGTAAACCGGGATAGCATTAACCTTAACCCTAGAGTTCGCCCGAACCCTACCCCACTATCTCGTCAACAATCACTGCCCTAACCCTATTTATATCACGCGACCTATGACGAAATCTGCGTTGGGCCTTAAATTATAGACCTTGAATGTGGGGGGGGGGGCTGGATGGCCGAATGGTTAGCACGCGCGCGCTGTATCATAAAGCCTGTCATTGAGTCAACTGGCATGGTATCGAATCCCCGGTTGTACGTGACAAGGAGTAGGGTCGCCTGTCCAACCTCGTGGGTTTTCTCCGGGTCCTCCGTTTTCCTCCCACTGCTAAAGACCCCTAACCGCAAGCAAATTATTGAAATAAAATTCAAACCATATGATAGTCCCGAAATGACCTAGTTTTTCCGAGTGGACGTTAAACCCCATATCTCTCTCTCTCTCTCTCTCGCTCTCTCTATTTTGAATGTAATACTATATGAAAATAAATTAAATCTGTTTCTTGTTGATAGGTGAGTTAGTTAGTCAAGGAAGTATTACGAACGAAGAACAGCAAAGTAAAAAAAATACATGGTTTCTATTATGTCAATTTTATTATATCACGAGACACTGTAATTGAGACATCACATGATTGTGAATATATGTTACACAAATATCCAGTCTTAAAAATCGGTCGACACCTATTACATACTCTTACATCCAGCCTTATTTCATGTCACCGCATTTTCTATTTTCGTAAACAGAAGCTTTAAATTAATTATATGGCGGCATGCACCCGTTAAAATGGCATACAATACCCGACAATATGTAATAAACTGATATACTTATTTGACATGATTTGACAGATATAGCCACCCATACAGCCAGGTGAGTTTCACAACATTACCTTAATACGGATGAATGCACTGTATTAGCTAATCAGCAATCCAAATCAGGTAAATTAGTCACGAATATCCAGTCTTGACTGACATATAATAATTTGGAGTATTTAGTGACCCCAGCTGTGAACTTGTCAGTATAATTAACACATCAGAAAGATATGAAGATACACCTGCGAATATATTGACATTATGTAAAGGTATGTTATCAATATGGTTTTAAACAATAAAATATAATAATAAAATAGGCTATATATTTATCACGTGAATTAAATAACCCAACGTTTTATAATTTTATAGGCGGTCACGGTGGCGAAGTTGGTAACACGCTGTTCCTAAAATAGAAACTGAATTAAGCAACCTAAGGTTTTACATATGTTATACAGCATTCAATGTTGTTATGTTAGGGTATTTAATCAATATAAGGGGATCACGGTGGCTAAGTGGGTAAGGCGCTGGCTCGCTAGCCTGGAGGTCGGGTGTTCGATCCCTGCATTGGCCGAGAAAGTTCATCCAGATTTTCCGGCGTGGTTCTCCCTTGTCAGTGATGCAGGACGGAGGGGCTGACAAGGACAGCTGTCTAGTCGTTCGGATGGGACGAAAAACCGAGGTCCCGTGTACACATTGGCGTGCACGTTAAAGATCCCTTGACAGTTGGAATTCGATATAAGAGTAGGCCGTAGTGCCGCTGTCCGGGCAAAATTTCCCTCATAGCACACTGTATGGCGTATGCCCGTCTTCATTAGCCCAGTTCGGAGCAAAACAGTAGGACGTTAAACCCCATTTCATTTCATTTCATTTCATTTAATCAATATAAACATTTTATAATTAGAATACGAATCAAATAACCTACTGATTAATAACTTGTTATTGATTATTCATTTTTACAGTTAATCGTGAACAGCCGTTGAATCGCAGATCAGATTCAAATCTGTTTAAAATCGTATCCATCCAATGACATCAATAGTTGATTATGGTCTTGTTTTGTTAATAAATGTCTAATTAATAATTTAGATAACATTTCAGCCCTAAAGAAAGACCTGCAATAGGAAGATTTAGCTCTTACATAATGTATGTTTAAGTAAAAATGCAGTTTTCCATCATTGTGATCTTTTAAAAAATAAACAATTAACAAATCATATAAATGGCTATATCGTGGTGCAATATTAACTAAAACAAAATGCCATATTTAGTATGATTAAAATAACCTAAATAACTTTCCGTATATTAACGCGTGATCTTTTAAAAAAAATATATAATATACAAATATATTATAGGTTATATCCTGGTCCAATTTGAACTAATTGAAGGTCGTTTTACATCTATATTGTGTATATAAAGGTGTGTTATCAATGTAGTTATATATTTTGCTATATCACCGTGCACTGTGCATCAATATTAAACATACATTATTTAAGAGCTAAATCTACTTATTGCAGGTCTTTCTTTAGGCTTGAAATGTTATATAAACTATTAATTCGACATTTATTAACATTAACAAGACCATAATCGACTCCCGAGGGCATCGCTAGCCTGCGATCTTTAGTGGATTACGAGCCGATTGACTGTATAACTTTCCTTCACGATTTAACGATTAAATGGATAATCGAGACTATGCTGTTTATCGTACTGACTTTACTAATGATGATCGAGGCTAGGCGGAAATTTCAAACGCTTTGTTCTCGGTTCATAGTGGACCAATTTGAATGAAATTTTCAGCAAATTTCCTTACGTTATCTAGTTTTTGACTATTATAGCCAGAACTACCAACTCGTTATCGAATCTCCCATAATGTATCTTTAACTAAGGTACATCATTATATAGCTTGTGAATTGAGTAGAAACATCTCAATTATCTGCACCAACCGATCTAATTAAGACTGGTATACTTTACGTGGTGTGCTTTACCATCAACTCCTATTGCGATTTTTTTTTTTTGGGGGGGGGGGGAGCCACGGTGACTAAGTGGGTAAGACGTTGCATTGGCGGGGGAAAGGTCATCGGGTTTTTCGGACGTAGTTCCCCCTTGTCAGTGGTGCAGGAAGGAAGGACTGACAAGCACAGCTGTCTAGTCGTTCGGATTGGACGAAAAACCGAGGTCCCATATAAGGGTAGGCCATAGTGCCGCCCCCCGGGCAAAATGTCCCTCATAGCACACTGTATGGCGTATGCCCGTCTTCATTAGCCCCGTTCGGAGCAGAACAGTAGGACGTTAAACCCCATTTCATTTCATTTCCAACTGTCAGGGGATCTTGTCAATGCTATACAAAGAGCCTCGGTTTGTCGTCCCATCCCAATGAATATAGACACTTTTCTGTACCATTAGTCCTGAAATGACCTAGTTTGTCGTCCCATCCGAAGGGCTATAGCAGGCTATAGACAGGCCTTACCGTCCTGG